TCGTCCACAAAATACACAGTCGATTCGCTTTCCTGTACATTCTGTGAAGCGCTTCGGGAACGTCTCGAGGACGCGATGAAGCCCTGTATCAAATGCGAGGATTATTATTATATTATTATTTATGTCAGTGCATGTTCACGTGTGTTTTTTGTATTTAAACCGAGAGCAATTAGAGAGGATGAATTGATGGACGGCGTTGAAGTCCTGGGATCAAAGCCACGGTTGCTTTGAACTGGGGCCAAGATTTTGTGCATTGTAAGTCCTCTCTATCTCAGTGTGTGTCTCTCTGTCTCAGTGTGTGTCTCTCTATCTCAATGTGTGTCTCTCTGTCTCAGTGTGTGTCTCTCTATCTCAGTGTGTGTCTCTCTATCTCAGTGTGTGTCTCTATGTCAGTGTGTGTCTCTCTATCTCAGTGTGTGTCTCTCTGTCTCAGTGTGTGTCTCTCTATGTCAGTGTGTGTCTCTCTATGTCAGTGTGTGTCTCTCTATGTCAGTGTGTGTCTCTCTGTCTCAGTGTGTGTCTCTCTATGTCAGTGTGTGTCTCTCTATCTCAGTGTGTGTCTCTCTATCTCAGTGTGTGTCTCTCTGTCTCAGTGTGTGTCTCTCTATGTCAGTGTGTGTCTGTCTATCTCAGTGTGTGTCTCTCTATGTCAGTGTGTGTCTCTCTATGTCAGTGTGTGTCTCTCTGTCTCAGTGTGTGTCTCTCTATGTCAGTGTGTGTCTCTCTGTCTCAGTGTGTGTCTCTCTGTCTCAGTGTGTGTCTCTCTATGTCAGTGTGTGTCTCTCTGTCTCAGTGTGTGTCTCTCTATGTCAGTGTGTGTCTCTCTGTCTCAGTGTGTGTCTCTCTATGTCAGTGTGTGTCTCTCTATCTCAGTGTGTGTCTCTCTATCTCAGTGTGTGTCTCTCTGTCTCAGTGTGTGTCTCTCTATCTCAGTGTGTGTCTCTCTATGTCAGTGTGTGTTTCTCTCTGTCTCAGTGTGTGTCTCTCTGTCTCAGTGTGTGTCTCTCTATCTCAGTGTGTGTCTCTCTGTCTCAGTGTGTGTCTCTCTATGTCAGTGTGTGTCTCTCTGTCTCAGTGTGTGTCTCTCTATGTCAGTGTGTGTCTCTCTGTCTCAGTGTGTGTCTCTCTATCTCAGTGTGTGTGTCTGTCTCTCTCTATATCAGTGTATGTATCTCTCTATATCAGTGTGTGTCTCTATATCAGTGTGTGTGAGTGTGTGTTTCTATGTCAGTGTATGCGTCTGTCTTTCTATATCAGTGTGTGTCTGTCTCTCTCTATATCAGTTGTGTGTCTCTCTCTATGTATCAGTGTGTGTGTCTATATCAGTGTATATGTCTCTCTCCATATCAGTGTATGCGTCTGACTTTCTATATCAGTGTGTGTCTGTCTCTCTTTATATCAGTTGTGTGTCTCTCTCTCTACATCAGTGTGTGTCTCTGTATCAGTGTATGTGTATGGGGGTGGGGAGCAGCCACCAATCATTGTGAAACTCGCTGGGATTTACGGGAAGGAACTTAATATTGTGAAACTGAATTTTATCCATCTGCAGTAGAGCGACAGACTCGGTCGCAGACCTGCAGGCTCGAGGTTCCACCAAGTCACAGCCTGTGAGAGCCTTTTCTCTGTGCTACAAGTTCGCATTTCGAAGCAGGACGTTAAAACGAAACGATACGATCATTCCTTACGTCTTGGTTGGTCCAGCACCTTTGGGCGTCCTCCTGCCGTGAAAGGCGCTGTGTTGAAAGCGTGTTATTTTATATTTTGCTGTGGCTTGTTGCACAACAGATAACATCCCCATCCCGCGCTCTCTTTACACATGATTATGTTTTGCACGTGGCGAGGCATTTACTCGTGCGTTACCTACCCTCTGTTGCTGCGGAAATTAGGCAGATTTTCTTACACCACACCACTAGCAGTAAGTAGGAACGCAGTTGTTAAGTCGATTGGCGGATCGCTTTTCCGGGAGTAATAATCCCTTCAAAAATAAATCAATAAAAGAATAATAATTTGGTCACTCAGTCCACGACTGTTTGTGGGGACGCTGCTGTGCGCAATTGGCTGCCGTGTTTGGCCCACAAAATATACAGCCAATTCGCTTTACAGTGTATTCTGTGAAGCGCTTTGAGGCGTCTCAAAGACTATATCGAATGCAACGATTACTATTATAACTGATATTGTGTACGACTTATGTAAAGTTATGCAGAAGTCGGATTTTATATGACTAACGCACAACACATACACAAGTACTGAGCCGGCCGGTAACATTAAGGCCAAGGTTTCTGTACAGTAATGATTACATTACACACAGTAATCTTTCTGTACAGTAATGATTACAGCGGCTTTCAGGTTTGACAAGACGTCTCAAAAGCACTTCACAGTGAAGTGCAGTGGCCACGTGTTCTGTGGGCCAAAGGAAGCAGCATTATTTACGACCAAAATCCAGACAAATATGGCTTCATTGAATCATTGTGTGTTTTTTTTTTGAGGGAAGATCTTATTGAGATGCACATAAATTACAATCAAGGAGCGTGGACATTTATTTTTGGTGCTATTCGGACCCGAAAAGGCAGTGACATTTTGTTTGTGTGGTTTTATTTACTCCTTGTGTCGTTCTTTTCCGGTTGGGCTGTTACCCTGAGTTAAGTCATTTTTTTTTAAAACTCCACTTTTATGGTCATAAGATGTCTTGTGAAATTTCATTCGGAACATGGGTTGTGTGTGTGTGCGCACAGACGTGTGCGAACGTGCGTGTGTGTGTGTAGATAGAGCGTACTCCAGGGCACTGTTGATGACAGCACAGCCCAGCCTGGCTCATCAGCAGGTCTTGGAAGGACGGGGAATGCTCCCACTCAGCTCCTGTTAACCCTGCAAGTCAAAGCGCTGACGTGTTGGGTGTTCCTTGCTGGACAATAATAATAATAATAATAATCCTTGCATTTGATATAGCGCTTTTCACGTCAGGAGGACGTCCCAAAGCGCTTCACAGAACACACTGTAAAGTGAATTGACTGTATATTTGTGGGCGAACGCGGCAGCCAATTGCGCACAGCAATGTCCCACAGACAGTCGTAGATTGAAAATGACCAATTTATTATTGTTTTGGGTTTTGGAGGGATTATTATTAGGCTCTGTGTGGAGTAAGGAAACTTGCCCAAGGTTTCGCCCTCTGCCTGGAATTGAACTCAGGTCTCTCACTTGCAAAGCGAGTGCTCTAACCGCTGAGCTACAGGACTCCAGCGGGAAAGCTTGCCAGACAGCGCTCTCTGAAGCTACGTGGCTTTAGCTGGTTAGACTCCAGCAGTTACCCCGACGCACACTCTGGGGGTTCCTAAGCCTTGGCTAATATTTTCTGGAATTATATAAGCAGGATGCATCCCTCCAGGGAGAGAGTGAGTGAAGGAGAGAGAGAGAGAGAGAGAGAGTGCGTATTTGATTCTGGACACAGGGATTTCCATGTATAGCGATACTTGGAAATCTGTGGTTTGGATTCTCTTATGCACAGCAGTGGGTTTCCGTGTGTGTCACACACACCTGGCTGACTGAAAAATCAGCATTTTCTTATTAAATTACCTCGAATAATCAAAACAAATTGGTTGTTTACTAATCTACTAATCTCCTTCGTCGAGCTCCTCGCTGGCTCAGCGTCGCTTGCGTTCGACATAGCGTCTTATCACGTGGTAGAGACGTCTCAAAGCGCTTCACAGGATATGCCTACGAATTTTGTGGGGTGAAACGCAGCCGCCAGTTTGTGGGGCACAGCAGTGTGTCCCACAAACAGCCACGGAGTGTGACTGGCCAATTTTATTCGGGGGAGTGTTGGCCAGGACGTTGAGATTTGTTCCGGGATCTGCCACAAACAGTTGAGTGGATTGAGTGGATTTTTTGAGGGTTTATTACCCCTCGGAATGTGATCCCTCAATCGACTAACAACCGGGTTCCTACTTACCGCTTCGGTAAACGGAGGCGTGTGTTGTAAGGAAACTTGCTTAGGGTTTCGCCCTGCCCGGCCGGGAATCGAACCCGGGTCCTCTCGCTTGCGAGGCGAGCGCGCTAACCAATTCGCTACAGGACTCCATGTTTTTCCAGAGAACAAATTGCGTGTGCGTGGGGAGCGGGGAGAGGAACAAAGCTTGTTATGTAGGTCAAGCTGCCTGCCACAAGCCAGTCAGCCAGCCCTCCTGAAGGCTGACAGGTGCTCACAGACCAGTGAGTGGCCCTAATGAGAGCAGGTTGTGAGGCTCAGAGATGTGAGTGCATTTGGCGTGATCGCGGTTCCCTGACTGAGCCCCATCCCCTGACGCTCACTCGTTCGGACTCTCTCTCTCTCTCTCTCTCTCTCTCGCTCCCGTTTTCAGAGATTTGATTTTTTTTTTTATTAAACGTTTAAAATGGGTCACGTAACTCCCCAAAAGCTCTTCAGGGCGGGATATGAGAGAGCGAGAGAGAGAGCGAGAGAGAGAGAAAGAGAGCGAGCGAGAGAGAGAGAGAGAGCGAGAGAGAGTAGAAGGAGAAATACGTAGGGAGAGAGAGATTTAGAGAGAAAGGGAGATGGAAGGGACATGCTTAGAAATTAAATAACAAAAGCACACGGAAATCGAAGCACTGAAACGAGATTATCACCACTGATAAAGATGATAATAATAATAATAATGATAATTCTTGCACTTAACATAGCGCTTAACATTTATCACGTTTCATATCATGGCTGTTTGGGGCCTGTCGCTGTGCACAAATCAGCTGCCGGGCTCACCCACAGAATGCACAGTCACTACACTTTACAATGAATCCTGTGAAGAGTTTGGAGACGGACGTCCTCCTGACGTGATGGCTGCATTATGAATGCAAGGATTATTGTTATTAAAGTTCTGTTACTTGTTGCCTTATACTATTAAGTAATTGCTTAAAAAAATTATATAACTTTTAACTCCCCCCCCCCCCCCCCCCTCCACCATAAGAAAGAATTCGAGGTCTGAATGAACTTTTTTTTGCCTCCTTTGCAGGGTCGATAAATCTTTTGTACGTGTGAGAAGCTCGCAGTAAGTAACCGCTTTCGTCTGCTTGGTTTGCTGTTTTCTGCCTCGTTTCTGCTACAGAAACTCTCTCTCTCTCTCTCTGTCCATCCTCTCCATCTCACAGCACCTGAATCCCAGCCACATCTTGTTGGGGGGGGAATGGTGTGGAAGGCAGTGTAAGTGTCGCTCCCATGGCAGAGGCGCTGCTCTCCCATGTCCATTGCCCCAGACATCACTGTTCAACCAATGGTCCATTTGTTCATTGTAACCCTCTCATCATGTCGTTGAGACGTCCCGAAACGGATTCCCAAGATTTTACTGGGAAGTGTAGCGACTGTTTATTTGCTGATAGAGCGAGTGACCAATTTTATTTGGGGGATTGTCGACCAGGACACCAACCGGGAGAGAGAAACCCCCTCCACCTGAACAACATCCGCCTGATGTGCAGTCAGGGAGCTCGGTTTTTAACGCCTCGGTTAGCGACGACAACGACAACTTGGGTTTATATTGCGTCTCTCACCCGGGGGCTGCGCCTTGGCAGCAGCTTGCCTGTACAGCCAGTCACTACACCCGCCGACAAGCGCATGTGCGGTGTTTCGGCGTGGAGCAGGCGGTGTTTGTTTGCCGGGTTATCGGGACGAGACGGTGAGCGAGAGCCCGTCCAGTAACAAGGAGCTGAGGCCGTTTAGCGAGCGAGGATGCGTGTGAGTTGCGTGTTCGTGGGTCCGTGACGCATGCTAGGATTGGAATCCTGTTGCCTTCAGGTATGAACTGTTCCCTGGGATTAGATTAATTACCCCTGGGGCTAATTATTCAACCATGTAATACCCCAGCTTTTGCTTTTAATTACATGCTTAGTTCGGGCAGCTTTTTCTAAAGCCGGGTGGGGAGTTGGGGGTGGGTGAGTGGTGGGTGGGGGGGCGGGTGGGGGGGTGCATATGTGCACTGGGATGGGACAGGCTCAAATAACGGGTTTAAAACGACCGGCTCAGTCGCCCTCCCACCTCCGCATTGTCGGAAACGCCGTCCTTTCGGGTGAGACGTGAAACTGAGGACCCCCCCCCGAACTGGTGGGCGTTAAGGATATCGCGACGACTCGATCAGGCGCTTCATCAAATACAAGGATGATTAAAATTATTATTGTTAGTCATTAACATTATCATAACCCACTTGGTGACCATCTGATGTAATTTACCCCGAGCTCCTGCCTGTCTCCAGCTCAGAAATGAGCATTTACACACACACGCGTGGTCTTGCACCCGGCGCGTGTTAGAATACAACGCAGTTACAGTGCAGTTCACGCTTATATCGCCTTATATCAGGACCCTGGTGTAGTCCCCTCGTGCGCGTATCTATGCTGACTCCTGGCAATAACTGTTAAGCTATTGCCCGAAGATTAAAATACAAAACACACGCAGTCACTACACTACAGTAAAGAGACGTCCTCGCTCCTGCAAGGATTATTATTATTATTATTGCCGTATTTAATGTCTTGCTCTGTCCGAATGCTGAAAGGTGAGGCTCCAATTCCCCCTCGTTGCCACCAGGCGGCAGCGCATCGCAGACAAACCTGGTCTCTGCTTCTCCATCAGCGACTTTGGAAGAGAACCTCTCCGAACGTTTGTTCAACGAAACCATTTCAAAAAAGGGTCCCGTGGGTCCGTCTGCCCCACGTGGGAGTCTGCGTCGAGGACGTAGAGTGATTGGCGTCGGCCTGAACTCAATCGCTCAATGCTCTCACCTCTGGGTCAGAAGGTTATGGGTTCAAGCCCACACCCCTCCTCTTCCCCCCCCCCCCACTCCCACCTCAGGGGCTTTGAGCTCACACCGTCCAGGCTGACCCGAGCTATGTAGACTTTGAATGAGACATTAAACCACTAAGCTGTGTCCGTGTGTTCATGACGGTATCTCCGTCAACACGGGTCTCCTCCCCGCTCTCCCCCTCTCCCCCCTGCACCCCCCAGTACTGCACATGGAGCATTAGCCTCGACGTTGAGAGCAAAGCCCCTGACACGGTGTGTGTGTGGGTGGGTGGGTTGGTGATGGGGGGGTTCAAACCTATACCCTTCTCACCCGGAGACGAGAGAGAAAGAGAGAGAGAGAGAGAGCGTGAGTGACTGAGGGCTTGATAATCAGCCGCTTCTGTTTCATCGGTGGGGGGTGGGGGGGGGGGGGGCCTCGCTCACACATCAAAGTGATCAGCTCCCAATTATCGAGCGGCTAATTGGAGGAGGTTCATTAAAGCGTCGAGGGTTTGTTTGCGTGTGGGTTAGAGACCCTTCGTGGCGAATCTCAGGCCGGGTTCGAACGGATGCAGATTGGTTCCCGAGCTGGGAGACTCGCTCGATGTTCACGAAGGTAACAAACCCTTGAAATCCCTGAGACTCCAGAAAAAAACACGTCGAAAACCAAAAAAAAGACCATTGATTGCTGGTGGGGATTCAAGGGACGGGGATGTTGGTTACTGAAGCATCTCGGAATGGCTGTCTTTCTCTCTCTCTCTCGGTGTGCAGAGAGCCACAACAACAACAACAACTTGCATTTAGATAGCAGCCCGGAGCCATTGGCTGCAGACTCCCTCGACTAGCTCATAACACGACACCTTCCACGTCGGAGGGACGCCTTAAAAGCGCTTCACTGTAACGCGCAGTGACCGTAGTTTTGTAGGCGAACACGGCAGCCCAGTTTGCGCACAGCGACGTCCCACAAACAGCCACGAGCAATTTGATCTGTGGGGTAAACTCCCTCATATGTTTAGTGTGTGTAGGGGGGGGGGGGGGGGAGGTGAACACAGATTATTGGGTGGTTTGCAGGAGGCAGGTGTAGACTTGAGGGCAGGTTTGCTTCCTGACGGACACACGTTTATCCGAAGTATCTCTGAGCCGTATATTAAGCCGAGGTTTTCCCATTGTATCAGCGACAGCCCAAGAATCCTTAATCCAGGGATAGAAATTGAAATGTATAATCGTGTTAAAAAGCCTCATCTGCTTCCCATTCATAGTTTGGCTGCTCCGTCAATCCAGCCAGTGCCTTCCCATTGGCAACAGTCACCAATAATAATAATAATAACAATAATCCTTACCATTGACGCAGCGACTTTCACGTCAGAAGAACATCTCAAAACGCCTCACAGGGTTTTCTGTGTAGTGACTGGGTATTTTTTGGGGGCTGAACCCGGCAGCCAATTTGTACACAGCAACGTCCGACGAACAACCCTAGATTTTTCATCGCTGGAATATTTCTTGATTTTCACTGACCGTCAAGAAATATTCAATCAAGAAAAAACTTAAGACACATAACCGATCGAACGCGGACTTACCTAGACTGGTGCGGATGTTCAGTGGGCCGCTTTCGGCCCGCGGGCCACAGGTTGACCATCGCTGGTCTGGACAGTTGAAGCCCCACCTCCCAACCCCGGGCAGGTGGGCTGGTTCCAGGCTCCATGCAATGGATTAGAGTGTTTGTCTCTGTCAATGTGCATCAGCACATTTTATTTAATGGGCGCGAAACAGATAAGAGGAATGTTTGCTTAAGAGAAACATTGACTCCAGCCGTTAATTTATTCCCCATTTACCGTCCTGTCAGGGTTGGGCCCAGGGGGAAGCTTTGTGGGTGGTGCTGGTCAATTGACTGGGCCTCAGGGATTCCATGTCAACTGTTCCCCACAGAGTAAATCAACTACTTAACTGCTTAACTAATCAGCAGGTTAGGAGGGCATCTCAAAAGTGCTTCATGGGAGGTGTAGTGACTGTATTTTTATAGGCGAACGGGGCATCCGGTCTGCGCACAACGACATGCCCGCCAACGTTCACTTTACAATATATTATGTGAAAGCGCTTTGAGACGTGATAAGGCGCTATAATATATAATATATATATGTACGCACATAATGTGAAGGTTATTATTCCGAGTGTTGTGTGGTAGGGTCAATGTCGTCCTCTGCTGGTGTCGTACTGTAACGCTGTGAGAGTTGTCCATTGAGCTGCTCATTGAGGTTCCTCTGCTCGGACGCAATGATCCCGTCCGCACTGCGTTAGGCATTAATCTGTCCCCTGTATTGTCCTCGCCACTCTCCTCCATACCGCCCCCAGGCCCTGGCCACCCCCTCCTCATGCCCCCACCCCTCCCCTTCCCCCCCCACCCCTCCCCTCCCAACCGAGCAGCCCCTCAGTAATCACACGGAGACGTGCACATTAACTCCATCTCTTACGCTGACTCCGCGATCCCCAATCGCTGGTGTTTGCCCGGAACCTGAGCCAACGTTCCTTTCAGAGATAACGATTCCCAACATGAGCTGACGAGAGAGAGAGAGAGAGAGAGAGAGAGAGGCAATTTCCAGGGAGATTAGCATCGCTGGACCAGATATTAGTTGATCGCATTAGCCTCGTTTTAAAAGCCACTTAGAAATGAGTGGGGAAACCCAGTGATTAATGTCCCCATGTGGCTTTGAGGACGACCTGCTGTTCCCGCGATTTGACGTGTCCACACCAGCTTGTCTCGCTACACGCCCGTTTGCGCCAGTCAGCTGCTGCGAGCGGAACTGGCACAGCCCCAGGGCAGGGCAAACATCACAAAAACAGCCGGAGACTTTCTGACCGTCGAACAAACGGCCGCAGTCTCTGGTGGGTTCATGCCAGCTTTCGACCGCAGCAGTTACATCTTTCCGAGCCTTTCCCGAAGTACCTCCCTCCTCTTCCTCTCCGTGAAGCGAGGATTGAATCCGAAACGTCTTGGAAGAAAATAAGAACAAACAACACTTTTCTGCTTCCACCGTCTGCCCAGTTCTACCACTTTACTGCTCGCTCACTGAAGCAGTGGTATGTTCTGAATTTACCCCTCCCCGCCCCTCGATCGCAGCCCGTGTCCTCTTTCTACTGTTCAGTGCAAAATAAAACACTTTCCATTCTTAATCAATAACAATAATAATAATAATAATCCTTGCGTTTGCCACAGTGCCTCATCACGTTAAAACACCTCAAACCGTGTCACAATTCCTCCCCACCACTGCATCCACCCCCACCGGTACGGTGTAGTGACTGTGTTTCCGAATGGGAACCGAGCGCCAGGGATTAATGGGATTTGTAATTTAACTCGTAATTAATAAGACGGAATTGATCTCGGCTGCACACAATTTGGAGGCAGCGATTGATTAAACCTGCTCAGCGCTTGAAAACAGGGACATGTGTTTTTAAAATCAATTATGTGATGTGATAACTGATCTGTGTGTGAGAGGGGGGGGGGCCCTGATTACACACCGACACCCCCCCCACCCCCGTGACAAACCACTCTCTGTCCGTCCGCAGTTAAGCTCTGTTAAGCGCTCCGATACTCCGTCCGGAGTTAAGGCCTCTATATAAATGCAAGTTGTTGTTGTTGTTGTCTCCTCTTGGAGATTTTCTAGAGCTAAACATGCGGGAGCGAGGGTGGGGGTGGACGGGAGGGGGGGACTCGTTAAGGCAGATTTTCCTGCTGTTTAAACAGTGCTATCTCCTTCCGAGTAAGTGGGTGAAAACAAAACGCAGATGTTGTCGATCGATCAATCGATCCCGAGGGAGGATTGGTTTGAGTGAGGAAATGCCCTTTGGACCATTTGATCGCACCATTTCCCCCCCCCCCCCCCCCCACCCCCCACATTCAGGTGAGACGTTAAACCTCACTCACTCCCTGTCTGTGCCCTGTTCAGGTGGTGACGTTAAACAAAGATCTCTCTCTCTCTCTCCCTCTCTCTCTCCATGTCCTGAGCGACCATCCCTCCGACAGACAAATAAAATCAGTGCATCGCTTCGCTGCTGTTTGCGCAGTCGTCGCTGTGTGTCGCGCGCAAACTGACTGTCGAGCTCACCTACGAAGCGCACAGTCACCGCACTTTGCAGTGAAATCCCGAGAAGCGCTTCGAGACGACTCGGTGTCAAGCGGGAGGCTCGCTGCTGTAATATTTTATATGCCGCAGCTCAGCCTCTTGCTTGTTTAACGGAGGCAGGAAATTGGAAAGGATTTGGAATGGGGGCTTGGGATTATCAGCCGGTATTGATCGCGGAACGAACTTTACAAAGCGGCAGATAAATGGGGGGAGTAGCCCTGCTTTATTGGGGGTAATTACTGAGTGAATTGCTCGCCAGCTGTGTCTCGGACACAGCTCACGTGATGAGCGTCCCCCCGCCCCCCGACCACCAGTTCAGCATCCCTCTCCTCCGCTCTCTCTCTCTCTCCCTCCCTCCCTCCCTCCCTCGCCCCCCTAATGACTGACTCCATACGGTGTGAGCCCGGGTGTGTGTGGGTGAGGTTGTGGGTTTAAACCCCTGCATCAGGACTTTGAGCTCACAGTCCAGGCTGGTATTCCAGTAGGGTGGGGGGGGTGGGGGAGTGCTGTCGGGAGAGACGTTAAACAATGGTCCCGTTTGTCCGTGTCCATCCGGGAAGACGCTAAAGATCCCATTTCTCCCAGAGCCCTGACTGACAATAACTCCCCCCCCCACCCCGCCCCGCCCCTCCCAGGCTCTCCTTCTCTCCCATTGATAAATAAAATTGGTCGTTCACTCAATGGCAGTTTGTGGGCTGTTCACGGGGGCCAGCAGCTCACCTACAAACCGCGACAGTCACTGCACGTGGCAGCAGGGCCCCGGGGGTGGAGCGATGGGTGTTAATTAAACGCTGCGTCGAGCAGGGCAGATGGTTATTGAGTTGCTTTCACTCAGGGAAGCAAACGTCACGTCGCGAGCGCGCGCGCCCACAGGTGATGTTCGGTGGAGATATCCCCTGTTCATCAGCTTAGTGTCAGCTGTAGGCTGTCAGACAGTAAGTAACTCCTGCATTTGTTGGCTCTTTGCCTGTCTGTCTGTCTGTCTGTCTGTCTGTCTCCCTCCCACAACAGAGCTTCTGAGATTGACCGGGTGTAAGAGTGAGTAGCCCGGTATCACCCCCGCACCCCCCACAACTCGCTCCCCACCTCAATCCCCTCCTCCCACGCCCCCCGCCATCCGCACCAGCTCCCCCCCTACCCCTGTTGGCAGAGTAACGCTTGTCCTTAGATCGCTTGTTTAATTGTTTGATTGGGGTACTTGCAATGCACGCAGAGCGAGTGACTGAGTGCGTGTCGAGCGACTGAGTGCGTGAGCGAGCGAGCACTTTCTGCAGGTTGTGTTTAATTCGCACTCCTCCGTCTCTCTCTCTCTCTCTCTCTCTCCTCCCTCCCTCCCTCCCTCCCCTCTCGCTCTCCTTTTGCCTGCTGTTCCTGGCGGGAGTTTGAAGCCGGGAACCTACTCTCACAGGTGGAGAAGTTTTACGTTCCGTTGTGCTTTATATGCCACACTTGTGTTACCGTGAGATGCTCTGTGCGTTGGTATGTGCGGAATACCGGCCTGGGTCAACATGCACGTCAGTGTGTATGTGCGAGTGTGTGTGTGTGCGTCAGCGCGATCAGGAGTAGAGGTGGTCAGTGGTGTCAGCATATGTGTGTGTTTGTGTGCGTGTTTATGTGTTTGTGTGTGTTTGTGTGTGTGTATGTTTGTGTTTGTGTGTTTGTGCGTGTGGGTATGTGTTTGTGCGTGTTTGTGTGTTTGTGCGCATGTGCGTGTGTGTTTATGTGTGTTTGAGCGTGTGTTTGTGTGTGTGTGTGTGTTTGTGTTTGTGTAAAAAAAATTTTCTTTTTCCCCCCCCAACTAGGAAGCACGATGGAGGAGACCTTAACCTCTCCGGTTCATTAGAACTCCTGAGTCCGCAGCCCCGCACGCCTCCCACAGACCCCCTGTACCTCAAGGTAAAGCTGTAACGTCACCGGTAAATGTGAAGCTCGCTTTGTCTTGTGAGGTCTTCCGGTCTTCCGGTCAATCGTTTGTTTTGCTCGCCAGCTGGACGTCCCGAGTCAGCGCCTTGGGACGTCCTCCCGACGTGACAGGCGCTCTATAAATGGAATCGTGTTGTTGTTGTTGTTTTGACCACTTGCTCGTCTCCCCTTTCCATCAGTGGAAAATACAGTCATGTTACGCCTGGCCTCAGTCTGGCTCCCTCGGAACCACTCTCTCTCTCTCGCTCTCTCTCTTTCTCACATCTCTGGGTCAGAAGATTGTGGGTTCAATTTCCCCCCTTGCCTCCCCTCCCTCCCCCATCCACAGGGGGGGGGGGGTGAGAGAGCCTCTGCTGCATTGTCGGAGGCGCTGGAGTATCAGCTTATACTGTGCACGTTCAAGGTCTTGATGTGTGTGGGTGGGCGTGGGATGGGGGGAAGGGGCTCGATCCCCTCTGACTCAGAGAAGAGAGCGCCACCCAGCGCCCGATTGTCCGAGCCAGGAACCCAGGCCGTGACTGGGTCGAAAGCCAACACTTGACCTCCTTCCCCTGAGGCGCGAGCGGGCTCCGAAGGCTAATCAATAAAATAGGCCAAATAGGTCCTCAGTGTAAGGTCACAGGGGCTGAAGTTAGCCGTCCAGTGTAATTCCAACGCCACGTCTCCAAACCGCTTGAAATTAGCGTCTGTGAGAGCGAGGGAGCAATTAAGCAGAGAAGTGAGGGGGGTGGAGGTGGCGGAGGGGATGGAGGGGAGCGGAGGGGGGCGGAGGGGAGTGGAGGGGGTGGAGGGGAGCGGAGGGGGTGGAGGGGAGCGGAGGGGGTGGAGGGGAGGGGAGGGGTTGGAGGGGTTAGAGGGGAGCGGAGGGCAGCGGAGGGGTGGAGGTGAGCGGAGGGGGTGGAGGGCAGCGGAGGGGGTGGAAGGGAGCGGAGGGGGCGCAGGGCAGGGAGGGGTTGGAGGGGTTGGAGGGGAGCGGAGGGCAGCGGAGGGGGTGGAGGGGAGTGGAGGGGGTGAAGCCAGTGGTTGGTGCTCAGTGCTGGCCTCTGCTGTTTGGCCTGTGGTAAACCTGACCTACATCGCTGGGTGCGTCATGAGCATTTCACGCCATCTGCCTGTTTTTTTGCGTGAATAAGTATTCCAGGGCCAGTTTCACGAGCCACACACATACTCCGTAATGACGAGCGCTCAAGTGCTCTTACTCACCTCACACCCCTTCAGCTTTGTTCCTTGGGCTCGGACCAGTGGTTCAGCCCCTGACTCTCTCGCCTCGGAGTCAGAACACAATCGCAGTAAAAAAATGTACACTTATACAGTCGCGCCTTTCACATCGGGAGGACGTAATAATAATAGTAATCCACGCATTTGATGCAGCGCCTTATCACATCTTCGAGACGTCTCAAAGCGCTTCACGGAATAGACTGTAAAGTAAATTGAAACGCGGCAGCCAATTGCGCACAGCAGCGTCCCCACAAACAGCCGTGGATTGAGCGACCAAATTATTGTGATTTATTTACTTGTGGAGGGATTATTACCCCGTAAAGGCGATCCGCCAATCGACTAACAACTGGGTTCCTTCTTACTGATGGGTAACCAGCGGCGTACGGGTGGAGTAAGGAAACTTGCCCAAAGTTTCGCCCTACCTGCCCGGGAATCAAACCCAGGTCCTGTCGCTCGCTCTACAGGATGCCACGTTTTGATGTGGGCTTTGAAAGAGGGAGAGAGCGAGGGGGGAGGGACAAGTGATTGTGGGTTTAAGCCCTCCGCTTTGGGGGCTTTGAGCTCACAGTCTTGAGTGGTGGGGGGGGGGGTGTTGGTGGGGGGGAACGGGGAAAGATCACTTAGCTGTTTCTGGTGAGTGTGCAAACAGTAACCTGGATGGTCACACACCTTATTATCAAACGGATTATCAGCCATTAGAGAGGATTAGGGACACAGGTTTCGAAAGCACTAAATTACCATGGAGTCGGCTGCTTTGCAAATAAAGGAACAATTTTCTGCCTTGAGATAAACGGTGATAATCCGGGACAGAGAGAGAGAGAGAGAGAGAGGGGGGAGGGAGAGGGAGAGAGAGAGAGAGAGAGAGGGAGGGAGAGAGCTAGGGTGAGCAGACACTGCGCAGGGTGATGGGGTGGCGGGGGGGAAGGGGGAACCAAAATTTCCTCTGGCTTTAGCCCATCTCGGACACTCAGATTCGTTGGGGATTTAAGTCATTTGCTGAGCGGGACGGAGGAGTTTCGCTCCAAGCCCTTCTCGAGGAGACGAGCGCTCAGTCTGGTGTCGTAAAACGCTGCTTAATTCATTCATTTGCTCATGTTACAAAGCCACATCGCTGCCAAGACGGGTCAAAGAAAAAAAAAGGGCATCAGACGGAAACCTGGCCGGCAATCCCCCCTCGGCATTCCATATGGCGCAGTCGTTAGCGTGGCCTCCGTTGGGATTTCCCTCTTCCCCTCTCCCACCGCTCGACCCTCGCCCACAAAGTACACAGTCACCCCGCCGTACAGTATATTCCTTTAAACGCTTTGAAACGTCTCAACGACCTGATGAGGCGCTGTGTCAAACGCGAGGATTGGTATTATTATTTAAACGCAAACTTCATCAGAAGGCGGAGAGAAAGGATAAATATTTCAGAAGGAACCGTATTTAAACATCGCGGTGGGCGGTGGGTGTGGGGGGGAGCGGGGAATTGGGATTAAAGCAGCTAGCTAAACCGAAACATCTCCATCTGTGCTGCAGTTTGTATAATTGTACAATCACGGCTGAAAGATTTTCCCCTGATTCACGAGGTATCTCTCCAGGTATCTCTCTCCCCTTCTCTCCCCTCACTCCTCTCTCTCTCTCTCTCTCCTCCCTCTTCTCTTGTCCCCTCCTTTCCTCTCCTCTCCTCTCCATCTCACAGTATTGCCCAAAAAGGAAATCTCTTAGGATTCGGAATAAAACCCTTTTTGTCGGTAATCCAAAGTAGCTTTTAATGAAAAGCTTTTCCTCGGCTGCACTTCAGCAGGAAAAAGATAAATAATTCACTTGGCCATCAGGACTCACAACTATTTTGAGAGAGTGAGTGAGAGAGAGAATAAACAGTGTGTGCGCGTGTCTCTCTCTCTCTCTCTCGGTGCTTTTATTCAGAGGCTAAGAGCGGTGTTGCTGCTTGTTGCAGTTGGTCTGTACTTGCAAAGAGGCTCGTGTGGTTTGGATTTAGGTCTGGGCGTGAAGCCAGGATTGCGTCCCACTATCAGTCACACGAGCCCGGATACGGAGCACACACTCACAGTCTCCGTTCCCAGTCTCGCTGCGTTCTTCCTCGGGGAAGGGGAGGAGGAGGAGGAGAGAGGGAGCTGGTGACTTGAGTAGGGAAGAGGAGAGGAGAGTACCGTTCGCTGTGTGAGCCATGCTCAGCGTGCTGTGTGACAGCGAGGCTCAGAGAACGGCTACGATGGCTGAACCCCCGTCTTCCGCCCGGCTGAGCTGGGCCACGGCGGGGGCTGTGGACCCGCGGCTGCTCCGCTGGGGGGTTAATGTGAGTGAGGGGGTGCGAGGCAGAGGGAGTTATTCCCAAGCGGCTGCCGGTGTCTTGAGGCTGAGTCGTTGGAGGCTAGTCCAGGCGCGTCTAAACGATCAGAGGAATTGCTAGACGATAAAAGACCATCTCGTTCACCTTCTACCCTCCTAGTCGTCGCTTGCTACAATAATAATGGAGATGTTGATAACAATTAAGTCTGTGTAGATCCCCCTCCTTCCATCCCCTCCCCAGAGGTGTGTATGTGGGTGTGTGGGTGTGTCGGGAAGATACACAAACCGCCTGAGTCTCTCCCCCTCCTGTTAAAGATTAAAGAGACCTGGGATTCCCCAGTGCCATAACAGAGTTTGTGTCACCAACTGTCATCTCAAGGAATTGTCGCAGACGTTAGATTCAGCTCCCAGCTGTGCCCTGTTCAGGCGGACGTTAAAGATCTCCCATGGAGCTCTCTCCCGGTGTCCTGGCCGATAATGTCCCTCCCCCAGATAATATCGGTCACTCACTTCATGGGTGCTTGCGGGGACGTTCCTTTGCTGAATTGGTTGCCGCATTCACCCACAGCGTTAGAGTAGATCCTGTGAAGCGCTTTGAGTCGTTCTCCCGACGTGAGAGGCGCTGTGTCAAATATAAGGATTATTATTATTATCAATTTCTCTCTCTCTCACAGAACACTGACCTGTTTGACATGATTGAGAAGATGCAGGTAAGACTTAGCCAATCGCTGAATATGAAAATTTAGCGGGGGGGCGGGTGGGGGGGGGGGTTGAGGTGATGGAGGGTTTGGGGGTGGGGGGGTGTTTAGGGAGATAGGGAGGTGCCAGGGCCATGGTGGTGGAGGGAGGGGGAGATGATGGGGTAAGTTGTAGGCGAGGGTGAGGACCTGGAAATCCATCCGCTGGGAAACAGGACGGAATTCTCCCCGTCTGGATCCTCTGAGATATGACAGAAAACCGACCGCCGAGATTGCTTGAGTTCCCTTAAAAACCCGGGGTAAATCCGGGAGTAAAGCGTTTGTGGGCAGGAGTGAGGCCGGAGCTTGTCGTTATGGGGTCCTGACTAATAATAATAATAATAATAATAATCCTTGCATTTGATATAGCGCTTTTCACGTCGAGAGGACGTCCCAAAGCGCTTATGCGGAACTAATTGGAGCTGACGGTTTGTTTGTTGATTTGTTTGTTGGAGTTTGTACCTAATATTCACACCACCTTTTCCTTTCTCTCTCCCCCACCTTCCTCCTCTCACCCCCCCACCCCACCCCACCACCACTCCCCCAAACTTGTACAGGGCTGCAGAATGGATGAGCAAAGATGCCCTCTTCCACCACCTCTGAAAGTAAGTCCTTCACACTCGGCTGATAACCAACACACACACACACACACCTCGCAGGGGATTCCAACTTGCCCTTTCCCATCCGATCGATCGTCGCCATTCTCCGCCAAGAGCACCCAAAATTCCCTCCGCAAGTCGGAAGTTTAGCCTTAAGAGGTCACAGAGGCCCGACCACCTGTCCAATTAATAATCATGATGGATTTTATGCGTGAGATTGTGCGGGATTTTAGAGAGTTCTTCAGTTGGAAGCCCAGAATTCACCCCAGTTTTTTGGTTCTTAGCGTCTAAATTAGGACACGGTCGAAGAGGTTTGATTGCCAATTGGTTAGAAACTCTTTTTAACCTGACAGGTCCAGGGGAATCCTTAAACTTTAAGACTGTGACCACTTTTGAAACATTCTTTATTTCAGTGTTAAATTGGTGTCATTTGTACACGAGAGCGATTAGGGCATTGAAAGGGCAGTGAAAGAGATATGTTTTGAGATGAATCTTGAATGGGGAAGAGGGAGGGGAGGTGGGGGGGGGGTGAGGGGTGGGAGGGGAATGGAGGGACGGAGGGAGGGAGGGAGGGAGGGAAGGAAATGTGGTTTTATTTTAACTCTGACACACACAAACCGGCTGTCTGTCCCGATCAATAGCCTTGATTGTAAAATGGTGTGTTGTTTGATCTCTTGCAGACAGAAGAAGATTACATTCCCTACCCCAGTGTTCACGAGGTACAGTATCTGAATCCCTTTCCTGGTCAATTAGACATGTCATTTATGTCACTGTATGGAAAACAAGAATTATTATTATGTGTCAGCCTGGTATATATTATTATATATATTTATATTATATATATTTTATTATAATATATATAATATATTATATATGTCAGTCGCACTCTCACCTCTGAGTCAGAAGGTTGTGCTCACAAAATATACATTCAATTCACTTTACATATATCCTGTGAAGCGATTTGAGTCGTCTCCATGACGTGATAAGGCGCTATATCAAATGCAAGGATTATTATTGTGGGTTCAAGCCCCCACATGAGGTCTTTGTACTCGCAGTCCAGGCTGATGCTTCAATAAACGCTAGGGGGAGCACAGCATTGTCAGTTGTTCGTCGATTGCCAGGTCGTTTTTCCGGGGAAATAATTCCTTCAAGATAAATAAATGTGGTCACTCACTCCATGACTGTGTGTGTGACACTGCTGTGTGCGTTTGGCCCACAAAATACACAGTCACTACACTTTACGGAGTCCTGTAGCTCAGTGGTTAGAGCACTCGCTTTGCAAGCGAGAGACCTGAGTTCAATTCCAGGCAGAGGGCCAAACCTTGGGCAAGTTTCCTTACTCCACACAGAGCCTAATAATAATCCCTCCAAAACCAAAAACAATAATAAATTGGTCATTTTCAATCTACGACTGTCTGCGGGACATTGCTGTGCGCAATTGGCTGCCGCGTTCGCCCACAAATATACAGTCAATTCACTTTACAGTCTATTCTGTGAAGCGCTTTGCGACGTCCTCCCGACGTGAAAAGCGCTATATCAAATGCGAGGATTATTATTGTTATTATTATTATTCATAGTATATCCTGTGACGCGCTTTGAGGCGTCTCAACAACGTGATAAGGCGCTGTCTTAAATGCTAGAATAATTATTGATGATGATGATGTGTGGAATATCTGCGCACCAGGAGCTGGACAGGCCGGCCTGAGCGATGCTCTGAGCCCAGATCTAAGTGCTGGCTGTTGGCTGTTCTGTCTCAGGTTCTCAAGAGACAGACCCCGTTTCCGATTGTGCTTCTCCCCCAGTTTGGAGGCTACTGGATCGAGGGCACCAACCACGAGCTTCCCAGCTCCCCAGAAACCGATCAGCTCTCCTCCCCCTCCTCCAAACTCAAGCTGGAGACCAACATTATAGCCAAACTTTACCGCAAACACTTCATGGGAAAGGTAAGGGGTGTGGGGGGCGGTGGGGGTTGAGGGGGGGTTGGGGGGGGTGGGCGTGACAGACCAGAGAGCGTGCCATCCGGTCACAACACCAACAAATTACATTTACACGGAGCCTTTCACGTCAAAGGACGTCCCAAGGCACTGGACACTCAGGGATTTGGACCCAAGCTGGGGGCTGGGATTGGGAGGGGTGGAATAACTGGGGTCTTAATACCGAGCCGCTACAGCGTGTCACTGAGGGAAATGTTCTTGAGTTTGAACGCTTTGTCTTTAAAATTGATTTGGAAACAGACTAAACCGAGCAGCCAGAACACTGTCTGCACTTCCCCATTTGGGGAATTCTTGGGAAAACTCAGCTTCCGGCTTCACTTTGAAAAGGAATGGCCGATCCACATCCCAGTCCTGACCCCAATCCTGAATGAGATCCTCTTTTTTGTCTATAGACTGGTTGCATTTAAATTGGGTGGAAATTCCCCCCCATCCCCGTCCCCCCCGGGGCATGAGCGAGACTATTTTAACGTATATTTCCCCCCTCAGGAGCACTTTAACTATTATACCATTGACAGTGCGCTGGGCCATTTAGTATTCTCCCTAAAGTACGACATCATTGGCGACCAGGAGCACCTGAGACTTCTGCTGAGGTAAGTTCTTCAACAACAACGACTGGCTTTTACTTAGCACCGTTTCATGTCTCTGAGCGCTTGACAAAGGCGATGGTTGGGGTGTGGGGGGGAATCATCAAGTGGGAGGAAACGGCGGGAGGTGGGGTGTTTGATGGTGTTGACGAAAGGCACAGTCATCGGGAGGGTTTTGAGGAGGGGAGGGGAGGTGCCGAGGGGGAGGGAATTGGGGTGAGAGACAGAGAGACAGGAGCAGGCTTGGCTGACGGGATATGTGGGGGGGTGGGGGGGGTGTGAGGTGGAAGCAGTGACTAGGGGTACACCGCGTGTTGGCAGTTACACATTGGTTGCTCACTGGCTCACCGGCGGGTCAAGAGTCTCTGAGCTCAGAGGTCAGGATCGTGACCCTTGCAATGGCTCCTTTACTAACCCTAAACTTCTTTGTTCCCCAGAACTAAATTCAGAACCTACCACGATGTCATCCCCATCTCCTGTCTGACCGAATTCCCGAATGTGGTGCAAATGGCCAAGGTACGTCCCTGTGAGGTGGAGCCCCAACCTGCCCAGGTTGACGCTACAAAGATCCAGCCGCACGATATCAGACCTGGGTTCGATTCCCGGGCAGGGCGAAACTTTAGGCAAGTTTCCTTACTCCACACCCTTCTGTTTTCCCCAGCAGCAAGTAAGGACCTGGTTGTTAGTCGATTGGGGGATCACTTTTCCGGGGGTAATCATCCCTTCAAAATACATAATAATAATAATGTGGTCACTCCTTAATTGTGGGGACGCTGCTGTGTACAATTGGCCCAGTTTCGCCCACAAAATATCCAGTCAATTCACTTTACAGTATATTCTGTGAAGCACTTTGAGACGTCTCGAAGATGTGATAAGGCGCTGTATCAAATGCGAAGAATATATATATATATATCCCGTGGCACTATTGGGAAAAAGAGAAAGAAGTTTCTCTCTCTCTCTCTCTCTCTCTCTCCCCCGGTGTCCTAGCCATCAGTCCCGACACATAGAATTTGGTTGCTCGGCTGTGAAGGCTGTTAAGGAGACGTCGCTGTGTGCGAACTGACTGCAAAGTTCGCCTGCAAAGCACACAGTGACTTTGGGCCGTCCTCCCAGCGTGAAGGACGCTGTGTAGGTGTACAGCGGGCTGTGCATTGTGTGCGTTGGAGGTTCGGGAGCTGAAACTCAGCCGCTTGTCTCTGTCTCTGTCTCTGTCTCCAGCTCGTTTGCGAAGAGGTGAACGTGGACAGATTCTTCCCGGTGTTATACCCGAAGGTACGGTTCATACCTCGCCAGCCGCCTCGCACGCTCTCACCCCTAACATTTATTTGCATGCATCGTGTGGATGTTAACCACACAATTCCCGGACGGGGTGGGGGAGAGGTGAGGGGGGGGGGGCGGCGGGAGAGAAGGATGGGGGGAGGAGGGGGAGGGGATGTGTTTTGACGCAAATGAAGTGCACCGTCCTGATGGGGAGGTCTCATTGTGTGCTTTCTCTCTCTCTCTCTCTCTCTCTCTCCTCCTCAGGCCTCCCGGCTGGTTGTGGCATTTGATGAGCACGTCATCAGCAATAACTTTAAGTTCGGGGTGATCTACCAGAAGTTCGGGCAGGTGAGTGGGTGGGTGGGTGGGTGGGTGGGTGGGTGAGAGGGTGGGTGACTGAGATACGGCAGAAATTTCTAACACAAAACTCGCCAGGCGGTAAAACCCATTTTGCCCCCAGCAACATCCAGCCAACAGCCAGGAAGTCAGGGACCAGTGTTACCTGGGGGGGGGGGGGGGGATTTTCCCCGGTTTCCTGGCTGACAATCCCCCCCACCCGCCCGCCCGCCCCAATAAAATAGGTGATTTCACTCTCACCGGTGGGTGTGTGTTTGCGGGAGGGAATGTCGCTGTGCGCAAATTGGCCAACGGGCTGGACTACAAAATGCGCAATCACTACACTTTGCAGTAAAAATCCTGTGAGGCGCTTTGCGGTGTCTTCCCGACATGCTAAGGGGCGAAACCCCCTTCCTCTCTTTTCGAGTCGCAGCGCGTGAGCTCTTTAACATCCACCCGATCAGGGCACACTTGGGGGGGTGGGGACTAGGGGGAGCTCAGCTTAACCGCTCACCCCGAAAGATGGCATCTCTGAAAATACAGCACTCCCCCCCCCCCCCCCTTCCCCCCCCCCCACCCCAGTACTGGAACATCAACAACAACAACACAGTTACACTTGTGTAGCGCCTTTCACGTTGGGAAGACGTCCCAAGGCGCTGGACAGTCAGAGTGTCAGACCGGAGCTGAGGGTCGGGATCGGGGAGGGGTGGACGGGGGGGGGGAGGAGCGGGGAGATCGAAAGCGCGGTCGAAGAGGAGGGTCTTGAGATGGGTGTTGAAGGAGGTGAGGGAGGGGGGCGAGGAGGAGGGACTGTGGGATGGAGTTCCGGAGGTTTGGAGCAGAGTGGCTGCCCGGATTGTGTCCTCAAAACCCCTGACGTGGGGAATATTACAAGGGAACACCTGGCTGATGAGAGGTAAGGTCACAGGTACGCTGCCCCCGAGGTTTGGGGGTTTGAGCCCCTCGTGTGCGAGGATCGACTCACTGTCTTCATGTCACCTCGCAGACCTCGGAAGAAGAATTATTCACCAACACTGAGGAGAGCCCTGCCTTTGTGGAATTTCTGGAACTGCTGGGCGATAAAGTGGAGCTGCAGGACTTTAAAGGGTGAGTGTGCGAGCGTGTGAGTAAGCGTGTGTGCGAGCGTGTGAGCGAGCGTGTGAGCGAGCGTGTGAGTAAGCATGTGAGTAAGCATGTGAGTGAGCGGCTGTCTGAGTGAGTGGCCAAGTGAGGGAGTGAGTCAGTGAATGAGTGTGTGTGTGTGTGGGGAAGGAGGGAGGGAGAAATCATGTTTACTCAGTGTGTTCAGAACTGAACCCCGTATTTACACGCCCCCCCCAACCCCCCCCCCCCCAACCCCCCCAAGCTGGTGTCGAGGGAGCGTGACGATGTTGTGTGCTCCTGCAGGTTCCGCGGGGGCCTGGATGTGGCGCACGGACAGACGGGGACGGAATCCGTTTACTGCAACTTCAGGAGCAAAGAAATCATGTTCCACGTCACCACCAAACTGCCCTACACCGAGGGCGACACACAGCAGGTCAGGGCTGAGCCGGGCAGTGAGCGGCTTGGGGGCACTGGGGGAGGGGCTGGGGGCACTGGGTGAGGGGCTTGGGGGCACTGGGGAGGGACCTGGGGACAGCAGGGGAGGGCTTGGGGACAGCAGGGGTGGGGCTTGGGGACAGCAGGGGAGGGCTTGGGGACAGCAGGGGTGGGTCTTGGGGACAGCAGAGGCGGGGCTTGGATACAGCAGAGGTGGGGCTTGGGTACAGCGGGGGAGAGGCTTGGGGACACAGGGGGAGGGGCTTGGGGACAGCAGGGGAGGGGCTTGGGTACAGCAGAGGCGGGGCTTGGGGACGGCAGGGGAGGGGCTTTGGGATGGCAGGGGAGGGGCTTGGGGACGCAGGGGAGGGGCTTGGGGACGGCAGGGGAGGGGCTTGGGGACGGCAGGGGAGGGGCTTGGGGCCAGTGGAGGAGGGGCTTGGGTGCAATGGCTGAGCTCCCCGGGAGGCCATGGCTGACTGCCGCCCGGGGTTAATCGGCTGCTCCTGTTGCCACGTCCGTAGCTGCAGCGGAAGCGACACGTGGGGAACGACATCGTGGCCATCGTGTTCCAGGACCACAACACTCCCTTCGTGCCCGACATGATCGCTTCCAACTTCCTGCACGCCTACATGGTGGTGCAGGTGGAGAATAGCTGCAGCGACAACACGCTCTACAAGGTGAGCCTCGGCACACGCCACACGCCTCGCCCCACACGGCTCGGCACTCACGCCTCACGCCTCGCCCCACACGCTCACGGCTCGCCCCACACGCCACACGCCTAGCCCCATAATCCGTCCGGACATGCCTCACGCCACACGCCCTGCCTCACATGCCACACGCCGCGCCCCACATGCCACACGCCTAGCCCCATAATCTGTACGGACATGCCTCACGCCACACGCCTCGCCCCACACGGTTCGGGACTCACGCCACCCGCCTCACGCCTTGCCCCACACACTCACGGCTCACGCCACATGCCTCACCCCACATGCCACACGCCTCGCTCCACATGCCACACGCCTCGCTCCACATGCCTCGCCCCACCCACCACACGTTTCGCCACACAAGGGATGGTCAATCGAAACTAATAATAATGGCCCTTTTCAGCGCTGTAACTTGGAGTCTGTATCCTTGATGTCTGTATCCTAGTTTTCCTGAGTAAATTGTTTCCTAACAAACTCCCTTCCTCACGCTTTCCCAGGTTTCGGTCACGGCAAGGGATGACGTGCCTTTTTTTGGCCCGCCTCTTCCCGATCCGGCCATATTCCAGAAGGTAAGGACTTGATGGGGGGAAAAAAGAGCGTTGGGGAATGGTGTTACTGTAGAGAGCTCCAGTGGGGGAGTGAGCAGCAGCACAGATGCGATGGGAAGAGAGAGCAGGGAATGGGGTTGGGGTAGAGAGCTCCAGAGGGGGAGCGAGCACCAGCACAGACACTGTGGGCAATCTGGGGGGAGGTGGGGGACTCGCTCCGGTCTGGGAGTGACTTGATCGATTGCCGTCCGTTTGTTCTTCCCTCTGATTCTCTCAGGGTCCCGAATTCCAGGAGTTTCTCCTGACAAAACTCATCAATGCGGAGTATGCCTGTTACAAGGCCGAGAAGTTTGCTAAGTTGGAGGTAAGACCTGCAGTGTCGGCGGCCCATCACTGTGTACAATGTGTCCTGAGCTCAGCAGCCGAGCTCCAACACTGTCAGGATCACAATGCCATACAATACAAAATTACATTTATACAGGAAATCCCAAGGCACTGGACAGTCAGGGATTTGGACCCGAGATCTGTTGGGGTGAAGAAACCCTTTCATCTGATCTCCTTCCCCTTGAACACGCACCCTATCTATTTCACCCACCCCCCCATTAAACAAGTCCCAGAGTCCTGGCCTCAACCGACCCCCACCCCCCCCACCCTCCCACCCCCCCACCCTGGCAACCCTGTCACACCCGTTAATTCCCCTCTAGGTAAAGAAACGCTTCCGATGTCTGTCCTGAAATTGTAGCTCCGACCCATCTCCTCTTGTTCTGTTGTCACGGGGTGTCTTGATGTATTAATATTAATAATAATAATCCTTGTATTTGATATAGCGCCTCATCATGACTTTGCGATGTCTCAATAGCTCCACTTTCTCTTTCCCACTTACAGCGTTGTGAGAAGTAGTTTTCTCACTGACGTTGAGTGACTGAGGTGATTCAAGTTTCTCCGAAATGACGAATGAGCCACATTCCTAACCCCGATCCTCGTCCACCCGCGTGTTCAGGCCTGCGCTCAACATGTGATGCAGCACATGTGTGCCCACACGCGCGCAGGGCAGGAGGTCAAGTGCTGAGTAATCTCACGATCCTTCAGGATGAAAGCAGGAGCGTGTGTGACAGTGAAGGGAACCTGAAATCCTTCGTCTCAAATGATTTACAGGAAGACGTCGCAAAGTGCCTCAGAGAATTGGCTGGGAGTTCACGGTGGGGCGGGGGAAGGGTTAACGTCCGAGATGATTGTGGACCGGGAATCCCAGAGAAACTGCTCGTGTCTTTCCCAGAAAGTGTTTTGGGGTCTTTAACGGCTGCTCGGGGTAGGGCAGGGGGGAGATCATGGGGGCGGAATGACAGATGGACACCCTATTGATTGATCTCAACTCCCCCCCCACCCCCCATTTTCTTGTTTATTCCCCCCCCCCCACCCTGCCCCTCATCGCTGTGGTGATGAAGGAGCGCACACGCTCAGCCCTGCTGGAGACGCTGTATGAGGAGCTCCACGCCAACAGCCAGGCCATGATGGGGGTGGGCACCGAGGATGAGAAGATGGAGAACGGAGGCAGCGGAGGTGGGGGCTTCTTCGAGTCGTTCAAGGTAATTAGATCTTCTTCGCTCTCAGGTGCTGGGTCTGGGCGGGGGGTGGGGCAGAGGCAGGGCGCAGAGGTGCGATGTGAATGAGGGGCAGGGGGCAGGGGCGAGGCACGGAGGGGGTTTAAGGCAGGAGGGTGGGCGGGCACCAGGAACCAAGAGAAAACAATGGCTTTAAAGTTTAAGACTGAATTCAACAGATTCTGTACTCACTCGAACACAAAGAAGAGTAAATCTAAACCCACACACTCAAACAGACACACACATACGCACGCACAGATCCACACACTCACACACGCGCACGCACAGACCCACACACACACCCACCCACACACACACACACAGACCCACACACACACACACACACAGACACACACACACACACACAGACTCACACACAGACCCACACACACACACACACACACACAGACACAGACCCACACACACACACAGACCCACACACACACCCACACACACACACAACCCACACACACACACACACACAGACACACACACACACAGACTCACACACAGACCCACACACACACACACACACACAGACTCACACACACAGACCCACACACTCACACACACACACAGAGCCACACACTCACTCACACACACAGACCCACACACTCACACACACACACACACACACACACAGACCCAGACACTCACACACACAGACCCACACACTCACACACACACACACACACACACAGACTGACACACACGCACGCACAGATCCGCACACTCACACCCACACCCACACACGCGCACTCACACCCACACGCCATACACTCCTCTAAAGTGAGGAAAACTACTCACACACTCACAGATGCTCACACACCCTCAGTCGCACACATTCATTGACACGCTCACAAACACGCGTAGTATGGGCTGAATGGCAACGCAAGGCGACGGACTGCAGGCTGGGACCGCGAGGAATTTTGAGGTGACTCGACTGTTTGGGGCAGAGGACGGTTATGTATCATTGTTTGCCCGGCGGCCCCTCTGGTTAGTTTAGCAGTGAGGTGTGTAGATCATAGGAGCGAGATCTGTCACCCTTGAGACCGGGAGCAGTGGGCACAGGGGTAGCAGTTTGTGTGTGTGTCTGTGTCTGTCTGTGTGTGTCTGTGTGTGTGTGTGTATGTTGGAGCTGTGTTTTTCCAGGCTGAAAAGTGCGAGTGAAATTCTACCCGGTCTCAGCCTGCGAGCCCTTTTTTTTTTGTCTTAAGAATTTAACTTGGATCTCGATTGCGTGGGAAAGGGGAGGAGGAGGGGAAGCTGGAGCTGGGTAGTGGGGGGTGGGGGGCGTGGGGGGAAATGTTATACCCCGCCTTAATTTGGAATAAAAGAAAACGTCCAAATCGAGATAGGATGTAACCGCTGTTGTCTGCAAACACACAGTCACCACGCTTAAAGGCGATCGCTGCAAAGTGCTTTGTGAATGAATCCTCGTCGTTTGTAGGAGTTTGTGTCAAATGCAATATTATTCATGTAATCTGTGGATCACAGGCTGTGGACAAGCTTAACTCCAGAGTTAAGTCCTGCGGGTCATCAGTTAGTGCATTGGCATCGCGAGCGAGAGGACCCGGGTCCGATTCCCGGGCAGGTCCAAACCTTAGGCAAGTTTCCTTACTCCAGACGCCTCCGTGTACCCAGCAGCAAGTAGGGTGTTCGTCGATTGACAGGTCTCTTTCTGGGGATAATAATCCCTCCCCCCAAAAATTATAATTTGGTCACTCAATCTACGACTGTTTGCCGGACACTGCTGTGCTCAATTGGCTGCCGGTTTCGCCCACAAAATACACAGTCACTACACTTGACAGTTTATTCGGTGAAGCGCTTTGAAGCGTGTCCACAAAGTGATAGGGCGCTACATCCAATGCAAGGATTATTATTATTAAATTATGCCAATAATCCATGTCCAATAGCGTATGCAGGATGACTTCGCTCCCAACGACAACAATAACAACTTGCATTCGGCGGTCAGTCGCACAGGCTAAGATGAGGTGGAATTCGGGGGGGGTGGGGGTGATGGGCATGGTGGGTGGGTGGGAGGGGGGGGGTGGGAGTGGCACCTCCCCTCCCCAGAACCCCAGCATTAAATTAACTTCATTAAATTTGAATTGGAAGCATTTTTTTTCACAAATAAAATAAAAACAACAACAGAAACCCCAAACGGTTGCCGTGTGACTGACACAAACCCCTTTCTTATTCAGCGAGTTATTAGGAGTCGAAGCCAGTCGATGGATGCCATGGGTCTGAGCAGTAAAAAACACAGCTCTGTCTCCACGAGTCACAGTGGCAGTTTCACCCACAGTCCAGGAGACATCACCAAACCCCCAGGGATTGTAAGTACAGCCCCCTCCCTCACCTCTCCCCCCCCCCCTCCCTTTCAGACTTTACGCAGACTTTTCTCAAAGCTCTATAAGACATTTTAACAATAATAATAATAATAATCCTTGCATAATCCCTTCCAACATAAAAACCGATAATGTGGTCACTGAATCCACGACCGTCTGTGGGACACTGCTGTGTGCCGTACTTGCTCACGAAATACACAGTCACTGCGCTTTACAGTTTATGCGGTGAAGCGCTTTGAGACGTCTCGAGGTTGCAGCAAGGCGCTAGGTCAATTTGCAAGGATTTTTATTGTTATTGTTTGATGTAGCGCCTTATCACGGCTTCGAAATGTCTCAGAGCACCTTCACGGAATATACTGTAAAGTGCAGTGACTGTACTTCGGGCAAGGGAAGGAGAGAGAGAGAGAGAGAGCGAGAGAGAGGGAGGGAGGGTGGGGTGTCGTTTTGCGGTGTTTCTTAATGGATTGTTTCTTTAAGAAATCCGAGTTTGTTTGTCTATTCGGGTAGGGGTGGTGCCCTGCCCCCTGACCCCCACATCCCTTCAACTCCAAAATCGAGGCGAGTTGGAGTCAAGGGCATCTGGATTTGTTAAGAAATTCCATTAACAAACGGGATAAAATCACCTCTCCCTCTCCCCTCCCCTGGGGTAAATACTAGAATTGCAGAATAATAATAATAATCATAATCCTTGCATTTGATATAGCACTTTTCACATCTTCGAGACATTTCAAAGCGCTTCACAGAATAGACTGTAAAGTGAATTGACTGTATATTTTGTGGGCAAAACACAGCAGCCAATTGTGCGCAGTCCCACAAACAGTCGTGGATTGAGTGACCAAATTATTAGTAGTATATTTTTTTTGAAGGAATTATTACCCCCGGAAAAGCGATCCGCCAATCGACTTAACAGCCGGGTTCCTACTTACTGTTAGGTCAGTAGAGGCGTGTGGAGTAAGGAAACTTGCCCAATGTTTCACCTGGACTCCACCAAATAGGTCTCAGAGTTGTTTTCTTTGGCTGTTTCTGACCCCTCCAGCAACTGACAGACACCCGGGTCCAAACGGGAAGAGTTGAACATTTCAGAGCTGTTTTTTCCTGCCCTTCTTAAACACAAACCGGCTTCAGAATTAAGACTGGAGCGGAGGGTTTTTCCCATCCTTTTTTGTGCCACCTTAAATTTTTCAGGACGGAAATGGTCCGACAGGTGAAGTCCAGGTGGAATTTGATGTCTAGAATCCCCAACACTCGCACCTTTAACCTATTGCTTTCCACTGGAACCGGGAGCTCGTCAGTGATTGAGGATTGTGGTTGTGTGCTTCAGGAGGTCAATGGAATGGAATGACCCAGGTCTTACCAATGGCTTCAAAACGTCTCGAAGCACTTCAGAGGATTCACTGGCAAGTGTAGTGACTGTGTATTTTTTGTAGGCTAACTCAGCACACAGCAAGGTCCCCACAAACAGCCATCAAACGATCGTCAGCCATCAAACGACACGAGAGAGAGAGAGAGAGAAACTAACTTCTCTCTTTTTTTGAATAGCGCCGCGGGATCTTTATCGTCCTCCCGAACAGGGCACAGATGGGGAGCTCTGGTTTAAGGTCTCATCCGAAGGACGGCACCTCCGATAAAGCAAGCGCTCTCTCCCCCCAGCACTGTATTGAGTGTCAGCCTGTGTGTGGAGTGAGTGGGAGTGGGGGTGTGTGTGGGGGAGGGGGGTTGACCCCACAACCTTCTGACTCTTAATTAAGAGTTGAATGAAATGTAGTGACTGTGTTATCGACCGAGCCTGGCGGTCACCTGGCACGTGAAGGGGGGAACGCGGAGAGGAAGCCCGCCGAGCAAACCTTCCAGAACCATCCGTAGAAAGAACCCGAGCAACTAACGTTAGGTGGAACTTCAACAGGAAGAGTTCGGGGCTTGAAGCTTGGGAACGTTGGGTTCCCGTTAGCTTCTGGGAAGGCATTCCTTGCAAATCCAGGAACCGGACGATTTTTTTCTTCTCCTCGAAGGAAGTTTTAGAAGTTAACATGGGGCTAAAGAGGTTAAAATGCACTTCACACCCCTGTGCGTGCAGCATAGCCAATAATAAAGGTAACCGAGGGCAGGGGGCTAACATGCGGTGATTTCTTATTTAAGAAAAAACATGGCCGAACCGGGGGGGGAACTCCACTCCGACGGGATCAGATCAGATCTTGCCTGAGCTGAGCTCTTGCGCTGGAATCAGGCGATTGACGCTGTAACCGGGACTTTGAAATGGCTCTGAGCTTTACAGGGAACTGTGAGAAGTGTAGTGACTGTGTACTTGTAGGCAACTGCACGTGGCAAATTAATCTACGAGATTGTCGGCAGGGGTGGGGGGTGGGGGTGTGGAGAGGGGAGGGGGAAGGTGACACTCGGAGAAAATGCCTTCTCCCTCCAATGACTCCTTCTCTTCCCTATCAGGGCTTTGGCTTGTGGGGTTAACAGGATTTGTCCTTCACTCCTAAGGAGAGTTGATTATTAAGGGTTGCTGAACGTTTGGTTGTGTTTGAGCTGCTATCAGACAACAACAACAACATTACATTTGTAAAGCGCCTTTCACATTGGGAGGACGTCCCAAGGAGCTGGACAGACAGCGCTGGGGTTCGGGGTCAGGGAGGGTGGAGGGCAGGGGGGGAAACAGGAAGATCGAAAGCAAGAGGAGAGTCTTGAGATGGGTCTTGAAGGAGGCAAGGGAGGGGGCGAGGTGGAGGGACTGCGAGATGGAGTTCCAGAGGGTGGGGGCAGAGTGGCAGAATAGTGGGGCGAGCGAGGCGGGGGACGTGAGGCAGGCTGGAGCCCGCTGAGCGGAGGGAACGAGCAGGATGGTAGGAGGTTAGGAGGTCTGGGAGGTTTAGGGATGTAGTGGAAGAGGGTCAGTGGATCTGTGAGGAGCTGGAAGTACACATGAATGTGCTTTATTTGGTGGTTCAAGGCTTGAACGAAACATAAATGTTAAGCGGTTGAGTGGTGGGTTTAGAGGAGTGATTAGAGTCTTTCATTCCTGAAAAGAGGTACATTGCGGGGATCCTAATGGAGGTGGATGACATTTTAATTGGCATTGAAAAGTAAATCCAGATCTGTACTTTCATACACCAGGGCAGAACAAGAGGACAGAGGGTCAGCAGAGACAGCGACCAGGAAGGATTTCTTTACCCAGAGGGTAATTAATGACTAGAACGAGAACCAATACAGATATACACAACGAGAGGTGGATAGTTTTTTGTTAGGTCAGGGTGTCAAGGGAATTTTGGAGCGAAGGCGGTTAAATGGAGTGGAGGTACAGGTCAGGGTGGATGAGGCCGTGTCAATGGGAACTCGTTTGAGAAACCACAACAACAACTTCCGTTTATATAGCGCCCCTCACGCAGGGCAGCGTTCCAGAGCGCTTGCTGTGCCGGGAGGACGGTCGGGCTGGGACTGTGGGGAGGGTGAGATCGAAGGGTCTTCTTCATCCGAGCTGATCTTGTGATTCGATCAAACGTGAACACCTGAACAGCACATTGAGAGACGTGGGAAGGGGGTGGGAATGGGATTCACACAAACGGATTGAGCCGGAGATAAACCGGGAAGGACGGACCGAACGCGCAGGAGATTCCTACATTACCCCAGGCCCTCTTTCATCCGAGTTGGAACACGTACATCTTGTTCATCCATTGTCATTCCAGCTTCGCTCTAACCACTTGTCCCAGTGTATGTGTGTGTGTGTGTGTGTATATGTGTGTATTGTGTGGCGTTTGTGTGAAGCTGTGAATGTCCGTGTAGTGTCGGAGGGTAGTGCCTGTGGCATGTGGATGTAACGTGTGCATGTAACGTGTGGGCGTCAGAAAACCGTTGAGCGTGTTTCATTATCTCTTGTCTTCTCTCCTTTGCCCTCTCCTTAGTCATTGCTTGTTCCTGGAAAAAGCCCAACTAAACACGGAAGACGTGGCAGTGCCATAGGGATAGGAAGAATAGAAGAGGTTCACGGTTTACAACTCGCTTCTCGTCTGTCCCGCGCTCACGCACTCCCCCACCCCCCCTCCCCAGAACCCCACTCCCCCACCATCCACCTCCTCCAGCACCCACATCTGACTGCCTTTGCACGGTCACCCTGTCTCCCTACCCCTGCATGCCCTCTCTCACGCTCTCTCTCTCTCTCTCTCGCTGCCAGTGTACTGGAGGGTCAATGGCTTCTGAATGAATAGAAACAGCATCCAATAGGCATGGGGTTGATTGCGGTGTCGAGGGTTGTTCTCTACAGCTGAGCCACTGACAGTACGGCCTGTGTTCAGACTTGACGGGGGTGGTGGGGGGGGCTCTTGGGGAGAGGGTGTAAGGTGGGGGGGGGACAAGTATTTTTTATGTTAAGTCTTGAATGCAGGCTGTAACATCAGCGATCCCGCTCGCCCTCTCGCTCACTCGCTCGCTCGCTCTCCCCAGGGATGGATTTTTGATCAGGAATTTGGGTTAATCAATGCGATCGAGTTGGTTTTCAATCACAGAGGTATGTGCATGCTCTCTCCCCCCGATCTTCCTGCAAGTGGAATTAGTGTTGGCAACCCTGATTTTCTATGTGTGCGGTGGGGTGGGGTTCCGGTCGAAGCGGACGTCCTGTTAGCACGGACCCACACCTCAGACATCGACCTGACGGCCTGGAAGTTGGAGCGGTGGTCATTTTGATTTTGTGGTCCCATTCTAACAAGGGGTGGGGGGGGAAGGGGTCTGACCCCAAACACCGTATCACAATGAGGGGGGGGGGGGGGAGGGAGAGGTGGTGGGGGGGGGGGATCAGGGGAGGGGTTGAGCTGTACTTCCGGTCACCGGGACCAGTTCGATTTCCGCACCTCGGTTTCCTCACCAAGAAATCCCTCCCCCCTGTTTGGTTTGCGAAAACACTTGGTTATTATCTGTATTCATATCAATGTCAATACGTCAAATCATTGAGGTGCAAACGCACCATCCCGCCCCCCCCCCCCCACCCACGGGCCCCCCACCCACACGGCCCCCGCCTCAGGCACCAGCCACAAAACGAGCAATCGAGGCTCAAGCTACCAGACCTTGTAGTGTTTGGTTCTGGCCGGGGGTGCGTTGTGGCTTCGGCACTTGCTCTTTTGACTGAACGGCCGCTCGGTCCTGATGCCCTGAGTGCGCTTGTCTCTTCCAGTCGTTGATAATTCCCGGGAAAAGTCCGACCAGGAAGAAATCGGGACCCTTCAGCTCCCGCCGGAGCAGCGCCATCGGGATCGAGAACATCCAGGAGGTGGCGGAGAGGAGGTACGCGGTGGGGTGCTGGGGAGGGGTGGGGGGGGGGGTTCGTGGGGGAGGGAGAAAGGCTCGCGCGGGCCCCTGCGCGGCGAGCGTGATCGATGTCGCTTCCTGCGCCACCGTGGAAACGTATCGTAAATCGGCCGCGATCGAACAAAATGGCGGGCGGAACGGGCTCGAGGGGCTGGATGGCCTACTCCTGTTCCGAGGTGTCGCGCGGAACGTCTCGCCGAAGGCACCTCGCGAAGGAAGTGAGCGACGAGCAGGAAGTGAGGTCACGGCGACCCGGTGCCCTGCGAGTCAGACAGTCATTCAGCTTTCGCTCCGGTTTACAACCCGAGACATTGGGCAATGGGCAGAGGAAACCAAAATGCATTATAACGGGGGGAGTGGAGGGAGGGGGGGTGGTGTTCGGGGTTTGCTGTGAGGCTAGAGGTCAGGGTTCGGCGAGCGCTAACCTTGTGACAACCCCTTGCCCCCATCCCACCCCCCCATCCCCATGCAGGGAGAGCGCGTCCAGTACTCAGAAGACCCCGGACAGCGGCCACGTGTCCCAGGAGCCCAAGTCCGAAAACTCTTCCAATCAGAGCTCCCCGGAGATGCCGACCACCATGAACAGGTCAGGAAGCCAAACCGTTAGCGTCTGAGACGCAGGACTGTTGAGTGAGGCGGAGAGTGCCAGGACGGGAGTGAGCCAACTGACCAGTGGGCACTAGTTCTTAACGATATTTCTTATCGAGGAATCGTCCGGATCAATTGATCCTTCCCCTTGTCGCTGTCTGGGACAAAAAAAATGAAATGGCAGAAGGCAGTTATATCAAGCGACTCAATGCCGAGTCCTGTAGCTCAGTGGTTATAGGCTCTCCTCACCAAGCGAGAGGACCCAGGTTTGATTCCCGGGCGGGGCGAAGCCTTAGAGTCCTGTAGCTCAGTGGTTAGAGCACTCGCTTTGCAAGCGAGAGACCTGAGTTCAATTCCAGGCAGAGGGCGAAACCTTGGGCAAGTTTCCTTACTCCACACAGAGCCTAATAATAATCCTCCAAAACCAAACAATAATAAATTGGTCATTTTCAATCTACGACTGTTTGTGGGACATTGCTGTGCGCAATTGGCTGCCGCGTTCGCCCACAAATATACAGTCAATTCACTTTACAGTGTGTTCTGTGAAGTGCTTTGGGACGTCCTCCCGACGTGAAAAGCGCTATATCAAATGCAAGGATTATTATTATTATTAGGCAAGTTTCCCTAAAAATTAGAAGAATTCAGTCGCTCAGTGTGAGACGGCGCTGTGCGCAATTGGCTGTCACGTTTCACCCATAAAATACACAATCACTCCACTTTGCAGTGTATTCTCTACAGCTTTGAGACGCCTTGAAGGCGTGATAAGGCACTGTGTCAAAAGCAAGAATGATTATTATCTCCCCACCCTGGGATTTGCTGCCAAATGTGGTGACTTGGCATTCTGTCGATGGACACAAAAACGACAGCAAATCAGGGAAAGATGAGAGAAGAGAGTTTCTGTCACTCTCTCCCTGGCGTCTTATAATAATAATAATAATAATAATCCTTGCATTTGATACAGCGCTTTTCACGTCGGGAGGACGTCCCAAAGCTCTTCACAGAACACACTGTAAAGTGAATTGACTGTATATTTGTGGGCGAACGCGGCAGCCGATTGAGCACAGCAATGTCCCACAACCAGTCGTAGATTGAAAGTGACCAATTTATTATTGTTTTTGGTCTTAGCCAACAGTCTCCCCACCCCCACCATGAAATTTGGCCGACGCCATCATTTGCCCAGTACTTTTGTCGGTATCTTTTACCCACCAAACGCGCGGTCACTCCCCGCACTCTGCTTTCCAGGGCCACACTGAACCAGAAGGGCTCGAGTGACGGGAATCAGGACCTCTCTCGCTCGTCCTCGAACACCAGCAGCTTTGCCAGCGTGGTGGAGGAGAGCGAGGCCCTGGAGGACTACGACACCGGAATGGTAATCATGGTAACTCGTCCGTCCGTCAGTCCCCCTCGTCCCCACTTACTCGCTCGCTCCCTCTTCCCCTCTCCCTCTCCCGCTCTCCATTTCGCCCACAAAATACACCGTCAGTCAATCCACTCTACAGTATATCCTGTGTAGTTCTTTGAAGCGCTATATCAAATGCAACGATTATTATTATTATTATTTTCGAGTTTTCATTCGATCGGCACAAATTGTCCTTCAGCTCCATGGTCCCCCCACCCTTTGGACCTTCATCCCACATTCCCTGCATCTCGCCCCCTCCCTCCCTCACCTCCTTCAAGGCACGTCTCAAGACCCCCCCTCCCACTCTTCGCCCACGATTTTGGCCACCCCCACCCACCCACCCTCCACCCCTCCTGATCCCAACTCCCAACTCGAGTCCAACTCCCTGACTGTCCAGCACCTTGGGACGTCCTCCCAACATGAAGGACGCCGTGTAAATGTCATTTTGTATTGAATCATATCGGCCCCCACCCCCATTCCCGTACTCGTGTCCCGCACCCCCCCCACCCCCGCCCACCCCTCCCCCCATGCTTGCATACACAACAACAACAAATGACATTTGTGTAGCGCCTTTCACGTGGGGAGGACGTTCCAATGCGCACACACCCCACACTCTCCCCTCCCCTGCTTTGTGCTGAACCAAAACCAACGGTGGTGTGTGTGCGTGTGTGTGTGTCTGTGTGCATGTGTGTGTGCATGTGTGTGTGTGTGTGTGCGTGTGTGGGTGCTGTTTGTGAGCAGGACAGCCTCTCTTCGGCCGGGACGCCCCACAAGCGAGATTCCTTCACCTACAGCACATGGTTGGAGGACACGGCGAGCACAGCCAGTGCCGTCAGCACCGCCAGCTCTCCCGGTGAGTGTGGTGTTGCCAAAACAACCGATAACAGCACGTCGGAAGCTCAGAGCAGCACCTGGGGGCGGGAGTTGGTGGGGGTGGGGTGGAGGGATGTGGAGGGCGATGGGGGGGTGTGGAGGGATGCAGCAGTCGGGTGTCTGACACATGCCGAAACCCGTCACGGTTGCTTAAGAGTCTCCAAACCCAACTGAGAATTCCACGCATCCACACACACATGGAAATCCCAGAGATAGAGTGTTGGAGTGGAATGTGTCCTCTCTCCCCCAACCCTCCTCTCTCTTCTGCTTACCTAATTCCCGAAAATATTAGTCGCAGGTTGGCAGGAGCCAAGGCTTGGGGGGGGGAGACCAGAGTATGCATTCGAGTAACTGCTGGAGTCCAGCCAGATAAAACCACAGAGCTTTCCCATTGATATAACTGTCTGTCAAGCTTTCCCGCTGCTTGTCCAGCGAGGACCACCCCACTCATCAGGGCTGTAGCTTGCAGGGTTAAGAGGAGCTGAGTGGGAGGACTCCCTGCCCACAGTGCCTGGTCTGTCCTTCCAGGTTCTGCCAATGAGCCAGGCCGGGCTGTGCAGTGCCCTGGAATACTGTGGACCTGCCTGGCTCGGGAACCAGACTGGAGACCGGCACAGAGGGCTGGCTTCATTCCGTTGTAAAGCACGTTACGTCAGAGTCAGCACAGCCTCAAGGAGACCCCAATTACGTTCCTCCACCACCCACCCCTACTGCCCTTCCCCAGCGCAGAACCAAACCAAGAGGTAGTGACTGTGGATTTGTGAGGTTGTTTGTGTTCTGACCCTCGCTCTCCCCACCCCACCCCTCACCACAAGCAGGGGGGCCTCGGACATTCCAGACTGACGTGACCAGAGCTGGAGACTCACCCAGGCCGGAGGTCAAAATCAAGCTGGAAAAACCAGAGCAGCACAAACACAGTCAGGTGAGAGCCTCGCAATCACAATCCCTCCCCACCTCTGCTTCTGCCCCGTCCCCTAACCCCTCCACCCCATAACCCCACTGCCCCACCCACCTCCTGTCCCCCGTATTAGAGACTGTAATATTTCTTGTAGGAAATAGTATCTCGGGATACAGATATTATATTACCAAAATATATATATTGATACTGTATATGTTACAGTAAAGTTGTGGGATTGTTTATATAGTGACGAAAACGTCTTGGTAACTACCCTATTACCTAAAAAAAACCCAAAATATATATTTTTTAGATTTATCAGACATTGTAATGCTATCACGACTTCTTGGACAACCTACATCTAGTTTGGGACATGACATGTCATGTGATTGCCAAGATGGTGAAAGGCAAGTAGGATGGACCTTAGTCTTCTCTCCTCCAGTGTTTGGTATGTTCTGAACGTCCCACAGGCAGGCCAGATAGGGAATCGCTCTCGGGAACAGTTTCCCATTGAATTTCACTCAATCCTCGGCCAATCCCAGCTCTGGAAATCCGTATTAGAGGCTGTAATATTTGGTACATTTGTGAACCTTGTTGTGGGAATGCCATCCACTTCGATAAGGTTTCGCCCTGGACAACCCGATCTAATTCCCTCTTAGAATGGATTAATCCACGGAGGGGGAGAGTGAGTGGGGGGGGGGGGGGGTAGCTGACAGTGAACTCAGTTTGTGGGTCACAGAGAAGAGGGGAATGTGTCTTAAGGGGGGGGGGGAGAGGAGTGGGGGTGGGGATTATATCGAGATCATTTTAATCCCCCTGTGGCTGCCTGCGTTCGTCAGCTGCTAAGAATAGCTGCTCAGGCTGTGAGCTGCGGAGTGAGTTAGTGCTTTCGCTGGGAGAGCAGGAGCAGCTGTCGTTCTCATCAATCACATCCATCACCTCCGTCCGTCCGTCCGTCCATCTGCCCGTCTCTTATTCCAGGCAGTTTTATCATCCTGCAGGAATGTGGCTGGGGGGGGAGCGTGGCTGCAATGTAACCTGAAGCATCACCTTCCTTTCACCTCAAACACACTCCCCATTCTGCCTTTTGCCTTCGAGAGAGGGTGGTGGGGAGGGAAAGGGTGGGGGGGGAAGAGAGGAACACACAATTTGGGGTGGGAATTCCACCCAGGCCCCGATTTCCCCCGGAAAGCTTCCGGGGCCCTCCACAATTCGTCCGATTCCCAATTCGAAGCTCTTAGCCTCGGCGATGTCTGCTTCTGGTTAAAAAAAAAGGCTTTTGTTTTTAACGGCTGAGATCTCTTCAACGATTTCACAGTCGCTACACTCGGCGGTCAAATCCCGCGCAACCCTTCGCGGCGGCGTCCTCGAGGCGAGAGGCCCCGTCTGAGCTGCGAGGGTTGTCGTTACGATGCGGCACCGTCAAGAGCAAGGCAGAGCCATCGAGGAAAATCTAGAATTTCCCCCCCAGTCTGGATGTTGGGAGGGGGATGTGGGGGAGAGAGGAAGGCGTGAGGGGGGGGCGTTCGACTAAGAAACCCTTTGAGAAACAAACAGCGGCAAATTGAGCCAAAGCTGGCGGAGGCAGCGCTGAGCGGGAACAAAGAGGCTTTGTGATATCTCCAACCTGCACGTGCCAACACGTCTCATTCTCACCCGGGGGAAAGGAATCCGCGAGGTGTAAGGGAAGGCCGTCTCAAGATCGGGCGTTATATTAAGACTTATCGACAGCTTCTTTGCTGGTTCCCCGCTCCCACGGTCACACACAGAAAGAAGACGGATAGTCAGAAAAAGGGCAAAAGGAGAGTTTAGAATTTTTTTTTTTTGACATTAGAGTTGTCGGGATACGGAATATTCTGCCCGACGGCAATAGTGATAGTCCTCCTTGCGTTTGACATCGCGCCTTATCACGTCCTTGAGACGTCTCAAAGCGCTTCACCGAATGTACTCCAAAGAGAATTGACTGTGTATTTTGTGGGGGAAAAGCGGCAGCTAATTGCGCACAGCAGTCGTGGATTGAGCGACCAAATTATTATTATTTTGAAGGGATTATTACTCCTGGAAAAGCGATCCAGCAATCAACTAACAACCTACTTGCTGCTGGGTACACAGAGCCGTGTGGAGTCAGGAAACTTGCCTTAAGGTTTCGTCCTGCCCAGGAATCGAACCTGGGTCCTCTCGCTTGTGAGGCGAGCGCTCTAACCACTGAGCTAAAATAGTGGCCTCCTCCTGCACCGTAAACGTCTCTGATTCTGGGAGAATTAGGCAGATTCACCCCAAATCCAGTGTGTGCCGAGAGAGAGAGAGAGAGAGAGAGAGAGAGAGGTTATTAGTTTGGGTGTGGGTGACCCTGTTTTGCCGTGTGGTTTGTGTGTTTTTGGCAGAGCCACCAAAAGCGACACAAGCTGCTGGAGCTGAGGAAAAGCCGGATGACAGCCAGTAGCGAGGACGAGGGGTCGTTACCATTACCCAAGCGGGAACCAGCCGACGGCAAACCGGCAAAGTGAGCATCCGCCGGAGAGCTTCGGAGAGAAGGGAAGAAGGGGAGAGAGAGAGAGAGAGAGAGAAAGTGCGGAGTTTGATTGAACTTTGATGGCGATATTCTCGTTTAAAACTGCCTCGGTGTGTGTGTGTGTAAAAAAAACAATCCCATGTTTGTGATTCTCATCTCTCTGGTGTGTCGGTGTGAAGTATCTTCATTGGGTTTAGTCTAAAAGCACAAATGTTCCAGCCAGTGTCCACAGCGCCGAGATGTGTGTCCCTCAGTAACACTCCTGTTAGCCTCTATTTATTGACATTGTCTCTTTGTCATTTTCCTGGTGATTTAGCCCTGAATTTATGGCCCAAAGCCCTCGGCCACCGAATGAAAATACATCTTGTAAATACAGCTTTTTGTAAATAACGCTTCAAATAAATGTCACGATCTGAAACCAACACAATCCCGGGTTTCAGCCTGAGTTCTTAAACACTGCAGCGAGGTCGTCTGTGAGCAGATAGAATCTCCCCTTGGCCCATCTGATCGTCTCCTGTCCCAATGCACGTCCTCCCTTCAATATAATAGAAAAAATAATCCTTGCATTTGATATAGCGCCTTATCATACTGTAATATTGTTACAGTAAACCTCACATAAGCCATCAAATCAGTTGATTAATAGCTGGTCTGAAAGGACTGAGCTATGATGAAAGACCGGAGAGATTTAAGAGCACAGGAGGTTAATAAGGGAGGATCTGATTGAGGTATTTCAAATGACGAAAGGAATTGACAAGTTAGAGAATGAATGATTCTTCCCCTTGATCATTGCAAGGGGCTGAACTTAAATTCAGAGCCAGGACAGTTAGAACTAAGGCCAGAGAGCTTTTCCTCACACGTAGGGTTGTGAAGATGTGGAGAGCGCGAGTGGTGGAATCAACAGATGTTTAAACGAGAGAGAGAGATAGACAGAGCCTAACAAGTATTAAGAGGTGTGGTGAAATGGCAAGACATTGGGATTATATATCCTGCGAAGCGCTTTCAGATGTCTCAACAACATGACAAGGCTCTTTGCCAAATGCAAGTATTATTCACATTATTAAAAGATCTGCCAAGAACCGGTGGAGTTGAATGTTCCTCTCCCCTTTGTGTGGAGATTGAATCAGAAATAAGGTGCGGTAGCGCCGCCGGGCGGCAGACATGAAAATGGCAGTCACACTCCCCTGAGCCCGAATTGGCCATTTTATCTTTCAATTTAAAATCATTGAAATGTTGCGGCTCAGGAAGTCGTCTCAAAGCACATCACAGGCTTTGCTGTAAAGTCTAGTGACTGTGTATTTTGTAGGACAAGGTTACACGCAACTAATCTGCTCAGTGCAATGTGCCACAAAGATCCATAAACTCTCCGGTACATTACCCTATGTGAGGGGTGCTGTGTAAATTGTTTTTGTTGTTGAATGATGAATTTTATCAGGGCGGTTGAGGAAGGATTCTTGGTGCTCGTTTTTGTCTCGTAACACTGCATTGGAGCGTCAGACTAGACTGTGATGTTAAAGCCCCAACATAGGGCTTGAACCCACAACCCAGTGACAACCTCTCAGTGAGGGTTGAAACAAAAAAGGAACACTTCAAAATAGAATTAGACCCGCAGCTGATTCAGTTGAAAACCCCCTAAATTTGGACTGTGATTACGTGCACATTGATCATTATCAAAACATTCCTCTCTCTGTTTAGGGCATGCCCTCATCTGCCTTTTATTACTGTATGATAATAATCTCTCCAGTCAAATTCATAACATATGACTTACTGCCAATATTGCCAATGTGATTTAATAATAATAATCCTTGCATTTGATATAGCGCTTTTCACGTCGGGAGGACGTCCCAAAGCGCTTCACAGAACACACTGTAAAGTGAATTGACTGTATATTTGTGGGCGAACGCGGCAGCCAATTGCGCACAGCAATGTCCCACAAACAGTCGTAGATTGAAAATGACCAATTTATTATTGTTTTTGGTTTTGGAGGGATTATTATTAGGCTCTGTGTGGAGTAAGGAAACTTGCCCAAGGTTTCGCCCTCTGCCTGGAACTGAACTCAGGTCTCTCACTTGCAAAGTGAGTGCTCTAACCACTGAGCTACAGGACTCCACTGATTTGCCCCAAAAGGCAAGTTGCTATTGATGTATAGATTTGATATGAATTGGCCATCTCACACCCAGCATTGTGGGTCCTGTAGCTCAGTGGTTAGAGCACTCGCTTTGCAAGTGAGAGACCTGAGTTCAATTCCAGGCAGAGGGCGAAACCTTGGGCAAGTTTCCTTACTCCACACAGAGCCTAATAATAATCCCTCCAAAACAAAAACAATAATAAATTGGTCACTTCAATCCATGACTGTTTGTGGGACGCTGCTGTGTGCAATTGGCTGCCACATTTTGCCCACAAATACAGTCAATTCACTTTACAGTCTATTCTGTGAAGCGCTTTGAGAAGTCGAGAAGACGTGAAAAGCACTACATCAAATGCAAGGATTATTATTATTGCTAACTCATGTATGTGTGTGGTTGTTCTAATTGCTTGTCTTAAAGTAACATCGAGGCTGGACTGTGCAAACTCCTTGCTTGTTGGCCTCCCCAACTCTTTCCTAAATAGGCTGCATATCATCCAGAACTCTGCAGCCCGTGTCCTCTCCTGCACCAGCTCCGTGACCCTATAACCCCCATCCTCGGCCGACTCCATTGGCTTCCCAACACACAGAAGATACAGTTCAAGATCCTTGTCCTCACCTTCAAGGCCGACCATGGCCTTGCTCCCCACCTACCTTTGCGACCTCCTAAACCCCTATCATCCTGCCCGCTCCCTCCGCTCAGCGGGCCCCAGCCTGCTTAATGTTCTCCCACCTGGCCTGCTCCACTATTGGCAGGTAAACCTTCTGCCACTCTGCCCCCACCCTCTGGAACTCCATCCGGCAGTCCCTATGCCTCGACACCTCCCTTGCCTCCTTCAAGACCCATCTCAAGACCCTCCTTTCGATCACCCTGCCTCCTCCCCCCACCCTCCACGATCCTGACCCCCAGCTCGGGGCTGAAACAGCGCCTTGGGACATCCTCCCGACTTGAAAGGTGCTATACAAATGTAATTTTGTTGTTGTAAAGTAATGGAGATCTCAAACTATCCCAAAGATGGAGCGGTTGTAATTTGCAGTACTGTATCTCTTACCGGAATTCCTGCATAAATTGCCATTATTCCAGGGCTGGAGAGAGACCGAGTTGCAGTGGAGAACACAAGGTGACAATGATGAACCTCTGGTTAGTGGAGGAAGTGTAGTTATGTAACTTCTTTCTTATGTAGGAATCCCCAAAACTGGTAGCAAATTTGATTATCTTGACAATGCAACATTTCACATGTTTATAATCTCCAGAAAAGTATTCCCGCTGTTTTAATCTCAATTAGAATCTACAAGTATATTTAAAATGTCTTCGCCATCTTAATTTTCTCCACAAACTCTCTCTCTCTCTTTCTGGAAGGCGTGCCCCAAAACATGTGGGCTTCTCCCGGTCTCCTTCAGATGAGATGTTAAACCGTGAATCTGTGAAACGCTGTGAAATCGTTAAAGCGCTTGGGAGACGTTGTGTAATAAGGCACGACATGAAATGCAAGTGTTATCAATAGCTTCGCTCACTTTGCTATTTGACGGGCGAGAGTGCAGACATTCAGGTATACGTTTCATTTCTTCGTCCCGCGTAGAATTGCCTGGAGATTGCTCCGAATTCGTATTAGATCCAGTACTGTATCGTAGCAAAGTGGCACCACCTCGTGGCAACACTCAGGTACAGCACTGGACGCTTCGGATTAATAGTCTTCACCATCAGTAGTCCTTATAGCAGGAGTTTGTATTTTTACAATGCCTAATGCGTCCAAACATCTCAAAAGTGCAATCGCTGTCAAGCAGAGCTTCTTTGCAGCCAAACTAGCGGCTGTTTTTGCCCCAGCGCAGCGCCACAAACGAGGCCCACAAAATGGTGAAGGAACCATTTATCTGAAGGCAAACAAAAGACACTGGTCTCTGTTGCCAACTCAGTTACGTTCCAATTTCTGGAAGTCCCTGCGAAGGAAGTCCATTGATTTTTAGTCCATCAAGCTCGTATCAAACCTCTTCTCCACCAATGTCAAAGCCCAACAGTTGACTTTTCTTTTAATCAGACGGCTGGTTGGACACTGCCGTTAGTACTTTACCCAATGCAGGATAATCCAATGCCCTGAGGACACTTCAATTGGGAATTTGGTCTGTCAGCAATTGCACAACGTGTTCCCTTCTAGCCCACTACTCCTCGTCTCAGTCACATGTTTCAGCAACTCAAGCCCCAACACTAGCTCACCTAGAAATGTTACTGCACTTGGCATTCTGGAGTGGAGTGTTGATTACAGATTATAATTAGCCCACGGCAGCCACCAGGATTCAAAATAGCCATCTCTTGAGACACTTAGACAGTCCTGAGCCATCTAGGAGCTGGCTGACCAGTCTATGTGCTCTGCACAGAATTTTTTTTTAATTTAATTACTTGTAAGCATCCCTTTGTCTCCAGGGTCGGTTACACGTACCTGCATGTTTAGCAATTTACTTCTTTGATCCACATTTCCATTGGATGGAGTTAATTAAAAGAGATTGCTCAGCTTCCTCCCTGTGTCCCAGCAAGGTACTGACTTAAAACACAGGTGCTCATTGCCATTTACTGGCAGGTGTGAGTGATTCTCAGAATGAGAAGGATGTTGGCTGCAGCCCTAATGTGAAGACTTTGAGCTCCGACAAGACTGGGGACACTTCAGGATGATGCTGGGGGTGGCTCATACCAAGTCAATAGAACATTGTCTCAGTACCTTGCTCACCCAAACTGCCCACCTTGATTAAATGATAGGAAATAGCCCTAATACCACACCCATGTTATCCACTATCCAATTAGTTTCCTCAACCATTAGTTTAATATGTGCTCAACAAAGTCAAGAGTTCAGTTGGATGACACCCTGTTTATCAGGGGGAAGGCAAATAGAGGTTTAACTCACGGATTATTGTATGAACATGTGGAATCCCCATAGTCCAGATATTATCTTAGTATTTGCATCATCAGCCCAACAGATTTTTTTTGTATGTTCTAGCCTGGACCACCCACACGCATGAACTATCTTACACTGTAAATGATAGGCAGTAAATGGTGTTTTCGGACCTTTATTAGTGCCCGGTTGTACTTAAAGTTCAGTTGTACAATGCTTACAAATTAAAAACTGGTATTTCAAAAATTCAAATTGACCAGATATCAAATAAGCTTAAAAACCATCAGAAGTATAAAGGAAAATAGACCATCTACAAAAATCTCTTTTAAGCCAGTTCCAAAAAAGCAGTTTCAAGAAAGGTTAAGAAACCATGCTGCATAGGTTTTACTATTGTGAAACATTCTGGTATCTGGTCAACTGTATGCAAGCACTGCAGATCTTACAGTCGAAAGCTCACTTTTTATTATTGCTGGAATTTGACTTTGATGGTCTTCCGTTTGATGACAAAACTGTAAAGATAAGGGCAGCCGGTTAGCGATCCTTGTGGCAAAGTGTGAGCAAGTTATGCAAGGATTATTATTATCATCAACCTGGGCATTTCTTACACTATTCCCACAAACTTACATTACTTTCCAGAAGTAAGAGCATTTGTTCCAATGTTTGCGCAAGATCGAAAACCAGGATCAATCGCAGGATGATCAAAGGCACGATCAAAGAGGAAGGCCTTGAATAAAGGGCGAGGTAGAGGGGCTCTAGGATGGAGTTCCAGAGGGTGGGGGCAGAAAGTCCAACTGCCGATGGTGGAAGTGCCCAGTGCCAGCGGAGGGATCTGGTAGGCTGGTAACATTTTAGTGGGTCGCAGTCATAGGGAGAAGCAAGATTGCAGAGGCTTTAAAAGCGAGGACCTTCAATTCAATCCTCTGTGAGATGGGGAGCCAGTGAAGCCGGGTGAGGATGGGGGTGATCGGCTTAAGGAGCTCAGAGCGGGAGAGGACACGGGCTGCAGGAATGGGCGTCAGTTTAATGCGATGTTCAGGAAAAAAAAACTTACCTTTTTGATGGTAAGAGATGCTGAGCTGGTGTTACTCAGCATTGCCCTGCTCGGTCTCCGGAGCAGAGATGTTCTCAGCTGGTGTTTCGGGTGCCTTGCTCTGAAAAATATGACAAGCCAAAGGTAAGACCATTTGCTCCAATTACAAATGAACATCAACACTTCTAGCATCAAAATCCAGGCTGGCAGGATGAGCTACAATAATTTGATAGCTTCTGGCAGAGCAACACGTTAGGCAAATTTCCCTTACCCCACATGCCTCTGTTTATCTAGCGGTAAGTACGAATCTGGTCGTTTAGTCAATTGGCTTTCCAAATCAACTGGTGGTAATCCCTCCAAAAAATTTAGGTAAATTCTCTTTTAATGTCCAAAATTCAATTGAATGCTTTCCTCGAAGCTCCTCCACAACCTTTGAATCCTTTTACTAAAATTCCAATCATTCTCCATCACTGAAATACCCCCCACCCCTCCCAAAATAGTCCGAGAGCAAAGCAGAGAGAAGGTGGGAATCAAGGACCGGGTCTCCAGCCCCCTGATATTGCCTTACCTCCTCGCCATCTTTGGGTTTAGGGTTTTGTGGGCGACGACGCCTGTAGTTGTAGTTGCGGCGAAATCGTCTGGGGTGAGTCTGCTGGTCTTGTTGGCCGTCACCTTGGTTCTCTTTGTCTTCCTCACTACTTCCCTCCCGGGGTGGACGTGGGCGAGGGGGTCCTCTGTAATGAACCGATTCGTTGAAGCTAAAAAACAGGTTAGAATCAGGTTAGAATTGTGCTACACATACAGACAGATAGGACAGCATAGCCGTGCTTTCATTTTATTTAAAGTTTATATAGTAAAATAGATGGGATTCACCCAAATCTAAAGGTTTAATATCACCAGAAATACCAAGAAAGATTAGACTACAAACTTGCTGAATTGGAATACCATTGCATATTAATTAATATTATCACCGGTCCTCTACATCATGCTCATACTGAGTGTAATGAAAACAGTAGCTCTTTGCTACTTAAAGGAGACCAGATCGTGCATTAGATGTGACATCTCCAGTGATTCAAAAAAAAAATTAAGCTCCTATTAAAAACATATTCAAAGTAATATTCCCTTTCCCTCTAATAGATTTAATACTTAAACTGCAACCCCCCCTCCCTCCACCATAAAACACAATGAGAAAATGGAGCTAGACACCAGCTATGCTGACTTCATGCCTCACCCCGTCAAGAATAGGCGAAGAGAAACAGTATTTACCTGCGGTACCGTGGGCGATAGCCCCTAAAGCGATTTTGTCCTCGGCTTGGTTTACCACCGTCTTCCCCAGCAACTTGGTTTTCGTTTACTTCACCACCCTGCACAAACCAGAGATGGGGACATAACATCTCACACATATTCAGCCTTTCCCCCCTTGGCATTAACACATTAAAATAATCTCACAACATCAAGACAAGAAAACACTATTTAGTGACAGTCCATAAGACGTAGAGCAGGAGTAGGCCATTCAGCCCCTCGAGCCTGCCCCGCCATTTAATAAGATCATGGCTGATCTTCTAACCTAATTCCATTTATCGGCCCTATCCTCATATTCCTTAATCCCTCTATCTTTCAGACATCTGTCAACCTCAGTCTTGAATATGTTCAAGGACTGAGTATCCACAGCCTCTGGGATAGAGAATTCCACAAATTCATTACCCTGAGTAAAGAAATGTTTCCTCAACTCAGTTTGGAAAAAGCTGACCCTTAATCTTCAGACTATGACCCCTAGTTTTAGATTCTCCAACCAGGGGAAACAGTCTCAAAGCATCTACCCTGTCAAGACTCTTAGGAATCTTACAAGTTTCTATAAGATCACCTCCAATTCTTCTATATTCTAGAGAATATAGGCCTAGTTTACTCAATCTATCCTCATAGGTCGAGCCCCTCATCCCAGGAACCAACCTAGCGAATCTACGCTGCACTCCCTCTAAAGGCGAGTATGTCCTTTCTTAAATAGACCAAAACTGCACGCAATATTCTAGGTGCAGTCGCACCAAGGCCTTATACAACTGCAGCAAGACTTCCCTACTCTTGTACTACTCTTGCAACGAACGCCAACATGACGTTAGCCTTCCCAATTGCTTGCTGTACCTGCATACAAACTTTTTGTGACTATAAGGACACCCAAATCCCTCTGAACACCAATACTACCTAGTCTCCCCCTCTAGAAAATAATCTGCTTTTCTATTTTTACTACCTAGGTGAATAACTTCACACTTTCCCACGTTATACTCCATCTGCCACCTTCTTGCCCATTCACCTAGGCTGTCTATTTCCCTTTGCATTCTTCTTGTATCATTCTCACAGCTTGCTCTCCCACCTAGCTTCGTATCATCTGCGAATTTAGATATGTTAAATTCCATTTCCTCAGCTAAATCATTGATATAGACTGTAAATAATTGAGGCCCAAGCACTGATCCTTGTGGCACTCCACTAGTCACACCCTGCCAATCTGAGAAGGACCCTTTTATCCCCACTCTGTTTTCTTCCTGTTAACCATTCTCCAATCCATGCTAAGAAAGCTTTCACCAACCAAAGGTGCCGTTCTCATGCAGTAGTTACTCCAATACGATTCGAGTCAGAGCTGTGTAAATCTGAATTTACAAAAATAATCCTTACATTTGATATACATCACGTCATTGAGATGTCTCAAAGCGTTTCACAGAATATACTGTAAAGTGTAGTGACCGCATTTTGAGGTTCAAAGGGTGATTGAAAAAGCAGGGATCATGCAGTATGAGTAAGCTATTCCAGCAGGAATAGGAGTTAAACACCAGAAACGTACATACCAAACCAATGCTCACAGTCCTGACCTGCATCAACAGCGTCTAAAGCCAGACTACTGTTAGCAGTGTTACACTGAACATCTGATCTTAGTGGATGCTTAGGATCAGACAGTCTCCAGAGGGACAGAGAATTAGTTGGTTGCAATTCTTCAAACTTTGTGCGTGGAACACCTCAAGAGACTGCCACAGGCTAGACAAATATTGACTCTCCAGCATCCTGCCAGGGCCAAGACTGCTACAAACCAAACTGCTCTCATGCTGTTCAAATAAAGGTGGATAACTGAAGGGAGATTGAAACCCAAGAATAGTTACAAATATATGACCACTAGATTTGGATACAAGTTTAGAGAAGCAGAATAAGAAAGCCCAAGGAAAAGTTCATATACAAAATGTAATTAAGTTACAATTCAGCCAACCCAGTACACCCATAAAATAGTCAATTCACTTAAGAGTATATTCTGTAAAGAAACTTTGGGCAAGTTTCCTTACTTCACACACAGCCTAATAATAATCCCTCCAAAACAAAAAATAATAAATTGGTCATTTTCAATCCATGACTGGTTGTGGGACATTGCTGTGTGCAATTGGCTGATGCGTTTCGCCCACAAATATACAGTCAATTCACTTTACAGTATATTCTGTGAAGCGCTTTGAGACGTCGAGAAGATGTGAAAAGCACTTTATCAAATGCAAGGATTATTATTATATAAAGCGCTTTAAGGCATCTCATTTGAGTTATATCAAATGCAAGTATTATCACTTGTTGCTCTGTGGTCTAGGAGAGAACACTCTTTGCTCACCCGCCTTGAGATTTTATACTCAGCTCAAAGCCAATTGCAACCCACCTTTTTGTACATTCATAATATACTGAGTTTGACTAGAACCAGGTCTGCAACTGAAGCAGTTATTATATCATGCAGCTGTTTTCCTACATTTAATAAAGGGCCCAAATGGGATAAGGGGAATCCACTTTACAGTACATTCTCTGAAGTGCTTTGAGATGTCTCAGTGGCTTGATAAGGCGCTGGTTGGTTAGCTAAAGACCAGCTAATCTTAAGCCATTCGCTGCTCTTTACCTCAGTAACTTCTCCCTGGGGAGGCTGGTTGGCGTATTGTGGGCGACGACCATACCGACGTCGAACAAAGTAAGGTGGGTAACGCTGTCTTCTGTACGGAGGGCGTTGCTGTTGGTTTTGATATTCCTGGGTCTCTCCGTCAGTTGCAGTCTCCGCTCCATCTCCTTTCTCTCCACCTTCAATGTTCTGTTGGTCCTTAACAAAAAAATGTTTAAATTAGCACACTGTGCCATCAACTCCACCTTCCTAAAATACAACTAGAGAAATGCTCATGAACACATTCTCCACAACTACAGCATGCAACAGTAAAAGCCAGAGCAGACCAGAAAAGTAACTGGTCACCAATATACAATACACGCAGCTCTGATGCTAAAGCTTCTTCCGACACTTGGTTCCCTGTCAGGCCAAACACTCGTGTGCCCCTGAACAACAACTCTTACCTGTCTATCAAGCCCCAAGTTAGTCCAAGACTTGAACACTGCTCGCATATCTGAAGAAGCTTTCCTAGCACCTCTCACACTCCTGGACAAGATACAAGAAAAGGTTCGTCATCTGATGAGTGATCCTTCTCAGCTCTGCCCATCTCTGTTTCACTGTAAAACCTAGACTCCTTCGGTCACCATCCTCTGAACTTTACGTTGAAGCTTCAAAAATGCATCAAGATCAACCTGCTACACTTTCCCACCTCCCAAATCTGTCACTCCTCATCACCACAGGCCTCTCTTCCCAAGCTTGGCATAGCTCAACCAATTTACCTCAAAATTCAACAGCTGTGCTACCATTTCCTACTTCATCAATATCATGCAGTGATTTTTTAGAGCCAAGATATTCAGACATCTTATGGAAAAACAAAAACTTGCTCATTTGTATAACAGTCAATTCCACACAGAGAACAGAACAGTCAGCACCAGACTACTCTGAACCTACCATAGACACAGCAAATCACAATCAGACACATCAACACACACTGCATTTTCTTTGGGTCCCTTAGCCTTTAAATTCCTCCAACCGAACCACATGCTGATAGAATATTGGAAGAACTCTCGGAGGAGGAACAATTGGGGTCTGACAACTGGCCACAAAGCTGCATTGGTGGCTGCTGGGGCTCCAGGTAACATGGGGCTACAAGCATGAATGGTAACAGATGCAAAATCGTTTTGGACATACATTCCGCGGTGGTCCTCGACGTCGAGGGTTGTAACGACGGTAACGATTTCGATCCGCAGCATATCGGCTTCCTTGAACAGGAACTCCACCGGGACCGGTCACGTTGGCCGCCTCTGCTCCCTGAAACACAGAGGGGAGAGTTGAGCAATGTATCTGGTTGTGATCAAAACCAGGCTTCAATAGAGTCTATTTAACCATTCACAATCAGATGAAAAAAACACTACGTGAGCATAAACAGATCAAAACGTGAGCATGAATGCAGATTCAGTGCTCTGGGATTCTACCCTGTGTGAGGGCCACTATATAAATGCAAGTTATCGTCTTTTAAGTGGCATGAAACTGTTAAAATTACTAGAAATACAAACATAATCTTCAACAACATGGGGTAGCTTAGTAGTTTGGGAGTTCTGGTAAAGGCAACTCCATTGTAGATTTTCTGCAAGTCCGAGGGCAATGACAAAATAAAAAAAAATCAGCAATATGATCCCACAAATAAAACAGGATCCCTACGTGAGACAGGGCAGCTAACAGAAACACGTTAGGTGATTTAAGGGGCAGCTGAGGATGTCTTCACAGGATTCACTGTAAAGTGCAGACTTTTTTGTGGGCAAATGTATTATGTGCAATGTTCACCATGTTTTATGCATCAGCCTGGTGCAGTGGTAGCACTATTGCCTCAGTCAGAAAGTTGTGGCTTCAAGACCACATCAGAACTTGGAATCGGGTAGTTAAACCAAGCTCCCATCTGCCTGTTCAGGTGGACATTAAAGATCCTGTGGCGCTATTCAAAATGAGAAGCAAGTTTCTCTCCTGGCCAACAATCCCCCAAATAAAAATTGGTCACTTGCTCCATGGCTGTTTGTGGGACAATGTTGTGCACAAACTGACTGCCGAGTTTCATCCAAAAAAGACAATTCACTCTACATCTTTTATGTCCTCTGAGGCGTCTTGACAACATGATAAGGTGCTGTTCGAAATGCAAGGATTATATGATCATATTATTAAAAAGTATTTCAGCAGCTAACACTTCATTGCAGTTGCACTGAAAATATTACATTGTGGATTGTACCTTTTCACCTTCCACGACATCAAACTCCACTGTTTCACCGTCACCAACACTTCTTAGATATTTCCGTGGATTATTCTTCTTTATGGCAGTCTGTCAAGAATTCAATAGTTCAAGTCAGAAATTTTATGATAAAAGTTCTCCTTCTCATTAATCAAACAGTTCTCCCTCTGGAGTGAATTACTGCTAATATCAATTGCAAAAGATTTAAGAGATTTGTTACCAACATCAGAGGCAAGTACCTCTGCAGCTTTAATGTGAAATCTCAATACAGCCAAATCTTTAAGGTTGACAATCAAACTTTCAGGCTACTGTATTTATTTACAAGCTTCAAAGTAAAGAGAAACCTACAACAAATGCGGTAAAACAATATGTACTGCTGCTTTAGGAATGCAATAATAGATGAACTTGGTTTGATGAAGTTCTGCTAATAGCATTGGAATGAAGATTAAACAAAACTACAGACCGGCACATTTTATTGTTCAAAAATGCCCTGCTGTGTTTGAGTATTATGAATAGGAATGGTGGGTTGTAGGTAGTTTGACTTGTTTGTTCAGCGGCAGCTCTGAAATAAGTTAAAACTTTGTGCCACACCACCTTTAAGCTAGAAGTTTTAGAGACATTGATAAGTGCACCTTCACCATGTAGGATTATGCATTAATACTATGTGGTTTTAATTCAGGCTAGGGTTGGGCCGAGAACTCAATCAGTCAAACTTCCACCAGAAGCTGCTTCAAGAGATCTTCCTGAAGCTAGAAATTCAAAAACAATTCTGGACAATGGGATTGAATAATAACCTTCATATACTGGGCATAAACTTCAATGTAGAGGTATTATCACACTGCTGGGCAGAACAATATCTTTTGCAGTTAGAGCTAAATTAAATCTTAATCCATACTCTGAAACATTGACCCTAGTGAAAGATAATTTAGCTGATCCTATTCAGTATAGATCTAGGACTTCTACAAACTTCATTAACATTTTAAAAACAATAATATACTGTGCAGTTGATTACCTAGGGTAAATTGCAGCAAAGAGAAACCTTGAGTCTGTAACTAAAATTCACTTCTCAAAGACAGCACATACAGGTTAAGAATGTAAATTAAAAATCTAAAAAATGTTCTTCAATCTAACCCAACTTCATTTCAACCATTTTCTCTCCTCCTTATCCACTATTCCTGGACTCTGAAGTTCACTGACAGGATCGGGATTCAAGCCAGTTGTTAGGACATTTGAGACCTGAGTGGAAGATCCTGCAGTTATTCCTTTCCCCCACTCAGAAGCATTTGACTCGCATGCAACAGCTAAGATTTCCGTCCTTCGTTCTTGGAAGTAAAGTAAGGAATAGAACTCCTGTCCTTGGGAGAGGATGTAATGGGAGCCAGACACTGATCACCACTGTTAGCAGTAGGTGGAACTTCAAACAAGTGCTCAGCACTGTGCCACAAGTTGAACCAGTTCAGAATATTACTGCCTCAGATTTTTCAGTTAATCAGACACAATGATTCAAGTACTTGGTTTCAAAGAACATCACAAACCCCAATTGAGTATAATGGGGAGGGGGAGAAGAAAGAATGAGAACAGAATTCTACTGGTCTTTTACGATGTCACAAGGAACATAACTGCCTTGTGAATGTAAAAAAATTAAACAAGCCATTTTACATTAATGTAGGGCAGCAGTGAAATATGGAGGTAAACTAGAGGTCCACATTACAAACTGAGTGTCGTGGTAATAATGTTCCCTAGTACCAGTACACATGAATAGAACTTTCTGAAAGACTTCCCAGCTACGTGTAGTCGTTCCTCAGGCTGGACACTCACCTGATGTACAAATACGTCCTCTTTCGTGTCATTCCTACAAAGGAAAATACAATTCACACATTTAAATGCAGTTATGAAGAAGATTTTACTGCCACGTGTATGTATCATACTGTTAGTGATTCAGTCAACATTACTATTAATCAAGGTTTAAAAGCAACATACAATACACAAGTTACTGGCAAGGGTTTAGTAATGGGGCCTTGGATCCCAAAGAGCAAAGTTCAAAAATGGTTCCAGAGTGTTACACAAATGCCTTATTATCTAGTCTGAATAGCTTTATTTAAACAGTTACAATTATGTTAATTATATTTCAGGCAATTTCATGTGGCTTCAAAAAATTGTACTGACCGGTTGATGAATCCATAGCCATTTCGTACATTGAACCACTTTACTGTTCCAAGGACCTTTGTTGCTGAAAAAATACAAATACATCTTTATAATAAGAGTAGTCTTAGTATCTTCCAGTGTCTGAAGCTGGGTTTCTCAATCCTTCCCAACTATACCTTACATGTTAAACGTTTCTTTTTAAAGGAACCCACACCCAAATCTCTTCCAAAAGATCCTACCATCCATCGCTCTGATGTCAGGTACAGGGAGATCCACTTTAGATTTTGGTTACCAAATTCCAAATCTGACCAATAGATTGTTTTAAAAAAAATCAACTCAGCCAGTTAAAAGATGAATTTCAAATCTGTCAAGTGGCTTTGAGTACCAGTGAACTTTATACTACAGAGCATGGATCAGTACAAAGTAGGATGAACATAACAGCATGAAAGCCTAGCAGTTGACCAATCCAAAACATTCGCAACATTAAGTCAAGAACTTCCTTCAGGATACAGTGTTAAGTTTATATTCTCTAGTTCAGCTTTAATGGTCAGTGTAGTTGACATCTGCACTGGTGTGAAGGACTTACTGAGCTCAGCAGTGTGATGACAGCAAACTAGTGGTGACTTATCATTCCATTGTTTTATTCAGATGCTCACATGACCTAGCTTCATATCAGCTTCCTGGTGGGAGTTTCATACTCCACCCTCAAATGCTTGCGAAATGGGTGCTATTAAATTAGTCATAGAAGCGATACCCACGTATAAGTTCTGGTGAACTACAGAACACAAAAGTATTCAAAACTAAATTCAGGACAGAAGGTCAAGTGACTATTTACTAGGATTAGTTAATAAATCATTTTCTGGCTTCTAAGAGCAGTCCAGAATGCAACGTTTCTACTTGGTGAATTACACTGATTTAACTAAATGGAACGCTATAAACTAGAAAGATCCTGTAACAAAAACAAACTGGCTGAGAATTCATTTGGGAATGTTTGTTAAGCCAGGCCAATCACGCCCCATCATTGTTGCTCTGATTTCAATCATTTTGTGCCCCTAAGCAAATATGACAATAGTTTAATCTAGGCTATTAATGAAAATTAATGAAGGTTTGATTTCAAATGATTGTTCATGAAATCAGAAACATCTCGTTCATATTGGAATAAAGTCATTGGGTTCGTAATGAGATTTCAGGCTTTATAGAAAAGGGTGCAATTATGATCAATCTATACTAACTCACTAACAACCTTCTCCCGCCACCAGGAGCGAACTTAATTTCAGCTGTAGTTACCTTTTTCTTTGTTAATTTCTGATGAACCCTATTGATGGATAGATGTTTGTCAGGTCATCATGGGATTATGGGCAAGGGTGGCTAATTGGGAATTGAGGTACAAATCAGCCATGATCTTAGAATGGTGGAACAGGCTCAAGAGGCTGAATGGCCAACTCCTGTTCCTATGTTCCTGTGCAATAGCAAAGCAATACCAACAGGTTTGGAGAAAGTTTTATAATGCAATAACTGTTGTCATGGGGGCGGAGGAAGAGAGGTAAGCCAGGACTTCTTGGGAGTTAAACTGGCTCCAAGGTGACATGCCTGGCAATGGGATGTTAGAATCGAGCCAGCCCTCTGTGGCAGTATCGATAGTCCGGTTCCTAAGCCAGGCAGCTCTGCAATATTCCAGGGCACAGTCAACCAGGATTATTGACAAGACCCAGAAGGGCAGACAAGTCACTGGGATCAGGGAGTCATTCCACTCAGCTCCTGTTAACCCAGCAATCCACAGCCCTAATGGGTAGGGTGGTCCTGGCTGGACAAGTAGCGGGAAGTCTTGCCAGATGCAATAACAATGGCAAGCTATGCCGTTTTAGCTGGTTAGACTCCAGCAGTCACCTCAACCCAACACGGGAAAGTGAAAGGAAAAATCAGTTTTGCACGAAGAAAGGTGGGTGAACAGAGATAAGGATTGAAAACCTTGTCTGGATACTCTATACTGCCAGCTTTCCCATAAAATGAAACCAGGTACAGAAACGGTAAATATGCCTCCAAGATTATTTCTTTGTCCTGGGTTTCTGCCGCTGACAGCAGATATCTTTAGTCTTGAGCTTTTGTTCTTAGAAACTGCCAAAGTTTACTGTCCATTAAGTCTTTCGGAGCCTCAGTTGGCACACTGCCATGTCAACAAAGCTGCAAAATCCAGATTAGACAGTAGGGTGTTTGTATAGTAGTGGCTTCCATAGGATAAGGGTATTTTACTTACACAGCGCAAAACTGCTTTCTGAAGGGCATACAGATTAAAGTAGACGTCACTTACTACTTGTCAGCTCTGCTTTCAGAAAAGTGATTCTTTTTAGTTAAAAATCATCAAACTATAATAATAATCTTTACATGTGATATAGTGGCTTATCATGCCATTGAGACGTCTCAAAGTGATTCGCAGAATAAACTACCGTCTGAAAAAAAGTGAATGGACTGTATATTTTGTGGGTGAAACACAGCAGCCAATTTCAGACAGACAGTCGTGGATGGAGTGACTACAATTTTAAAAAAAACTGATGGGATCATTACCCCCAGAAAGGATTCTGCTAATCAACTAACAACTACTTACTGCTTAGAGGCATGTGGAGTAAGGAAACTAGGATTTCGCACTGCCTGAGAATCGAACCCATTGAGCTATGACAGTGTAGCATACAGATATGCCAAATCTCATTCAGTACCAAAGGTCACAAGGAGTGAATTAGTCCTGGTATAGCATACATTACACAAGAGCTGTGAATACTTTCAAATGGTTTTACACGTCACTCCCAACACTTAATGTCCAGAAAACACATGGAGCCGAGTAGTCACTAGGGTGCCTGGCTTTCAGGCAAGACTGACTTCCTGCAGCTGACTATCCAAAAATCTTTGCAAACTTTGTCAGATCAGCAAGTGGGAACAAGGAGCAAATAGAATATCTATCAACAACCCAAAACTGATGGTGTAGTGTTTAATATGAAAGTAGGTATTAATTAATACGTGGGCTCTCTGGCAGCAACACCCTTTTTATACTAGATCAAAACAACGTGACTAAGGTGTGGTTTCCACCACGTATCAGCCTGCCGGGTTGAGCAACCATTCGGTCAGAACTTCCTAGTCGCTTCAAATAACGCTCAGGCCTTTTTCAAACAGCTGCCGAGATTCCTTCAACTGGAAACGTCTTTGGGCTAGAGAGGCGGCTGGCAGAGTGTTCCGAAACTTTAAATAAAAAGCCCTCTTGAGTTGCAGCAAGTTTGCGGAAGCAATAGAATCAATACTGTGCGCAGACCACATGTCCCAGTGCAGACACATGTGGCACCAACACCTGGTTCAGGATTGCATCTTAGGGGACTTTTCTTTTGGAGGTGGGGGGGGGAGAAAGCAGAATTTCTACACATGTGCGGTGGGAATAACGAGAGGAAAAGAAAATTGTTCTCTCTATAATAGCTTCAAGATTTATATTCTCACTCCCCATTTATCGCCAGCCCCCCCCCCCCCCAAAAAATACTGCCCGTCGCTTTCATTATGAGTCAAAGGAAGGAAGCAAATGAATCAAAGTGCAAAACTTTTAAAGATTAAGAATGCGTGTGTGTGTCGCCCCCAAAAACCCACGTGGCTCAAGAGACGCCAGGAGAGAAACACACACATAGAAAATATATATAAATCTCAGTGAAATGGTCGCTCCCACTACCAGGCGCTTTCTCTCTCTCTCCTGTTGACGGTGGGAAACAGAACAAAAGATTCCCCCATCCCAACCCTCTTTTGAGGGAGAAAGAACAGCAATAAACTGACAGCCAGACACAGACTGACTGACACACACACACACGTACTGACACAGGAAATTTCACCCCATCCCTCGATTAACACCACATCCATGTATCCATCCCCACCACCACCCCTAACCCCACGACATTTTTCTTTCATACACACATTTTATTTATTTTTTTGGGAAAAAAAATATTTTTTCTCCTCTTTTTAACCGAAAAAAAAACGAGGAGGAGGAGGAGGAGGAGAAAAAAAATGTGTATAAAATATATATTTGTACACGTTCCTATTCCACCAGGGTCTTTTTTTTTTGTGGGGGGGGGGGGGGGGAGAGAGAGAGAGGAGGGGTGGGAGGGAGGGAGGGAGAAAGCGAGGGAAAAATAAGGAAAAGTGGGAAGGAAGGAAAATGGGAGAAATCTGTCCCCTCCTCCCCCACCCCTCCTCAAACCCACGACCAGATTCTCTCTCTCTCTCTCTCTGTGGTGGTGGTGAGGGGGAGAGGGAGAGAGGGGGGAGAGGGGGGGGAGTAATTGTAAAGCGTGAGAGAAAAAACGGTTAGAAATTTGAATAAAGCCGCGGGCTCGGGTTCCAAGCGGCGGCCGTTAAACCCCAACCCGTGGCGGCGCTCGAGGAATCGGGGAAGGGGGTGAAGGTGAGAAAAGAAACGAATGAAAAGAAAGAAAGAAGAGAGAGAGAAGAAACGTGAGAAAGAGAGAAAGAGAGAAGGGGGGGGGGGAAGAAAAAGGGGAAAAAAAAAAAAGGCCGCACGGGGAGCCTCGGTTTTTCCTCGACCCCCTCATCTCTTCCCACATTCCTTCTGGTGGGAAGCCGCCCCGACTTCCTTCCCTCCCTCACGCATTCCCTCCCTCCCTCCCGCCGTCGAGTGAGCGAGCGTGTGAGGAGAAAGAATGGCACGACACGGCCTTTCTCTCTCCCCCCCCCCCCCTCCTCCTCCAACCGCCCACCCGCTCGAGGCCTGCGCCCGCCCGCCCCGCCCGCCCGAGCCCGGCCCCGCCGCGTGCTCGGGCCGTTAGGACGCCACCCGCCGCCTCCTCACCGATGACTTTCTTCTCCCCGGGGGACTTGGGTTTCTCTGGCTGTTGCTGCTGCTGCTGCTGCTGCGGCTGTTGTTGTGGCTGCGGCGGCGGCGGCGGCGACTGCTCCTGCTGTTCGGGTTGCTGTTCTGTCTCGGCCTCGCTCATGGTGTTCTTGGGCTGTTCCTGCTGATGGTAAAGTGGGGCCGGCTCTGAGGTGGCGGCTGCCTGCGCTCTCTCCGCTCTCTCTCTCCTCTCTTTCCCTCTGCTGAAAGAACATGGCTGGGCTCTCGCGAGAATTTCATTAAATACGGCGCCCCGCCTCCGGCCCCGCCCACAACCCCGCCCCCCACCTCCCCATTGGTCCCGGCCGCGCCTTTCAGCCTCCCATTGGCCAGCCCGCCGCGCCACTCAACCCCGGCGCCACGCCCCCCCCCGGTCCACGACACTAACGGACAGGCACGTGGGCGGATCTCGCCCTCCCCAGAGCCTCGAAAGCCTGAGCGCCCATTGGTCCACCGCGAGGTCCGTCGATCGCCACCGAGGCGCGCCTCCAATTGGGTTGAGCCGCTGTCAATCAAACGCATGCTCGCCTTCCCCACCCCCTGTCCTCCTCCTCCTGCTTTGTGAGCAGGTGACCAGCGGGTGTCTGACACACGTGGAAACCCATTGCCATCCCCAAAGGGCTTCAAACCCATTGAGTGACACACACAAGTGACTTCCGCCTTCCTTTCACCTTTTCAAGACTGAGGTGGATAGATACGTTACGTCAGGGTATCGGGATGCTGGGCGAGGGCGGGTATTTGGAGTTGAGCTCCAGATCAGCCAGGATAATAATAATAATAATAACCCTCCTCGCATTTCATACAGCTTTTCACATCTTCTAGACCACAACAAAATTACATTTGTATAGGGCCGTTCACGTCGGGAGGACGTCCCAAGGTGTTGGACAGGCAGTGTTTCGGACCCGAGCTGGGGGTCGGGGTAGGGGAGGGTGGAGGGCAGGGGGGTAAGCTGGGAGATCGGAAGCACGGTTGAAGAGGAGGGTCTTGAGATGGGTCTTGAAGGAGGCAAGGGAGGGAGCGAGGCGGAGGGTCTGTGGGATGGAGTTCCAGAGGGTGGGGGCAGAGTGGCAATAGTGAGGCGAGTGAGGCGGGGGACATGAAGCAGGCCAGATCCCGCTGAGTGGAAGAAGCGAGCAGGGAGACGTCTCAAAGAGCTTCAAAGAATATACTGTAAAGTGAATTGACTGTATATTTGTGGGCGAAACGAGGTAGCCAATTACACACAGCAGCGTCCCACAAACAGTCGTGGATTAAAGTGACCAATTTATTTTTGGGGGACGATTTTATAGAATGGGGGAACAGGCTCGAAGGCCTGAATGGCATACTCCTGTTTCTATCTTCGGAGCACGTGTAGGTTCGGCGCGATCCTTTAATCCAGCAGAGTTTAGAACCATAGGAACATAGCAATAGGAATAGGCCATTCAGCCCCCGGGCTTGTTCTGTCATTCTATTAGATCATGGCTGATTTGTACCTGAACTCTGAGTACGTTAGCGTAATGGTTAGAGCACTTGTCTCATAAGCAAGAGCAGTGTCAATGCAGCGCTCCTGTACTGCAGTGAAAATCAGCCTGGGGAGCTCAAGTTTGCAGGGCTTTGGGGAGAGCGCGGAGGAGTGGGATTGAATTAGGTAGCTCTTTTCAAAGGAGCCGGCAGACACGATGGGCCGAATGGCCTCCTTTTGTGCTGTATGATTGGACTGTGAGCTCCAGCTGCCACTTGGGGCATGAATAAACCCGTACCTTTTGAACTGGAAAAAAAAGTGGTTGCAGCCGAGCCAAATGGATACCAACACAAACAAACACATGTAGTGTATTGATTGGAGCACTCGCCTCACAAAAGAGAGGGCCTGGGTTTGAATCCAGGGCAGGGCGAAACATTAGGCAAGTTTCCTTACTTCACATGCCTGTCTACCTAGCAGTAAGTGGGAACCAGGTTGTTAGATTGGCAGATCGCTTTCTGGGGGTAATTATCCCTTAAAAATAAGAAGAATTTGGTCACTCAATCCATGACCGGTCATTTTACAGTATATTCTGTGAAGCACTTTGAAATGTCACAAAGATGTGATAAGGCACTATATCAAATTCAAGGATTATTAGTATATATTATAGAAGGAACAAGCCGTGGATGAAATATTTCATTATTCTCTCAATGTCCACATTTTTACTCTTGTTTAGGAGCGAGTTCTAACATATTCATGAAAGGAACTGGTTTCTCTAGGGTGCTCCAGAGCTCAAATTTATTCACTATCCTGAGACTATAATGTATGCCCCCCCAAACAAAGGATGTGATCAGCATATTGGGAGATCTGGTGAACCCTTTGATGATCTTAAACAGCTGTATCAAGAGAGGATGTGTAAGAGACACTTTTGATCTAATTTCCAGGCTAAATGGAGCACTGATGTAATTTCTTTTCACAATGAAATAGTGCTGTGTTGGGGGAGCACTGCATTGTCAGAGAAACCATCCTTTACATGAGATGTTAAACTGAAGTCGTAGCTACCTGTTTAGGATAAATAATCTGTGACACTATTAAAAGGGAGATTTCTCTGATGTACTGACCCAACAATATTCCAAATTAATTGGTTATTCACCTTGGCCTTGCTAGTGCAAATGGTTGCCTACAAATGACTATACACTTGGTAGCAATTACCTGTGAAGACATTTTGAAGTGATAAAAAACTGTAAAAATACAAGCTCTCTCTTGTAATCTTAACAAATTCCCCCCCCCAATACTTTGCAGACAATCATTATCAAAACTCACGCACACAGAGTGTCCACTTTTGGAACTTAATGCCAGCATGAATTAGCCTTTAGGGAAAAAAAGAGAGAATACAGTAGTTCTTCTCATGCTATATGTATACCCTGTTTAACTAGGGTACTCAGCCATAGCTTAAAGGCTGTACAGCTGAATAGGTTATAGAACATGTTAAATTACACAACAAATGCAGGTTTACCCAGCATTGAGGGAAGAGTTAAGGCCACCTCAAGATCTTTGTCCACTGTAAGTTTCTAAGCCTAATCAGCAGAATGAACAATGGGCTGTTAAACGGTTTGATGAACCCAACATTTAAAAAGGAAGTCTTCTTTCTCAGCACACACTGCGCTTGTCGGGGCAGGTTCCATAATAACCAACGGGAGAAAGGGCAAGACGGTTAAGAAAACACACTTGAAATAATGGTTCACAAAGTGAAGTGCACTAATTATGCTAATTGATTCAGGGACAGAGAGGTAATGTGGCGCCCACGGGATTGGTTAATTACAGTCATGTACATCAGGAATTCAGCCGCACGGCAGAAACCACAGCGCGACCACAGCTCACCTGGAGACCTTGAATTCATATTAGACTGCAGAGGTTTCACTAGTGGCTATGCTTGACATCAGAATTTATAATAATAATCCTTGCATTTGATATAGAAAATTATCACATCTTTGAGACGTCTCAAAACACTTCACAGAATATACCGTGAAGTGAATTGACTGTCTATTTTGTGGGAAAAACGTGGCAGCCAATTGCACACAGCACGGTCCCATAGTCATGGATTCAGTGACCAAATTATTCTTTTTTTAATTATTTTTTTCAAGGGATTGTTACCCCTGAAAAGCGATTCGCCGATCAATTAACAACCCCGCCCGGGAATCGGGAACATTGCTTGTGAGGCGAATGCTCTAACCGCCACAGGGCTCCACAATTTATACTGTCGCAGCACTTGTACAAACCATCTCAAAGCGCTTCACAGCAACAACCGTCAAGTACAGCGATTGTTTTTGTCGGAGACAGTTTGCGCATAACAAACCTCCACCACTTTCGGTCAAGGTCCTTAAATCTGCTTATTCCCTCTGCTAGGTGTACTCCACTACATCTGTGTAGTGCATCCAACACACTCATCCAGCACGAAAAACGCTGCACAAGTGCAAGTTACTAAACAAGCTCACCAGAAATCTCCCCCCACTATTCCCCAACCCGGGCAATTTAATTAGAATTCTAGTTCAGGTGGAACATGACCTGAAAGTTTGTTTTAAAAAAGCTAAGATTGTTCTTTTCGTAAAGCACTTAAAGATCAAAACTTCATCCTTTTCTCTCCAGGTAATAACTTTATTTTTTTATAAGAAAAATCATCGCTGCCTGTAACTGAACCCATCAATAAAACTAAGATGGGGGAAAAAATGGTATCAAAGTTACATTCAACGCCCACTTCCTACAGTCTTATCCCATCAATGCAGGAATTATCGTAGCAAGGTAACAAGGAGCTCATCAAAATCCCACGCCATTTGTGCATATTCTTTTAAAGATCAGGACCGGAAGCAATATCTCAGCGGCTTGCCAGGTATACTCCAGTGAGCTTCGTGATCACTGGGGCCGGGGGCGACGAGACGAGTGTGCTCTCTCTACATCTCTCCGCACTGTGCAATTATAACTGGAAGCTTGGGCTTGTTGTTGGGTCCAGTGGGGACGTTCTGGAGGCAGAAGGGAAAGATATTAAATGAAGGGATTAAGTTGTGGCGGAGGTGGAGCCCACACCCTCCCAGCCCGGTCCATACACCATTCCCCAATCCAGACGTTCTGAAGTGGGGACACTTCTTGGCATTCTGGTGTTTGACAGGCGGTTAAACTACCCCTTTGTGTGACTACCCCAAACCCCACCGCCCTCCACTCCTGATCAGCTCGGATGCGGATCCCTGACTGTCCAGCACCCTTGGACATCATTCTGACGTGAGGTGAAAGGCGTCACGTCAAATGTAGTTTGTTGTTGTTAATGGCTTCACCTCTTCGGTTGGCCACCAAAATAGTGTTTCTTGATTGAATATTTCTTGATATGGCATAAATCTATGCTATTTTGTTATTTCTACAATTGTTTTGTTGGCCAACTAAAAAGGTAATCCTAGAAATAACAATAATTTCTTTATCCTGTACTGAACAGTAGAACCAGAGGACACCGCCTGCAATTGAAGGGGGGTAAATTTAGAACAAATCTATGGAGATACTACTTCAGTGGGCAAGTAGTAAATTTATGGAACAGGCTCCCTAGGTGGAAGCAGAAAGTGTTGTTTGTTTCAAGAACAAATTAGATAGATTTCAGACAGAAAATAATATCTCGGAGTACAATATATAGTTTGAGATGCGATATGTCAAGTGACTGCTAGGATGGTGGAAGGCAAACTGGATGGATCTGGGTCTGCTTTCGCCTAGCAAATTCTTATGTTCTTATTTAGAAATATATAGAAATATCACCCTCCAGCAGTATAGAAATCACTCAGCCGTGAAAACTGTCCTCACCTCTCATGCATACTTGCCTTTCAGTTTTAAAATATTACAGAAACACGCTGCCACTTACCTCAATCTTCCTCATTACAAGTAGCCCGTCAATGATTTTCCCTGAAAGACAGACAACGAGTCAGTTGTTTCCAGTTTAGATTTTTTAATAAGCAGAATCATTTTGCCCCACAGAACAATAACCCAAAGACTAATCTTTAGCTAGTGTAGAGGCACACAGCACATCACAATAAATATTCGGTCACACAATCCACCACCACTGTTGTGCGCAATTGGCTGCCGCATTTTGCCCACAAAATTCAATTTAGTTTACAGAATATTCTGTGAAGCGCTTTGAGACGTCTCAAAGATGTGATAAGGCGCTGTATCAAATGCAAGTATTATAATTAATGACACCAAACCACATGGTATTGAGCAGTAACCCAAAGTGTTAAATCTACAATCCTCTGAAGTGTTATCCTAAACCTCAACCATGCTGTTGGACAGAGAACACTGAACTCTCGGAGTATCCCCTCCATGGATCAATCACCCTCCTGTGGTTAGTTAAATTTACAATATTCATTGTCAAAACGTCTCAAAGGGCTTCATAAGCAATTATTGCCAAGTTTACTGGTTTTTGTGGACAAGAAGCAGATAAATCATCCAACTAACGATGCTGTTTTGTAACACTGTTTTTACTCTCCTGTTCGGTAGAAATATTGCAGCTAAATTCACATTTATAATAAAATCGAACACTGCCCGTTCACAGCTATGACAATCCTTTGTCCCTAAAATATGCCATTTGCTGGAGCATTTCCGCCGAAACTAATGACTTTTTTTTCAAAAGCTAGGCATCTAGTTTTGAATGCACAGCAAGATTTTCTTTACATGAAAATTGTTGAGGAGCACAACTGCAGGATAATAATAATCCTTGCATTTGATATTTGAGAAGCGCTTTTTCTTGCCTTCGAGATATCTCAAAGCGCTTCACAGAATACACTGTGAAAACTGTGTTCCTACTTACTGCTAAGTAACAGAGGCATCTGGAATAAGGAAACTTACGCAACCTTTTGTCCTGTCCGGGAATCAAGCCCAGGTCTCTCGTTTGCGAGGTGAGTGCTCTAACCACTAAGCTACAGGACTATACAATAATAATCCTTGCATTTCATATAGCGCCTTATCAGGTGTTCAATAAATTTGATATAAAACATCACTCAGGTTAACAGTTCAGTATTTGGGTATACTGTGTTCTGTGTATGCGGGGGGAGAGATAGCAATCACAGTCCCAGATACATGCCCTCCCTTGGTAGCAGTTTGTTATACTGTGTTGTTACTTCAAAGCTGACTTCTAATTGCCACCCTTGAGTAATCTTCTTAAACATTCTCTTTGTGTTTCAATATTGTTAAGACCATTAATTAGTCAACTATCTGGAGAGTTTGTGTAGCACGGGTGACTTTAACTTGATGCATTCAATACCCCTTGAGTTGGTTTGGGTTCAGTTGGTAGCACGTGTCAAACGTTGTCGGTTCAAGCCTCTTGTTGGGACCTATCTTCTGTCTAGACTGACATCCAGTGCAGGACTCGGGGAGTGCTGCACTCTTAGGGATGTTGTCCTTTGGATGAGATGTTAATAACAAGGTCCTTCCTGGCTGTTTTTCCAAGACGTTAAAGACCCTATGACAAGTGTTCCAAAAGAGAAGCTTCTTTTTCTCACGGTTTCTGGGCCAATAATCCTCCACATCATTCATCTCATGGCAGTTTGTAGATGGCGCAAAATAATAATAATCCTTGCATTTGATATAGCGCTTTTCATGTCGGGAGGACGTCCCAAAGCGCTTCACAGAATACACTGTAAAGTGAATTGACTGTATATTTGTGGGCGAACGTGGCAGCCAATTGCGCACAGCAATGTCCCACAAACAGTCGTAGATTGAAAATGACCAATTTATTATTGTTTTTGGTTTTGGAGGGATTATTATTAGGCGTGTTAAATACCTGCTCGCAAACATAATCGCTACACTTGACAGTAATTTCTGTAACGTCCTCAGACATTTTGACACAAGGACAGAGAAAGTGCAAGTCTTTGTTGCTTTTATTCCATTCAAACACCAGAGAGCAGCAACACTGAACTCATATTACCTCTGAGTAAAAAAGATGTGTTCTACGCAATCCCTCGACCCTTCCATTCCAACAGTGGCCACGCCTTCAGCCACTACACCCTGAACCTCTGCCTTAATCCCTCTACCTTGCCCCCTCTATAACCTCGCGCCAGAAGACTTTCCAATTGGACTTAGCTTACGGACACCTCCCCTTTCTCCAGCTCGGTGAAGCTACGCCATTGTTCAGCACTTCAGACGCTACCCTTTGTGAAGGCGCTGCAAGTTGTTGCTTCAAGGTTTCTGGGCAATGGTGCTGGCTGCCTTTCCAAAGCAACAAAAAATTGTTGTTTCTCAAAGCATTCACCTTATGCCAGATTAGTTGTAGGTAGAGGGACAGAGAGCAACACGTGGCACACTGTTGGGTCGATCGCAGAGCCAGAACAACTTTCATTTATGTAGCGCCCCTCATGCAGGGTAGCATCCCAGAGCGCAAGGTCCAACTCCCACATCTGCTCATGAAATCACCTGCGGATTCGCTTCGCGGAAACGCATCTGCGCTGAAGGAGGCTATTCGGCCCATCGTGTTTGTGCCACTTTCCACCTCTATCCTTCATTTAATAATAATAATGTGTGCAATTGGCTGCTGCGTTTCAAATGCCAGGATTATTATTAATATTAATTTCCCTTTTTATTTCTCAGGAACTCCTGCTGGCCAGTTAACTGGCCACTTGCGGTGACAAACCTTACCAACTTTCCTCACTTACCGAAAACTACATGCTTCCCGTCAAGCCAGTCGCACTTGGAGCAGGTAATAAAGAACTGACACCCATTTGTGTTCGGGCCACTGTTTGCCTGTTCGAGATAGAAGTACGAGAAGTTTGGTTGTTACTTATTTTCCTGGGGGGTGGGGGGGAGAAGGGAAGTGGGGGAGAAGGGAAAGAAAGGCACATCACCAATGAAGCCTTACCATGGAGAGGAAACCGGGTAATGAGTGTTTAACTTTAAAGTTTTCATCTCCAAAAACACCTCTGTAGATACTGCACACACCTGTTCCATCACCCTGCGGAGGAGAAGCAAGCAACCTTCAGAAGGAAATCATCAAGTAGAAGCAAGAATGTTTTTTAAGGGGAATTGTTTTTTTGCAGATCAGTTAGATAGGAACAACAACAACAACAACAAGATTCCATTTATAAAGCGCCTTCACGTCAGGAGGACGTCCCAAGGCGCTGCACAGTTGGGTCATGACCCGAGCAGGGGGGAAATGGTCAGGGTGAGGGGAGGGAAGGGAGGGAGAGAGGAGGGGGAAATGGTCAGGGGGAGGGGAGGGAAGGGAAGGGAGGGAGCGAGGAGGGGGAAGAGAGTCGAGAGGGGAGCTGAAGGCTCGGTCAAAGAGAACAGGAGGAGGGTGGAGGCAATTGAGCCTTTTCCATCATTGTACTGGATCACAACGCATTGGTTAATCTCTCTCTCTTAACATCCTTCCGGTGTCTCTCTCTTGCTCCCTTCTAATCATCCGATTCAATTCTATACCTTCTTTTGGGGTGACTCCAGTATTCCAATTGGTCCATTTTTAGAGGAGTTCTGGTATTCCCATTTGGTGCATCTGGGGCAGGAGTTTCTGGGGCTCCCATTGGTTCATTTTTGGGGAGATCGGAGATTCCCATTGGTCCATATTGGGGAAGTCCCATTGGTCCATTTTGGGGGGGGGGGGGGGGGTTCCTATTGGTCCATTTTTGAGCAGTCCTGGGATCCCCATTGGTCACGCTTTCAATCCCCCCCTAGAATTCCGGAGCCTTCAGCAAGGCTGAGAATTCCGTCCCTGCAACTGCCACGGAACGCGGCGACCATTTAAAAATGGGGGGTGGGCGAGAGAGGAGTTTTTTTAAAAAAAAAACTCTTTTTAACTCTACATGGGGACCAATACACCAGCACATAAATCAATAAAATCCCTGTCAATCCCATAGCAGTCAATCAATCAGCTTTCCTAAGGTGACGATCGTATTGTATTGTACCATAGGTGAACCCAGCAGGCGATTTGCACGTTTGCCTTCCTGGCCACTTGTCCGGGCCGTTAATTCCACACAAGAGATCAGGCAACAGATGCCCTGTTAACTGGGAATATGGATGGATGGTAAAAGAGAGCAAACAGTGAATGACTGTATTACTGGGGCACATGAACCCTCATTGTGGAACTCACATTTACAAAGTCTCCTCCTTGGATCATGAAGTCCTTAATCACCCTGGAAAAGAGAAGGTGCTTTTAGAGGCGGTGGTTTTGAGGCGGTGGATCCGGATTCCAGGCACAGAATACAAAACATACCACTGGGATAACGCAGCATTCCAGACTCGTAGGCGAGAGCTAGGCTGGCACCTTTTACGACATTCCCTCGCCAAACAATTGTTAGCGGCACAAAAGGTAGGTAGGTTGTGTGGAGATTAAACAGTACAAATATCAACACGGACCTGTGGAAAGTACATCCTTTGAATCCAATAGGCACGCCATCCTTTCTGTTGGGAGAAAAAGAAAGTGAAAGACTGATCTTCTAAGGAGTAGTAGCAAGTTCAAGCCAATTAAAATGAAAGAAATTTCGAATAATAATAATCATTGCATTTGATATAACACCTTATCACATTGCTAAAACCTTCACAATCTTTTAAAATAATAATTTGGCCACTCAATTGCTGTGCGCAATTCGCTGCTGCATTTCACCCAGAAAATATAGTCAATAAGAGATTAATCAGACTAAATTTGACAAGAAAAAATAAGTGCTCACCTGAATTCTCCTGTGCAGAATTGCCTAAATCAGAAAAATAAAGATTTGCTCAATAATGCAGGGCAGAAAAAACATGGGAATTGAAAGCGATCTTAACGGTATCTGATGATATCTGATGTTATTAGCGAATCACAAAGACTGGTACCTGAAATTCTCTGCTGCCCTCGGCACTACATCTGCAAACAATTCCACCTTCATCCGGCCCACCTCCTTTAGGAAAAACACGTTAGTTAAGACATGAATTTTCTGGGTCTCTCACACCTGTCACTCTGGGTAAAGTAATGAATAAACCCACAATCATTTCACCTTGCAAACTACTTTGAAACCTTTAGCCTCGATCAATAAGGGGCTCCATCAAACGCAAGTATCATTACTTTACTGCTAACAGTTCTGTATTTGCTATTACGACTGCTAGGAGATTTGTTAGAGCACTCGCCTTGCAAGCGATAGGACATAGGTTCGATTCCTGGGGAAAGCGAAACATTAGACCGGTTTCCTTACGCCACATGCCTCTTTTTACCAAGTAGTAAGTAGGAACCCAGTTGTTAGTCAATTGGCGGATCACTCTTCCGAGGGGTATAATCCCTTCAAAAAAAAGGTTAACTGAATTTAAACAAAAAGAAAAAAATTTGGTCACTCAATCCACGACTATTTGTGGGACACTGCTGTGCGTTTCACCCACAAAATATACAGTATATTCACTTTACAGTATATTCTGTGAAGCGCTTTGAGATGTCTCGAAAACGTAATTAAGCACTATATCAAATCAAAGATTATTATTATTGCTGCAGGTGGGTGGAAGGGAGAGAGTAAGAGATTAATGCAAGTAATTATCTGCATTATAAAAACTCCATAACAATGTTAAAAGCCTTTTGTATTTTATATTTCGCCTATAAATGTCTCAAATCACTTCAAAGCAAATTGCTGTCAATCATAGTGCTTAACTTGGTCATGTTTAACCGTTTATCTGGGAAATAATAAAGATCACAGGTATACTAATAAGGTAATAATACATATAAAAATGAGAGAACATATGATGGCATAACATTTTATTTGCTTTCAATAACAAATTTGAAAACATACAGTTGACTTCTGCCCCCCCACCCTCCCAAATGAACAAATGCAATGGAATACTTCGAATAAATTCAAATTTGAACACAAACAATGGAATTTTCCATCGGGTTCACATTCACTTAGAAACACACAGCCATTTTGGATTAACTGGTCTACAATGTTATAATATAAAAAACATATTACATTTGGATATGGCCTTTCTCATTGAGAGGATGTCCCAAGGTGCTATACAAATGTAATTGTGTAGAAGATCAGCAACTGGCTGCCGTGTTGCGCCCACAAATATACAGTCAATTCACTTGACGGTATATTCTGTGAAGCGCTTTGAGACGTCTCAAAGATGTGAAAAACTCTATATCCAATGCAAGGATTATTATTACCACTTGCTTATCAACTTCCTTAATGTAAAAGTCGATCACATTTCAGATTATCGTCAAGGAAGTAGATAATGTAGAGTGTTGTGTCAGGGGCGTGGTCAAAGCAGAAACGTGCACTTTGAACAGATGTCAAAACGACACAAAATGTTCTAGGTGCAGTAATTACTGTCATTTTGCTCAAGTCAAGGAACAAAATAATAGCTCCTGTGACCAATTTTCTGGAGGATTGTTGTCCAAGATCCTCCCAAATATATTTATATATTGTAAAGTGGATTGATATTAAACACAATATATTATGTGAAGTGCCTTGAGTTATCCCAGTAACAATAAGGCGCTATATCAAAAAATATGCAAGATGTTGTGGTAAACTCCTTTCTCTTTACAAGTAGAGTTGCGCATCTGAATGACAGCACCTCCAACAATGCAGTGCTCTCCCCCCACTACTGTGCCGGAGCGACAGCCTAGACTGTGAGCCATGTAAACTCTCACCAGAAATACACAACAACTTACATTAATACAACGCGCGTTTCATCTAGAGTAATTATCTCAGAGCCCCTTACAATGACGGTGATGCACACAAGAGTGGGGAGGGTGGAGATAAACATAGGAGATGTCAAAGAGGTAGGATTTTTAAGAGGATTTTAAAGACAGATAGAGAGGGGGAGAGGTGTAAGGATTTAGAGAATGTTGCAGAGTGTAGGGGTATACTAGCTGAAGGCTCGGCCGCCAATGGCGGGATGGAGGGGGCAAGGAATGCACCATAGGCCTGGTTTGCTGAGTGGAGGGGGACAGGAGAGTGAAGCTGGAAAGGTAGGGAAGGGTGAGGACTAGTAGGGATTTGGAACAATCCTGATCAGTGTGGTGACTGTGTACTTTGTGGATGGAAATATGAGAATCTGGGGTTCTTTTCATCTATAAAACATACAGCACTCTATTTTACAGTGAAATCCTGTGAAGCACTCTGACTCATCCTCCTGATGTGAAATCCTACATTGAATGTGAAGATTATACTGTAACTTCACTAGAACGGAGGAAGATTGAAAGGAGACATGAAAGAGGTGTAAAAATGATGACGGAGTTTTGATACGGTTAATGGGGAGAAACTGCAGCAGTACGTAAAGGGAATTGGGCAGTTATGTGAAAAAGAAAAGAAAATCCTTGCATTTGATGTTGCACCTTATCACATCTTCAAGACGTCTTAAAGCGCTTCATGGAACATACCGTAAAATGAATTGATTTTATATTTTGTTGGTGAAACGCGGCAGCCAATTGCGCACAGCAGTGTCCCACAAACAGTAAAGTGAGTGACCAATTTATTCTTTTTTTGAAGGAATTATTACCCAGGTTCCTACTTACTGCTAGGTAAATAGAGGCGTGTAGAGTAAAGAAACTTGCCTAAAGTTTTGCCCTGACCAGGAATCGAACACAGGTCCCTTTGTTTGCGAGGCGAGTGCTCTAACCAATACGCTACAGGACTCCACAATATAAAACTAAAGGGTGGGGAGGAAGAGTTTCAGAGAACTGATACACATATACAAGTCTGAATGATATAAAGTAGTTTTATATTATCGGCTGTGAGAGTTAAGAGTTTTCAGAAATGCCACACATTCCTCAGGCAAGCAGGAGCCCCAGGTATTTACTGAATGCTTGCACGTGGTATTGAGAACCTGGGACTGAATGAAAAGAAATCCACCTTAAGAGTTGGGTGTGGAAAAAGGCACCTATGAGGATCAGGACGTCCTCCCAAAGTGAAAGATACTAGACAAGCGTAATTTGTTGTGGTTGTTATTCCAGTGAATGGTCTTCCCTCATCCCTACCCCATCACTCCCCCATGCTCGGGTCCTGACCCGTGATTGTCCAGCACCTTGGGACGTCCTCCCGACGTGAAAGGCGCACTATAAGTGTAATTTTTTTGTTGTTGTTGTTGCTCTGCTGAGTCCTGCCGATGAGCCAGCTGTGCTGTCGTCAGCAGTGCCATAGAAGGTTTGGTTGCCTGTTAACATAACTAAGGATATCTCCAATTTCCAGGTGTATACAGTGTTAACAATTCCCATAATAGACCCATTATAGATCCCAGCAGTTTACACACCGTTTACACAACATGCATTATAGACCTTCAGCTGGTGGAGGGAAAAAACAGCACACACAGCATATACTTAAGGCGCCAATGCTCATCAGGAAAATCAACAATCACCCAACGATGGATGCACCCTGAAACAAGCGTGACAGAAATCCACCCACGGGAGTCTAAATCTTCATAAGATTCCTTAATAAGGAATCTGAGCATCGCAATAGAGACTTTAAAGAATAAATTGATTGGGTAACCTGGACTGAACTCCAGGAGAACCTTGCTCCGAAAGGATCTCCATTCAGAGGATGGAGGGCTCAATAGGAATCGCTTAGCAATATCAGGAATTATAATATCAGGAATTATAATATTTTCATTTGACCTCATGCCTTATCACACTGAAATGGCACAACGCCCCTTACAACGTTTCTGTAAATTGTACTTAAATAAATAAAAATCGTAATTTGGTCACCCAATCCACCAATGTTTGTGAGACTGCTGTGCGCAATTGGCAACACGTTTCGCCCACAAATTTTACAGTCAATTCATTTTATAGTATACCCTGTGAAGCGCTTTGAGACATCTCGAAGACACAAGATGCTGTATCAAATGCAAGGATTATCATTATTATTGTAAACAATTGCTTATATATATTTTTTAGGTAATATCATGACTTTTTAGTCACCCTGTATTTGTTAGGTAAAGGTATCTGTGGTTCAGTGGTTAGAGCACTCGCCTCGTAAGCGAGAGACATGGGACAGGATCTTCTTCAAATTCACTTAAGTCGTGCTTTTGCCCCCCAGATCTTATGCACAGGATAATTGGCTTTTAATAACTGGCTTGCAATACTTACTGAAACTGACAAACCTGTTGTGCCTGTAATGTTGAAACTTAAGTAATTAACAGTTTCAAAAGTATTCACTTATTCTCCAACAGAATAATTGTATTTGACAGAATAATTATTCTCCAAAAGGTCACTCAATCCACCACTGTTTGTGGGACATTGCTGTGCGAAATTCGCTGCTGCGTTTTGTCCATAAAGTATACAGTCTACTCACTTTACAGTACATTCTGTGAAGCGCTCTGTAATAATCCTTGCACTCGATATAGATGCGATAACAACAAAGCCAACAACAAGTTTACATTTGTATAGCTCCTTTCACATCGGGAGGACGTCCCAAGGCTCTGGACAGAGTACCAGACCCGAGCTGGGGTCAGGGAGGGAGAAGGGAGGGAAGGGGAAGGGGGGGTGACCGATGGCATGGTTGAAGAGGAGGGTTTTGAGGCAGGACTTGAAGGAGGCTAAGGAGGGGGCGAGGTGGAGTGATTGGGGTTTGGAATTCCAGGTTGGGGGCAGAGTGGTTGAAGACTCTCCTGTCAATGGTGGGGATGAGGCGCTATATCAAATGCAAGGGTTATTATTATCATTATGATATTTGGTATGGGCAAAGTTCTGATTACTGAATCAACGTGACAATCTTTCAAATTGGTATATTATTTCAAATTCAGCAAAATCCCTTTAAGTCCTTCGGGAGAGATTTTAAACCCGTTCAAGTGGACGTTAAAAGATCCCACAGCACAATTGGGAAAGGGAAGAGAGTTTCTCTCTCCCTCAGTGACCTGGCTGATAGCCCCCAGTTAAAAATTGCCCATTTACTCCATGGCTGTTTGCAAGGCAATGCTGTGTTTAGATTGGCTGCTACATTCACCTACAAAGTACACAGTACAATTCACAGTAAAATCGATGACGTAATAAGGATGACGGAGTCCTGTAGCTCAGTGGTTAGAGCACTCGCTTTGCAAGCGAGAGACCTGAGTTCAATTCCAGGCAGAGGGCGAAACCTTGGGCAAGTTTCCTTACTCCACACACCTAATAATAATCCCTCCAAAACCAAAAACAATAATAAATTGGTCATTTTCAATCTACGACTGTTTGTGGGACATTGCTGTGCGCAATTACCTGCTGCGTTCGCCCACAAATATACAGTCAATTCACTTTACAGTGTGTGTTCTGTGAAGCGCTTTGGGACGTCCTCCCGACGTGAAAAGCGCGATATCAAATGCAAGGGTTATTATTATTATTATTATTATAAGGCTCTATACCAAATGCAAGGACTATTAGTAGTAGTATTAACAGGCAGAATGAAATGAGATGAGAAAAACTGTTCAGTAAAATCATGCTTTTAACCATTACTATTATTTCCCTTATCTGCGTGTTCTCCACTCCACTGTTCACTCCCCCCACTCAGCTAACACAAGTCTGCTGCACCACCATCAGTGGCCAAGCCTTTAGTCACTATTCCCCTAACGTTTGGAACCCCAACCCTCTATCCATCTGAATCATTCCTTCTCTATCTATCCTTAAATCTCACCTTAAAATCTACCTCTCCAACTGTGCCGACGATCACTAACAACAACTTGCACTTATATAGCACCCTTCACGCAGGATAGCGTCTCAGAGTTCTTACCATCATCCTCTGCTTCCTTCCTCGGCATCCAACCCCACCGTTGTAAAGTACTCCAAGACGTTACCCTTCGTGAAGGGCTCTATAGAAATGATCGTTGTATTAAGATTTTATATGGAATTGCTTGTTTCTTGTTTCCACTGGAAATGAAGAACTTGCTGTTTTTGGCATATTAGCCAATTAAAATGGTAATCCTTACTGAAAGAGGTAATAGAAAAACATCTAGAAACCAAATGTATAATAAATACTCAGCACGGATTTCGAAAACAACAACAACAAGATTACATTTGTATAGCACCTTTCACTTCAGGACATCCCAAGGCACTGGACAGAGTACAGCATTTCAGACCTGAGCTGGGGTCGGGGGTGGAAGTGGAAGGAGGAGAGGGGAAGAGGGGTGGCCGATGGCATGGTCGAAGAGGAGGGTCTTGAGGTGGGAGTTGAAAGAGGCTAAGGAGGGGGGCGTGGTGGAGTGACTGGGGGATGGAATTCCAGAGCCTGGGGGCGGGGTGGCTGAAGGCTCTCCCGCTATACAAATGTTGGGGCAGGTGGGTCGGGGGTGGAGCAGGCTGGAACCGGCTGAGTGGAAGGAACAGGCGGGTTGGTAGGGGGTTAGGAGGTCGCAGAGGTAGGGTGGGGCGAGGCCATGGAGGGCTTTGTATGTGAGGACCACGATCTTGAACTGGATTCTCTGAAGGATAGGGAGCCAATGGAGTCGGACGAGAGTGAGGGAGATGGGGTCACGGAGTTTGGTGCAGGAGAAGCAGGGCGTTTGCATAGCCTGGAGGTGATAAAAGCATGAACAATAAATCAAATAGGAAAGTCAGAAGAAACTTCTTTAACCAGAGAGTGGTGGGAATGTAGAACTTGCTACCACAAGGATAAGTTAAGACGTTAAGAAGTTATATGGAGCATAAATGCCAGCATAGTCCATTTGGGCTGAATAGCCTGTTTCTGTGCTGTACATTCTCTGTAATTCTATGTAAAAATGTCTCAAAGCACTTCACAGTATAGATGCCAATAACTGTTTTTGTGGACAAACGTAGCAGCCAAATGTACCACCAAGGTCCTCCATACAGTTGAGATTATAGGCCAGGAAACAGTGAGAATCCCCCTTCTCTTTTCAAAAAGTGCCTTCAGATATTTAACCTGAACGGGCAGACGGGACCTTCGTTAAACTTCTTCCTCCAATAATGCAGTGCTTCCCCGATCACTGTGCTTCTGTATTACGCGTTTTACATATTCAAAGTCCTGTAGCTCAGTGGTTAGAGCACTCGCTTTGCAAGCGAGAGACCGGAGTTCAATTCCAGGCAGAGGGCGAAACCTCGGGCAAGTTTCCTTACTCCACACAGAGCCTAATAATAATCCCTCCAAAAAAACAAAAAACAATAATAAATTGGTCATTTTCAATCTACGACTGTTTGTGGGACATTGCTGTGCGCAATTGGCTGCCGCGTTCGCCCACAAATATACAGTCAATTCACTTTACAGTGTGTTCTGTGAAGCGCTTTGGGACGTCCTCCCGACGTGAAAAGCGCTATATCAAATGCAAGGATTATTATTATTATTATAGTTGCTTTGGAGCATGACAACAGTTGAGATCCACCTTTAAAGGAAGCTAGAAAACACCATATGGCTATTAAGGACAACCTCCTTTATGACACAAGCACACAGGTAAGAGATTACAGGTAAGAGAATAGTCACCTGCTTCTTATTGTTCAGTAAAATTCAGGTAGGTACAAACATTCTCATCTGCTCGCTAATCTCTCCAAATAAATCTAGCCCTATATTAGGGGATTTTTTTTAGTTGGTTAGTGAAACCTAGGTTTGAAATACGGAGTGATTGGGAATGTTTTACACTGGGCGTTGACATAAATCCATTTCAATTGTCAGTTTTAAGATTGTAGAGCCTGTAACTGCAGATCTACCTGGCTCAGTTTGTGGCGCTCTCACTTCAGGATTAGAAAGGTTGTGAGTTCAAAAAATAAAAATCCTTCCATTGCAGAGCGCCTTTCACATTGGTAATAATAAGAATAATAATCCTTGGATTTGATGTAGCGCTTTTCACGTCTTCTAGCGCTTGACAGAATATACTGTAAAGTGAATTGTGCACTTTGTCTCACTTTGTCTCAAAGTGCATTACAGGATTTACTGTGAAGTGAAGTGAGGGCATGGCTGATGCACTGACTGAGTAGCCTCTTTCTGTGCTGTATAATTCTATGATTCTACAATAGTAATTCTTGCGTTTGATATAGCACCTTATTACGTCTTAAGATTCATCTCAAAGCGCTTCACAGAATATACTGTAAAGTGAGTTGACTATATTTTGTGGACGAAATGCGGCAGCCAATTGCGCACAGCAGTGTCCCACAAATAGTCGTGGATCCACGGCAGCGCAATTGGTTGCCGTGGAATCCTGTAGCTCAGTGGTTAGAGAACGTGTTTCGCAAGCAAGAGATCTGGCAGGGCAAAAGATTGGGCAAATTTCCTTACTCCGCACACCTCTGTTTACTTGGAGTAACCCGCTTGTTAGTCAGTTGGCGGATTGCTTTTTTGGGGGGGTATAATTCCTTCAAAAAAAATAATAAATTGGTCACTTAATCCACGACTGTTTGTGGGACACTGCTGTGTGTGATTGCCTACCGCATTTCATCCACAAAATATATAGTCAATTCACTTTACTTTTTATTCTGTGAAGGCGTGATAAGGCGCTATATGTCAAATGCAAGTATTATTATTATAATTGAGTGACCAGATTTTTTTTAGACCAATTTTAATTGGGGGATTGTTGGCCGGGACACCGAGAGAAACTTCCTCTCTTTTGAATCTTTAGCATCCTCTTGAACGGGTATAAGGGACGTCGGTTTAATGTTTATTTGAAGGACAGTACTTCCAGCAATGCAGCAAACCCCAGCACTGCACTGGAGTGTCTAACTAGACAATGAACTCAATGTCCTAACATGAGGCTAGAACCTAAAGCCCTGACCTGGGGTTGTAACCGAAAGCCTTCTCGACTCAGAGACGAGAGTGCTACCAACTGAGCCAGAAATCTATTTGAGCCCCACATTAAGACTTGAGCTAACAATCTAGTGCAATGATGGGGGGAGCACTGTATTGTCGAAGATACTATCTTTGTTTTGCATAAAATCTTCGCTGATTTTGCCTGCTACACTGCATAAAGAAGTAACTAAGACTGAAATGTAGACCTAAGGCGCTACAAAAACAAAATATTTGTTGCTCTGCGATATTATTTCCTAATTTTTTTATGTAATTGTCTTCCCTATTAATTTGCCAACATTTACCGAGAAGATCAGAGTGCAGGTGACAGGAGACAGGGAGACGCAACAAGCCAGAGCTGGAGAGTGTAGAGGGTCGTAAAACAGCGTGGGAAGCAGAGTACTAAATAAGGGAGGTTTAAGAGCATGGAAGTATTTGAAGATTAGTTATTCTCAAGGTGGGGTGGGGGGGGCAGAGGGGGCTAAAAAGACTAGGACTTGGAGTTAAATGTGGGAGATGGGAGTTCTGTATGAGCTTGGGAGGCTGGCAAGGAGATAGTTGGACTAATCTGCATTTTTTTCCCCCCCGTACTGAAAAAAAGAACGGAGTAGTGAGGAAGTGCGAAAAATGCTTGTTCTCCTGCAAAGTAGTCCAAATGCTGCTGCTGACAGAGAGGCCCCTCTGTTGAATACCACTGAGATAATCTTTTTGCTCCTGCTGAAATGTGTGCTGAACTACGTTAGCTTTTATTTTGCAAACAAAAGTCTATGGCGGAGTATCGTGGGGGCTTTCACTGTGACACTGTGCGCCTCTGATCTTTTGCTCTTTGGCACAGTTTTGTTTCTTTCTTCTGAGACTCCTGACATCAAGGCTTCCGTCTTGTGCTCAGTGCTGCAGTTCTTCTCTGGGATGTACACCGGGATCCATGCTCCCATCTTCATCTTGACTGTAGTCGACAATTATTACAACCTTCAGGCTGAGCCCTGCCTGCTTTCACGCAAGAAGAGTGTAGGCTACTGGCTGGCGGTGGTGGCTGTGTGGGCAGCCGCCATAACCTACATGCTTCAAAGCACTTCCATTTCGGGGCTGCAGGTCCTGATACATGACAACTTAAAGGTTCAATTCTGTCCAATTCACAGCACTGATCTGATACTGATCTGCTCGCTTGTGATGATGGCTTTCTCGGTCCTGGTTGGGCTTTCAGCTTGGTGGTCAATTCCTGCCTTTGCGTTGTCTATGAGGGTGTCCAATTTCCAGCTGTTCACCACAGCAGATGAACCACCTTCTTTGCAAAGCAACGTATTCATCAGCTGTAAGGAGCCCAGGGAGAGCCCGCTGCTCAGCCTGCCGACACAAGACAATGCACCCTTGCTGCTCTGCATTGCCATTAGCTTCCTTTGTAACTGGATGCCCTTTATGATGATAAGCAGTGTGTGCATTCTCCTACGTATTCCAGTCCCGGCCTACATCAGCATGAACACCTTCTTCCTTCTGTGCTTCAACAGCTTTGCAATAAGAGTTCTATACTGGTGCAAGGCTGGCCAGCTGGACTCAGCCGTACACTTTCCAGAGCCTATCTACGACTGGAACATCTGCAGATCAATGTGCAGGCCCAGAACACACGAGCCTAGCTCGGTGCCACAACCAGAGAGGACGCTAGTCAATGTGTGCCAAGACTTATAGAATTTCACGTTCAATCTGTGCCATCCAAGTACTCTGAGACCTCGTTCCGACGGGAAAGGTGACATGTAATAATAAATGTAAATTGGGAATATGTTGTATTTTCAAGATTTTTTGTTTTTTTTCACCCAGTTAAAATCTGAGGCAGCCTTTTTTCTTCAGGTATCAGCTTGGCTCAGTCGCTAGCATTCTCGTCTCTGGGTCACATAGTTGAGCTGTGCAGAGTGCAGTGTTTTTGGGGTGGATTGGATATTGCATTAAACCAAGATTCTGCCCAGGGGAAAAAGGGAGGAGGAGGAAATTGCTCCTTGCATAACCTGCTTCACCACATACTTTTGTTGGGTGTATCTTTTGTTGCGTAAATCTTCCAGGTTTCGTTTTCAAAGTTATCAGTGATTACTGATAACTTTGAAAACGAATCAGTGATTACTGATAACTTGTTGTATCCATGTTGGTTAATAAACTTGTTGTATCCATGTTGGTTAATAAACTTAATTGAGTTGATTTATGAATAAAGATTGTGATTGCAGTTTTCACAAGAGCAATACACTCCCCACCCCAACACACAAATACACAGAAGGCTTTCAATGGGAGATCAGTGGACATTGGGTGTAGGCTGTAGGAATACCTTTATCAATGGTTTGTTCATAACACACTTGCACCCAATTCGGGAACAACAACAAATTGTATTTGTATAGAGCCTACCATGTTGGAAGAACATCCTGCACGCTGGAGGGTTTAAGGGTTTGTACCCGAGCTGGGTGTTGGAATCAAGAAGGTTGAAAGGTAAGGGAGGGTGGCTGAAGGCTCGGTCAAACAGGAAGGTCTTGAGAAAATAATAATAATCCTTGCATTTGATATAGCGCTTTTCACGTCTTCTAGACGTCTCAAAGCGCTTCACAGAATATGCTGTAAAGTGAATTGACTGTATATTTGTGGGCGAAACACAGCAGCCAATTGTGCACAGCAGAGTCCCATAAACAGTCATGGATTGAAAATGACCAATTTATTATTGTTTTGTTTTGGAGGGGTTATTATTAGGCTCTGTGTGGAGGCAGGAAACTTGCCCAAGGTTTCGCCCTCTGCCTGGAATTGAACCCAGGTGTCTCGCTTGCAAAGCGAGTGCTCTAACCACTGAGCTACAGGACTCCATAACGGGCCTTGAAGGAACTAAGGGAGAAGACGAGGTGGAGGGATTCTGGAATGGAATTCCAAAGGGTGACGGCAGAAAAGCTGAAGGCCCGACCGCCAGTGGCAGACACGGACATGGAGCAGGCCAGTGCCCACAGCGAGAAAGGAGCAGACAAGTTGGTATAATAATAATCCTTGCATTTGATATTGTGTTAATAGGCTGCGGAGGTAGGTGAACTGAGATGCTAGAAATACAGATTTCCCCTAAGATAACAAGAAGCTTTAAAATAATAATGTTGCATTTGACAGAGCCTTATCACGGCAACAAAACGTAAAGCGCATCTCAGGATTTGTCATGACTGTGTATTTTGGGATAGCCAATTTGTGTACAGCAATGTCCCATCAAAAATCAACAGCAAATTGCAATTACGTAGCACCCTTCATGCGAGTGAGGATCTCAGAGATTAAACATCCATGAAGTTTAGATGTCAAGTGAAGTGACTGTCCAGGAGGTGGGTCTTTTGGAGGCAAATGTAACCGCAACACAGTTAGTAGAATTACGAGTGGTGGGTCTGTAACAATTTAGTGCAATTAAATAAAATAATTAAATTGAATTCCAATAATGTCAAGATATCCTGGCACCAACCCAGTGATCCCCAAATGTTAATAATAATAATCCATGCATTTGAAGTAGCGCCTTATCATGTCGTCGCGACGTCTCAAAGCGCTTCACATGATATACTGTAAAGTGAATTGACTGTATATTTTGTGGTCAAATCGCAGCAGCCAATTGCGCACAGCAGTGTCCCACAAACAGCCGTGGATTGGGTAACCAAATTATTATTATTATTATTTTGAAAGGATTATTATCCCCAGGAAAGCAACGTGGAGTAAGGAAACTTGGCCACCCCGTTTCGTCCTGCCCAGGAATCGAACCCAGGTCCTCGTGCCTGCGTGGCGAGCGGTCTCATCGCTAAGTTACAGGACTCCCAACAACTAATTATTAATCATTATTAATAATTATTAATAGTCATGGCTTATCCGTGTATGGCTTACCTGCGTTGCCCTGTAGCTCAGTGGTTAGAGCGCTCACTTTGCAAGCGAGATGGGTTCAATTCCCGGCAGAGGGCGAAACCTTGGGCAAGTTTCCTTACTCCACACACAGCGCTAATAATAATCCCACCAAAAAAAACAAAAACAATAATAAATCGGGTCACTTTCAATCCACCGGCTGTTGGTGGGACTGTGCAGAATCGGCCGCCGCGTTCGCCCACAAATATACGGTCAATTCACTTTGCAGCACAGTCCGCGAAGCGCTTTGGGACATCGAGAAGACGTGAAAAGGCGCTATATCAAATGCAAGGATTATTATTATTATTATTACTATTATTACTGTTATTACTGTTACCCCTCCCCCACCCCCCCCCCGTCCCCGTCGGTGCAGGAGTGGGAATCACCATGAGAGAAGCTGCCCCACCCGCCCTGGGAGAGGAGAGGGGAGAGGACATCAACATTCACCACAAGAGACATGTTTGTCCCCCCCCCCTCCGTGTCAGTGAAGCGGGAAGGAGGGAGGGAACATTCCAGAACCGCTGCCGCCTCCCTGACACAGGCCCCACGTGTGTGAAAAGACAGCAAAGCGCGGCGCGGCCCCCACGCAGGAGGCCCGGCTCCCCTCAGGAATTAGGCCCCCAAGCCCCGGCTCTCTCCTCACGCCTCCCCCCCCCCGGGGTCCCTGCCCTGCTCCCGGGGCCCGCTGTCTGTACCTGGCCGCCGATGGTGACGTCGAAGAAGACGACCGGGTTCGTCGCCGTGGCCGCCATAACCCCACTCCGCCCCGCCCCCAAAGCCCGGCCCCGCCCCCTTACGTCACTCACCCCGCCCCCAAAGCCCAGCCCCGCGCCCCCTCACGTCACTCACCCCGCCCCCTAACCCACTCACCCCCCGCGCCCCCAAAGCACAACCCCGCCTCCTATACGTCACTAGCTCCGCCCCCTAATCCGCTAGCCCCGCCCCTCGTTTACAGACCACTTCGATTCCCAGTGTCATTGGGTAAATAAATATATAACATATTATACTTGTTTCTTTATTACTTATATATTTTCAGTAAACTCGACCCTGCCCCTAAAGGGTCACCACCACTTCTTAAGTCACCCACCCCACCCTCTCAGTATTGCCAAAGGGCACTACAACATTGCAAGTTATTCTTCTTGTAAGTGTCAGTGTGAATCAGTGAGTGTGTAAGTGTGAATACACATCTGAGTGTGTCAGGGTGTAAAGTGTGAATATACATCTGAGTGTACACTGTCCAGTGCCTTGGGACATCCTCCCCAAAAAAGGCGTTATACGAATGTAAACTTCTTCTTGTTATTGTTGAGTGTGTCAATGTGAATATATATCTGAGTGTGCCAGTGTGTGTGAATATATATCTGAGTGTGCCAGTGTGTGTGAATATATATCTGAGTGTGTGAGTGTGTGTGAATATATATCTGAGTGTGCTGGGGTGTGAGTGTGAATATATATCTGAGTGTGTGAGTGTGAATATATATCTGAGTGTGCCAGTGTGTGTGAATATATATCTGAGTGTGCCGGGGTGTGAGTGTGAATATATATCTGAGTGTGTGAGTGTGAATATATATCTGAGTGTGCCAGTGTGTGTGAATATATATCTGAGTGTGCCGGGGTGTGAGTGTGAATATATAACTGAGTGTGTGAGTGCGAATATATATCTGAGTGTGTGAGTATGAATATATATCTGAGTGTGTGAGTGTGAATATATATGTGAGTGTGTGAGTGTGAATATATATGTGAGTGTGTGAGTGTGAATATATATGTGAGTGTGCCAGTGTGTGTGAATATATATCTGAGTGTGTGAGTGTGAATATATATCTGAGTGTGTGAGTGTGAATATATATGTGAGTGTGTGAGTGTGAATATATATGTGAGTGTGTGAGTGTGAATATATATCTGAGTGTGCCAGTGTGTGTGAATATATATCTGAGTGTGCCGGGGTGTGAGTGTGAATATATATCTGAGTGTGTGAGTGTGAATATATATCTGAGTGTGCCAGTGTGTGTGAATATATATCTGAGTGTGCCGGGGTGTGAGTGTGAATATATAACTGAGTGTGTGAGTGTGAATATATATCTGAGTGTGTGAGTGTGAATATATATCTGAGTGTGCCAGTGTGTGTGAATATATATCTGAGTGTGTGTGTGTGAATATATATCTGAGTGTGTGAGTGTGAATATATATGTGAGTGTGAGTGTGAATATATATGTGAGTGTGTGAGTGTGAATATATATGTGAGTGTGTGAGTGTGAATATATATGTGAGTGTGTGAGTGTGAATATATATGTGAGTGTGTGAGTGAATATATATGTGAGTGTGAATATATATGTGAGTGTGTGAGTGTGAATATATATCTGAGTGTGAATATATATGTGAGTGTGTGAGTGTGAATATATATGTGAGTGTGCCGGGGTGAGTATATGTGTGATTGTGAGTATGTCTGAGTGTGAGACTAGCTGTGAGTGTGTATGAGTGTGTGGTGTGGTGTGGGGGGGACAGTTTGCACAGCGGAACCAAGCTGCGGGCGCGTGACGGGGCGGAGCGGGCTGAGCGCGGGACGGGACAGGCCAGCGCGCGCGCGCGTGCGCGCCGTGGTGTGGAGGGGCGGGAAGAGGGAGTGGAGAGCCGCGGCTCGGGCTCAGCGGCGCCATGAACGCGGACAGCTCGCAGGTCGGGGCGGCGGTGGCGGCTGTGACCGGGGCCGGGACTGTGACGGCGGCGGCGGTGGCGGCTGCGACGACGACGACGGCGGCGGCGGCGGCGGCGGCGACAGGGAGCGGGGGACCGGCGGCAGCTGGTGAGGGAGGGAGGGAGGGAGGGAGGGGGAGTCGGCCTTGACTGTGAGGTAAAAATGTGTGGAGTTTGGGCCGGACCAGGCCGGACCAGGCCCAAACAATCCAAGCAGTCAATCGCACCGAGTGTGGGGGTTGTTGTTCGAACGATAGCAATGCTATAACAGTCGTAATCCTCGCGTTCCGATGCGGCGCCATTCTCCCGTCTTCCAGGAATCCGCCGCGAAGTGTAATAATAATAATAATATTCCTCGCATTTGACACACAGCGCTTTTCACGTCGGGAGAGGACGTCCCAAAGCCGCTTCACAGAACACACTGTAAAGTGAATTGACTGTATATTTGTGGGCGAACGCGGCAGCCAATTGCACACAGCAATGTCCCACAAACAGTCGTAGATTGACAATGACCAATTTATTATTGTTTTGTTTTGGAGGGATTATTATTAGGCTCTGTGTGGAGTAAGGAAACTTGCCCAAGGTTTCGCCCTCTGCCTGGGATTGAACTCAGGTCTCTCACTTGCAAAGTGAGTGCTCTAACCACTGAGCCACAGGACTCCCAAGAGCACACTGTAGTGACTTGACATGTCACAGGTTTGACCTAAGACCAGAAGGATCGCGAGAGACGAAAGAAGCCCGAGGTCCATCGAGTTCGCCTTTCACCATCCTGGCAGTCGCATGACGTGTCGTATCCCAAACTGTATACGGTATCCAGAGAGATTATTTTCTAACAGAAATTTATCTGATTTGTCCATACTTTGAGGTCTCCGTCTCAATCTCTGAAGGAAGGTAGACGCCGGATAGCCTCAAACCCAGCTCCCAAACGCTCGAGTTTTGTGCCCGCTCCCTGTGTGAAGCGTCTCGGCCTTTCTCTCTCTCTCTCTCTCTCTCGTGTCCGAGTCTGAGAGTCACAGATTCGAGCCCGCCCCATTGCACACATATAATGTCTTCCAAATGGTGGGATCAGTCTTTGAGCGAGGAGGAAGAGGGCCATTGACATGGTTGCAAAGATAGATTTTTTTTATCATCTGTATTGATCATAAGACACTTATTATTTTTTAAACTTTTCCTGTTTTATAAGGATTTTTGTCCACAAAATACAGTCAGTTTCTTCTGTGAAGCACTTTGAGACGTCTCACAGACGTGATCAGGCTCCATACCAAATGCAAGGGTTATTATTATTTCCAACTAAGATCTGAACTTATTTATTTGTGAAGTTTGTGGTAATGTGCAATAAAATGCCTTTGAATTAAAAAAAAATCCTCATTATCTTTATTTTTCCTTCTCCCCTTACCTCCTGATTCTCTCCGTGGCTCTCAGTTGCTGCCGCTTCTGCAAGCGAGGCATCCGTGTCAAACGGTGTCTATATTCCGTCAGGGATTGCGAATGGAGACGTCAAACCCGTGATCTCGACCACGCCGCTGGCAGACTTTCTCATGCAACTGGAGGATTACACACCAACAGTAAGATTGTTTGCATTTTTTTCTATAAAAAAAAGTGATTTTTAAGTTAACTACTTTGACACTGAAATTTGGCACCAAAATTACTTTGACAAGACAGTCGATCGATTGTAAACGATTTAAAGGGAGGTGAGTTGTAAGTATGGAGCAGTCTTTCTCCTATTACTGTAGTCTGAATGTGGGTGGTGGGGGAGACCACACCCCTCGTGGCTTAGAATGCTATCCTGCAATCCCTCCACCTTTCCCTTTCTGTTGCCTCTTCCAAGTCCCATCTAAAGGCCTTCCTCTTCGATCGTGCCTTCGGCCACCCTCCCACTTCCTGCCGCCACCCCTCCTGACCTTAACTCAAATGTCGAGTCCAAAAAACTCTTGATTGTCCAGTGCCCTGGGATGTCTTTCCGACGTGAAGGGAGCTGTACAAATGTAATTTATTGTTGATATATGGAAGTGAATAAGGAGTACTGCCCCAGAGGCCACCATTCCTTATGTTCATTATGTCACTGGATGATTGTGTCACTTGGGGGAGATCTATATAAATTTGAGAAATCCTAATTGTGTAAATAATACCAACCCATCACTGGGAGGCGCAGACCCACACTGCACCAGAGCGCATTATAACGGGGTCAACGCACGTCCCATAACAGTTAACCGTTAAGCGTAAAGGAATTGCTGATCGCTGGGCGTGAAACTGAATTTGAAAAATGCAGCTGAGACGAAAGTGGTATTGACAGTGGTACAAATTTATGCGTGTTTCAGCCATTTAGAATTTTAACACTGTGTGGCGTGTGTGTGTTTCATTTTCAGATACCTGATGCTGTGACAGGCTATTACCTGAACAGGGCAGGGTTCGAGGCTTCTGACCCGCGCATGTAAGTTAACATTAAATTTGCTTCAAATTCCGTCAATTAAAACGGCGATAGTTTATTCTTCCTGATGCACAAAACAAGGCAGGCGGCTAGTTTTGCACTGGAGAACCACACACATACACCCCACATGCGCGCGCGCACAGTTTTGGGGGGAAATGTGCATTAAGCTTACAAACGTTTGCCCTGTAGACTCTCCCTTTTCCAATAGCGTCACAGGATCCTTCACTTACGAGAACAGAGAAGACTTGGTTTGATGTCTCTCTGTTAGATGGCATGTCCTTTTAGAATAAAATCATTAGGATTATCATTATGCTGAGAGTGAGCTGTGGGTCATTTTGTTTTAGCTCAACTCAAGTCATCTTTTAAGGAATGAATTTAAAGTCCTCTTCATGTCCCTTCCTGTTCTTGTTGTTGTGTAACTGTTGCTCCCCGTGTGTGTTCCTAACTAGAATTCGTCTCATATCTTTGGCTGCACAAAAGTTCATCTCAGATATTGCAAACGATGCCTTGCAGCACTGTAAGATGAAGGGGACGGCATCAGGAAGCTCCAGGAACAAGAGTAAGGTATGTCCAGGTTCAACATAACTAGAAAGTTGTCAGTTCGAACCCCGCTCTGTTTTGAATTATCTGATCTGGATTGGGAAGGGGAGAGATTGCCATAGTATCCACAGCGCTGCTTGGTTGGGCAGCAGAAATATGTGTTAAGCTTGTGAATGTTTGCTCTGACTACTCTGCACTCTCCCCAAACAAACATTTTATTTAACAAGGAGTTCATCAATTTTAAGTTTTTTTTAAAAAAACTAAATTATCCTAAAGTAACCAGAACAGCAGACATAACCATCATGTCTTTTTGTGGCATCAAACTACAAACGTTAAGCGCTCTGAGATGCTGCCCTGCATGAGAAGCGCTGTATAAATGCAAGTTGTTGTGGTTGTTGTGAGCTGCTGTTTCTATCTGTACTCTGATCCTTCATATAATGGACTTTTCGCTCTTGGCTGAATGTTTCCCCAGGACAAAAAGTACACACTCACCATGGAAGACCTGATCCCTGCTCTCACAGAGTACGGCATTAACGTGAAGAAGCCACATTACTTCACATAAAGGCTCGGTCGGGGGTGACTCTCCCCTCCTTTGACTCTCCTGCCACCCCTCTCTCTCTCTCTCTCTCTCTCTCGCTCAGCGCACTACCGACTGCTCAGTAACACTGGACATGCGAGGGGCAGCTCTTGAACTCACTGGGCAGACACCCATCAAACACAACAAAGCAAAAAGGAATACTCAAAGGAGCCAGACTGTGTGATAGTTTCTAAGCAGATTTGTGTTCTGAGACCCTGTAACTTTGGATTTCTGCCTGTTATTTCTATGTGTGGGTGGATAAGGGGGGTGGGGGTTGGTACGGGTGGGTGGTGTGGGAGTTGGGGTTGATACGGGGGGGAGGTGGGGTAATTATTTTTAATCTTGGTTGCTACAAATGCTAGACAATGTGGAGAAAACAAGTGATGGTGTGTTCGTGTTAAAACTCACTCAGTCTCACAATTTGAGCCTCAAAAAAACTCAAACCCCACCACGTAAAAAGGGCGACCGGTTTCCTCTCAAAGAGTCGTCCGGTGCCACTTTTTTTATTTAAAGTAACTGATATTGCTGATATCCTTTTTTGTTGTTAACCCTTTAAGGAGCTCAATTAACACTTTGGTTGGCCTTTTGAATTGCCCCTCTTTAACCATATGGAGGTTAACGAAGGCTTTTGAGCTTTTATTTTGCCAGGGGGTGGGGGGTTGGGAGTAGTGGGTGGTGGACGGGTAATGCTGTGTATGTGCCGGTTGTATGAGTTTGGTTCCCTCACGAGTCGAGGCTTCTGTTAAAAACTCATTTAAGAATTACAGAGCGATGGCAGGAGTCTGACTTGTGTTTTTTATTTGTAACTTTACACCAGGTGAAACGTCTCCGTTCGGCATTCGTCCATTCGTTGAATTAAACTGACCCGCTTTGGTTTAACGCAAGAGACTTTTTTTAATCAATTACTCCCACCCACCCCCCCAACCATCCTCGATCGATCTTCAATTCCAGATGTTCACAGCACGGCGCCACCTTTCACAGCAGGAGGACGCTTCAAAGCGCTTCACCTGATTCACTGTAAAGTGTAGTGACTGTTTTTTATAGGCAAACGTAGCCAATTTGTGCACATAAATATTTGGTATATTGGTATAATTGTTGAGTTGTCTTAAATACGTTGAAACCTTCTAATTCAACCTCAGCTTCCGGCAGTGAGTTGTTAATCTGGCTGGAAGTTGTGAACACACAGTGCAGTGTTCTCCACTTCCCTCAGCTGGTTCTAGCCTCCTGCTTGTCCCTTGTCCCTTCCACTCCCACCTTTGGTGGCCGTGCTTTCAGCCACTACGCCCCAAAACTTTGGAACCCTCCCTCAATCCCTCCGCCTTGCCCTCTCCTTCCCCGTTTTCAGATCGCACCTGAAAACCTTTGATCGTGTCTACGGTCACCTCCCCCAACTCAGCGTCATTGCTGCCACAGTTAAGCATTCTGAGACGCTACCCAATGTGAAAAGCACTGTGTAAATGCAAGTTCTGTAGTACTGCACTGGAAGTCAGGCCAGGTAAGCTTATGTCTCGACATAGGACTTCAACCACAAGCGGGAGTTCCAGCTACTGAGCAAAGCTGACACCCAAGTGTGGTACATGAGTAGGAGTTTTTGGTCTTTATTATGGTGTATGAAATTCTCACCTGCTTCCCAAACCCATAAATAACGATGACTTGCATTTAGTAAGTATCTTTCACGAGGGGTAAAATAAGAGAAAGTGAGAAAAAACATTGCTGATGAACAGGGACTGAATTTTCTCATAAAGTTGGATTTGTTTCTTTTAGTTTACAATCCCTTCAGCCTTGCTCCATCTTAACTAAAACCAGGGGTCACAACCTTAAAATCAGAGACCAGTCCTTTCGCACTGAATTGAGGAAGAACTTCTTCACTCAAACAGTGGCGAATGTATAGAACTCACTACCCCAAAGGGCTGTTGACGCTCAGTCCTTGAACATATTCAAGACTGAGATAGAGAGATTTCTTATTGCAAAAGGGATTAAGGGATATGGGGATAAGGCAGCGTCAGGTTATTAGCTGGAGTTAGATTAGAAGACCACACGCCTAATAATAATCCCTCCAAAAAACCAAAAACAATAATTAAATTGGTCATTTTCAATCTACGACTGTTTGTGGGACATTGCTGTGCGCAATTGGCTGCCGCGTTCGCCCAGAAATATACAGTCAATTCACTTTACAGTGTGTTCTGTGAAGCGCTTTGGGACGTCCTCCTGACGTGAAAAGCGCTATATCAAATGCAAGGATTATTATTATTATTATTAAGATCAGCCATGATTGAATGGCGGGGCAGAGGCTCGAAGGACCGAATGGCCTACTCCTGCTCCTACATGTTATGTTATCACTTCATTGAGGTGTCTGTAAGTGTTTCGCAGGATATATTGTAAAATGGATCGACTTTTGTGGGCGAAACAATGTCTTGACCATAGGTTGGCAATTGTCTGCCTCGACACAGGATGGCGCTACATTACATCTTAATTGTGTTGGTCTTTGGTAGCAAAGACATAGATTTCAATTGGGGACAAAGAGAAACAACTTTATTAGTAGTAACTCGTGGTTCAAAACGCTAATTTATCATTGGTGACTTATTCTGTAGGCAGATATGAGACCCATTTCGCTCTCGGGCCAGATTTGAATTCACGCAAAGAATGAAACGAAATAAAAAAAAACACATTTATATAAATATAGAAGATTTCCCCTCTTCGAACACTAATATTGCAAGTTTTAATTAAACTACAGCAATGCAAACATGAGAAAATTACAGGCAGAAAACAATTGATTGCACCTGGTGGGTGCATTTATTAACATTTAATTGCTCGTAAACTCATCCAAAATTGAAAGAGGCGGGAGAGAGGAGGGGGTGAGGAGGGGGAATAAACTTTTTTGACCAATCCTGGGCAAACAATCGTCTTGTGAGGAGCAAGACATTAGATGCATGTTTGTAATTGTTTATACTGAATGTTCCCTAACTCCCCACAGGAGATACTGCACAGTAAAGCGCAGAACAACACTTGATGACGCACCAAGACAATAGAACAAGAGGACGCGGGTCTAGAGTTTACAAGGGGTAATTTCAGAGCAGAAACCAGGAAGTATTTTCTTTTACCCAGAGGGTAAAGAACGACTGGAACAGAATTGGCAGGTAGGGTGTTGAGGCTAGGATCATTTAAACAGAGACACCTGAGATTTTGTGGGTAAATTCCCTTTTTTTTAAACATTTGCCCTTATTTTTGTAAACTGCTGACAAGTATTGAATCCAAATCGCACTTGTCTTAGCTTCGTTGGTTTACAGAGGGGAGTGGGAGATTTGTCTGTGAATGTGGATGTTTCCCCGTCCCTTGCGGGAAGCGAGAGGTCGATTATCATTGGTGACTTATAGAGAGTGTTGAGTAAGGGGGAGCGATATTTAATAACAGTGGAACAACCAATTCATGATCTAAACACACAGTAAGTTAGGATAGTTACACATCTTTATTGAGCATTACTGTACTTGTTTTTATGACTAATATAAGCAAGTGAAAAGTCTAAGTGAGTCATGGGTACCGTATTGGGAATCCTACACTGGCGAGTGGCAAGCAGTCCTCGCTGGTTCAACATTTCCGTATTTTTCTGCCTATCCACTTATAATAATTGGTTACTTTGGTGTAAATGCCAGGATACTTATAATGTGCACAGCTGATCCCCCAGGACACGATTCCTTCAAGAATTCCATTACATACCAAAGGCCCTCCAGAATCTCCCTGCAAAAGATAACAATGATTATAATATTCCTTACGTTCAGTACGGCGCCTTTCGTGTCAGGAAGATGTCTCAGAGATGTTACTAGTGAAGTGTAGTGACTGTGTGTTTTGTAAGCAAACCACCACTTGAGCATAGAGATGTTCCGCAAACAGCAGTGGTGTAAACGACCAATTTTATTTTGGGGGATTGTTGGCCGAGACACCAAGAGAGAGAGAGAGTCTCCCTTCTCATTTTCAATAGGATCCTGAATGCCCACCCGAACAGGCAGATGGGACGTGGGTATATTAACACCATGTCCAAAGGACAGCATCTCCTGAGGTGGGGGTGGATGAACATGGTAGTTGTGGGCCTCACCTGACAGGAGTCTTTGCCTCTGCTCCCCGCACACAGCATGTTGTGGGTGACTTTACCAGCATACGAGGAGGCGGCATTGCACTTGTACCTGGGGACGATTGGGACCTTCACAGCCTTGAGCACGTTGGAGAGACGGTAACTGCTGAGGCTGGTGAGGCCCCAGCCAGAGACGGTGCACATGGTGTACGAGGCCACGATGTGACGGGTGGTTGGCATCACGGCGGGTTGAATGAAGGCGTTCAGCACCACCGATCCGTCCAGCTGATTCAGTGAAAAAACAAAGTTAACTTCTTGTTACGTGTGTGGATAGCGCCAGGTAGTTGGGTTGAGTGGACAGTTTGCTCCGAGAGCCAGTGCAGACTCGAGACAATACAAAATACAATACAAAATTACATTTGTACAGCGCTTTTCAAGTCAGGAGGACGTCCCAAGATGCTTGACAGTCAGGGATTTGATGGGCCAAACATCGTAAATCTCTGATAATCTAGGAGACAATCTATAACCAGCTCTCACCCGCGAGGTCCCACCAACAGCCATTGCAGGGAATGACTGATTAACAACAACAACTATGTCCAATTGGCTGCTGCGTTGCACCCACAAATTACAACAACAACAAGATTTCATTTATAGAGCACCTTTCACGTCGGGAGGACGTCCCAAGGCACTGGACAGTTGTGTCGGGACCCGAGCAGGGGGGAAAAGATCAGGGTGAGGGGAGGGAAGGGAGGGAGCGAGGAGAGAGTCGAGAGGGAGCTGAAGGCACGGTCGAAAAGAAAGGTCTTGAGACCGGCCTTGAAGGAGGAAAGGGAGGAAGCGGCGAAGGCACTGGGGGATAGAGTTCCAGAGCCTCGGGGCTGAGAGGCTGAAGGCTCGGCCACCGATGGTAGGGCGGTTGGGGCGGGGAATGTGGAGCAGACCGGAGCCAGAGGAACGGAGGGTACGGGCAGGTAGGTAGGGGGGTAGTAGGTCAGAGAGGTAGGAGGGAGCAAGGCCGTGAATGGCCTTGTAGGTGAGGATGAGGATCTTGAATTACACTGTCACTCCACTCAACAGTGAAGCACTTTGAGACCTCTCATCGACGTGATAAAGCCCTGTATCAAATGCAAGGTTGTTATTATTATGACAACAACAACTTGCATTTATACAGCACCCCTCATGCAGGGTAGCGCACAACATCCCACTGCTGTCCCACAAACAATCGTGGATTGAGTGACCAAATTATTATTATTTTTTGGGGGCGGGATGATTACCCCCCGGAAAAGGGATCTGCCAATCGACTAACAGCCGGGTTTCTACTTACTGCTGGGTAAACAGAGGCAAGTGGAGTAAGGAAACTTGCCTAACCACAACAATAAAATTACATGTGTATAGCGCCTTTCAAGTCAGGAGGACCTCCCAAGGCGCTGGACCATCAGTGTTTCGGACCCGAGCTGGGTTCAGGATCGGGGAGGGTGGAGGGCAGGGATGGAAAGAGGGTGATCAAAGGCACGTCTTGAAGGAGGCAAAGTTTTGCCCTGTCCGGGAATCGAACCCAAGTCCTCTCACTTACAAGGCGAGTGGTCTAACCACTAAGCTACAGGACTCCACTCTCAGACCATCGTCGCTGCTGTCCTCTATGCGAGCCTACCTTCAGAAGCATGATGTCGTGGTTGAAGGTGGAGGGGTCGTAATAGGGGTAAACGATGATCCTCACAACCCTGAACCTCTGCTCGTTCTCCCCCGACTTGTACAAAGTGTGCTCGCCAGCAACCACCTCCATATTCCTCCTGGGGGCGAGCGAGTGATAGAGAAGGGTTGAACGAGAGGGATAGAGAGAGGGAGGGATAGAAGGGAGTGGGGGAAAGAGCAATAGGGATAGAGAGAGAGCGATGGAGAGGAAGCAAGCGAGAGGAAGAGAGAGTGATGGAGAGGGAAGGAGCAAGAGAGAGAGGGGGAGAGGGAGCGAGAGAAAGAGGGGGGGAGTGATGGTGTATAAGGCAGCGATGCTCTGCACTCGCAATCTGTATCCAATTTACTGAACTCACGACCTGAAACAATGTGCTGCCGACAGCACCCAGGACGGGTGGATTAAGGTCCCACTGCAGTAATGTCCTCTTAGTCCTCTCAGGGAGACTTGGTAGGGGATGGCATGCGGAGTCACGAAGTAGCCACCGATGATCCTGTCGTCCAAGGCTGCTGGAGAGAGGAACAAAACACACAGCCACTACACTTTACAGTATATTCTGTGAAGCGCTTCGAGACCCGATAAGGCACTGTATCACATGCAAGGATTATTACAAAAACAGAAGTGGTTGGGAACACTCAGCAGGTCAGGCAGCATCTATGGAGAGAGGAAAGTGGTTTCAGGTCGATGACTTTTCATCAGAACTGGGGGATTGGAAGGGAGCAGTTTATAAGGACAAACAGAGAAGAAAGAAAGACCAAGGAAAAAAATTAGGTTGAGGACAGGAGATGATGAGATTACAGAGGCTCTCAAGTTACCTTGTGCCATGGACAGAGACAGCAGGAAGAGCAGTCTGGCGCGTACCAGAACTCCCATCCCTCGATCTCTGTGAGAGAAACAGAATAAAGTAGGTTCTTATGGCATTGTCACTGCAAAACTTTGTTTGAATTCAGCTAAAATTCCAACTATAGTACTTGATATGGCACCTTTCAGGAGGATGTTTTAAAGCGGTTCCCGGGACTTACTGTTAAGTGTAGTCACTGTGTGTTTTTGGAGGCAAACACGGCAGCCACGCTGCACACAGGAATGACCCACAAATGGCCATGAAGGAGATGATTTTATCTGGGGGATTGTTGGGCAGGACACTGGGCAAGAGAGAGAGAGAGAAACTCCCTTCTCTTTTCCTACAGCACTGTGGGATCTACCTGAACAGGGCACAAATGGAGGGCTCGGTTCAATGTCTCGTCACCCCCCCTCTCCCCCCTAACTCCCCTCTCACCCCCACCCCCACAACCTTCTGTGGGAGGAGAGAGTGCTACTGACTGAGTCAGGATGAAAGAGCAAATTGGCTCAGCCTGAGCACTCTCACGTCAGTGGGTTTCAGGGGATCAAGCCCCGGGTCAGAGCTCTTGTGGAGTCCTGTAGCTCAGTGGTTAGGTCTCTCTTTGCAAGCGAGAGACCTGAGTTCAATTCCAGGCAGAGGGCGAAACCTTGGGCAAGTTTCCTTACTCCACACAGAGCCTAATAATAATCCCTCCAAAACAAAACAATAATAAATTGGTCATTTTCAATCTACAACTGTTTGTGGGACATTGCTGTGCGCAATTGGCTGCCGCGTTCGCCCACAAATATACAGTCAATTCACTTTATAGTGTGTTCTGTGAAGCGCCTTTGGGACGTCCTCCCGACGTGAAAAGCTCTATATCAAATGCAAGGATTATTATTATTTTGTGGATGAAGAGTTAAACCGAGGTCCTGTCTCCCCATCCCCACAAATGCACATCGAATGCAAGGATTATTATTATTACTGACAGCAATCAGAATAAAAGCACTCGTCAAGCTGTCTAAAAACAAGAACAACTCCTCCTTTCTGGACAGCGGCTGAGTTTCACGCTCTGCCCAGTACACATCCTGCTGAATCCCAGCTTGGACTGCGATACATTTCCAGCACTGTGCCCTCAACATCGAACACACTACCTGTGCCCCCAGTGTGGAGCAGTGTAACACAAGCACGAAACACACAAGGGCTGCGCTGTGACAGTCAAACCCTGCGAAACACTTTGAGATGTCCTTTTGACGTGAAAGGAGCTGTATCAAATGCACAGATTATAGTTTGATCATAACACTATACACGGATTAACATCTATTTCAGACCACTTTATCCGGGGCGGAATAACAGACAAATAGTCCTACCTTCAGCACGGATTGATCGCTGGCCTCTCCCCTGACCTGTTTTTGGGTTTGCTGTTATGTTATAAATGGCCATGCTTAATGCTCACTCCGCTTATATATGACAGTAATATTAGCCAGTGCATTGCCAAGGTAACCCTGCTACGTGTACAGTACTTACCCACCATGGAGGAAGATAAAATATAATAGCTGCTTGATAAAGTCATTCTTGAGTTACTGCCTTTATCATCGGTTGTTAATGATCAGACCCGCGCTCCATTGTGATCTCTCTATAACAATCGGGTGCTATAATGGACGATGGATTTGCTGACGTGTTCTGGGCTATTTTCTGCTCAGTTCATTGTCTGGGCTATGAAACGCAGATGTTGTGAAGGGGAAATTTCCGCCATTTCCAAACTGGATGCCCTTCGGGATCGGGGAGGAGAATGGCTAATGATCAGAGCAGAAAGTTTTGTTGCCATATTGGCGTGAGACTGTTTTTCGGTCGTGGTGTTTTTCGGTGTCAACGGGTTTTGTTGGTGGCGTATTTCAGTGCTTACGGCCATCTTTCCCAGCTCCCAACCCTCAGCTCTTGTGCACAGCCCCAGCCAAGCACTTTGGGATGTCCTCCTGACGTAAAAGGCACTGCCCGTATACGTAAACTGTACCATATTGTATTGTGTCAGCCTGGTTCAGTTGGCAGAACCCTCACCTCTGAGTGAGAAGGTTGTGGGTTCGAGTCCCACATCGGGACCTTGAACTCACATTCTAGGCTGACATTCTGGCGCAGTGCCGGAGCGGGAGGGGGGGTGGTGGGGGAGAATGCTGTAGTGTCGGAGGTGCCGTCTTTTGGATGAGATGTTAAGACAAAGTATCGTCTGGTTGTTCAGGTGGACGTTAAAGATCCTTTGGTACTATTTGGAAGAAAGAGAAGAGTTTCTCTCTCCCGGTCAACAATCCCCGAGATTGATTCAGTTGCTTACTCTGTGGCACGATGCTGTGTGTTTTCACCTACAGAGAACACAGTCACTGCATTTCACCGTAAATTCTTGTGAAACGCTATGAGGTGTGATAGGGCGCTGGTACCCAATATAACCCAACGCATTCTCTCTCCCCTCTCCCCGCACTCTGGCTTTCCACTGCTCACCGAGGCCAAGTGTCAGTGTTCACTGTTGCCGCTGAAAGATCCAGGAAGCAACAGTCACCGGAGACAGGAGGTGTTTCTCTCAGTGAGCCGTTTGTGCTGCCTGAGAGACTGCTCCAACTCTCGCTCTCCTTCTCTCTCTCTCTCTCTTTCTTTCTGGGGAATGGAATGAGAATGAACCTCTCCACCATCTACAGCCTTTTGCTATTCGTCCTAAAAGCCTCTGCCGATCAAGGTAAGCCGGGGTGAAGAGCGCTCAGCTTTCTTTTGGGATTTGTCTTACGAGTCAGTTTAAAAAGAAAAGTGTCCTCCTCTCCTCTCCTCGCTCCCCTCTCTCTCTCTCTAACTCTCTCTCTCACTCTTCTCTTTCCCTCTCTCCCTTGCCGTGTGCCACTTGACCGATCGCATTTCAGGAACGCGTAAATTTCCTCAGAGTGCTTCCTCCCGCTATTTCGTGTGACCGCCGCTCTCACAAAGGAAGCCCGATGCGATGCGTTTTACCTTTCGGTTTAATTTCCTTAGGGAAAACTGTTTGGCAGTCATAAGTTGGGTGCAGGGAATGGTCAGTATGCGTTGGGGGAAAGGAGGGAGGGAGGAAGGGAGGGAGGGAGCGAGGCAGAAGGAAGGGAGAGGGTTTTGTGGGGTTGATATAGGGAGAATCAGTTAAATTGCGAGATTAACAATGGAAATTTCTAAACAGTAAATGCGTAGATCTAGACTTGGTCACTGATGTCTGGAGGTTGTGGTCTGAGCCAGTGTCCGGAGGGCATTGGATCACATTGAAACGTGCCTAAGGTTTCTCCCCGCCCGGGTCCCCTCGCTTGCTACGCGAGCGCACTAACCACTACGCTATGGGACTCTCTGCAAAACAAGCACCGTGATGGTTACAGCCACCGCAGAAATGCAGCACTTTATTCATTTAATTTCACTGCGGGCGGGTCTGTCCTCTAACCAGCCCGTGCTTTACATAACATAAGAAATGCCAGATGGAAAAAAAGCCAGAGGTCCATCCAGTTCGCCTTCCTGCCGGTCGCCTGCACATCCTTGCATTTGATAGAGCGCCTTCGAGACATCTCAAAGCGCTTCACAGGATATACTGCAAAGTGAATTGACTGTTTATTTTGTGGGCGAATCGCGACAGCCAATTGCGCACAGCAGCGTCCCCACAGACAGTCGTGGGTTGAGTGACCAAGTTACCATAATCTTTTTTTGAAGGAATTATTGTCCTCTAACTGACGTTATCCTCCCTCTCCCCAAGGCCAGGCCCGCATTATCGGGGGCTACTCTGTGTCCCATCACTCTGTTAAATACCAGGTGTCGCTGCAGAGACGGGGGGGCTTCCATTACTGCGGGGGTTCCCTGATCCGACGGAGATGGGTTCTGACGGCCGCCCACTGCCGCATTAGGTTCGTCAAATTTTTTTTTCATTGAATTTTTTTGGGGGGGCTTAGAAATCTGGGGGGGAGTGTGGTTCTAAACATACTTCCTTGGGTGGGCGGTGTTGGGGGGTGGGGGGGGAGGAGAGAAACCCAGAACAAGGGGCATAATCTTTAAATTCGAGCTAGACCATTTAGGAGTGAAATCAGGAGGCAGTTTTTCACACACACAGTAGAAAATCTGGAACTCTCTCTCCCTCCCTAAAAGGCTGGGGATGCTGTGTCCATTCCCATTTTCAAGACTGAGGTGGATAGATGTTTGTTAGGTCAGGGGATCAAGGGATACGGGGCAAGGGGCGGGTCATTGGAGTTGAGCTGCAGATCAGCCATGATCTAGAACAAGCTGTATGGGCTGAATGGCCTCCTCCTGGTTACGTTCCTCTGCATGTGTATATGAGAGAGAGAGAGACAGACGGACTGTGTGTGTGTGTATATATATATGTGAGAGAGAGGACTTGGATGTCTTTCATACTAATTTGTACAAACTGAGTTGAGGTACAGATCAGCCGTGCTCTTATAGAATGGCGGAACAGGCTCAAGGGGCTGAATGGCCTACTCCTGTTATATTAAATAATCCTTGCATTAGATATAGCATCTTATTACATCTTCCAGACGTTTCAAAGCACTTCGTATCTACTGTAAAGTGAATTGACTGCATGTTTTGTGGGGAAACGCAGCAGCCAATTGCTCACGGCAGTGTCCCACAAACAGTTGTGGATTGACTGTTCCTATGTTCCTATAAACTGTGTGTGTGTTATTCCCTCTAACTCTCACCTCATCCTCTCACCCCCCCAACCACCCCATGTGTTACTACAGGGCTGCCCACATGCAGATTGTGGTGGGAGAGCACTCGCTGTTCAGACGGGAAGGCACGGAGCAGGTATTCTATCCCCTGAAGCTAATATCCCACCCGCAGTACAACCTCACAACCAAAAATGGCGATATCATGCTTATTAAGGTAAGTGGCTGTGTTCTAAGCTCTCTGGGACGCTACCCTCCGTGAGGGGCGCGACATAAACGTAACTTGTTCTCAGCACGACGATCGATTAACAGGGCCTTTACAGCCGTTTTTGCTGTACAATGCCTTTGCTCCTGCACACAGCAATTGTAATAATAATAATCCTTACATTTGATATAGCGCCTTATCACGTCTTCAAGACGTCTCAAAGTAGTCGTGTACGTGATTCAGTTTAGACTTTCAGAGACGATCGGAGTCTTTTTTGCGCTATTTCTTAACAGATTTCCTATTAAGAAATGTGTGCCCATCTAACCTTCCGAGGCACCAAACACGCTGAGGGAGGCATCGCTACCCAAGCAGCGTCCTTCTCTTATTAAGAAATCTATTAAGAAATAGCGCAATTTAGACCCCAATGGATATTTCACGTTATTGCAGCCGAAAGGTAATAGAACCAATCTGTGTTCCATTGAATGATGTACATTTTGTTGCTCATCCAAGATATACTTATTACAGTAACAATTATATTTTAGAGAACGAGAGAGAGAGAGAGAGAGAGAGAGAGGTTCCACCTATAGCATAGGTTCCATTAATTTTCATTCACCTGACATCCAGGTGAGTGACAGCACCTTCAGCTGAGATGTTAAACCGAGGTCGCCATCTGACTGTTCAGGCCCATGTTAAAAATCCCGATGGCGCTATTCAAAGAGATGGAGTTTCTCTCTTTCCCTCGGTGTCCTGGCCAACAATCCCCCTAAATAAAAATTAGTCGTTCGCTGCACGGCTGTTTGTGGGACGCTGCCGTGCGCAAACTGGCTGCCGCGTTTCGCCCACACTGTGCACAGTCACTCCACTTTACGGTGCATCCTGTGAAGCGCTTTGAGGCGACTCGACGGCGTGATAAGGCGCTGTGTCAAGTGCAAGGGTTATTATTATGATGATGATTATTCTAAAGCTACAAGATGTCTCCTGTCTCCTCCCCCAGCTGTCACGCATGGCCTACCTGAACTACTTTGTTGGGATCGTGGCCCTGCCTCGCAGAGCGGCGTTCCTGACCCCGGGAACGAGTTGCCGAGTGTCCGGCTGGGGATTGACCAACTCCAAGGGCGGGCGCTTGCCGGCCCAGCTCCGAGCGGTGAGGGTGCCCATCGTGGACACGTCCTGGTGTAATGGCAGCCAGTCCTACAGCGGGAAACTCACCCGCAACATGATCTGTGCCGGCTTCTGGTCCGGGGGCAAAGATGCTTGTCGGGTACCTGACTCATTACTGTACACTCACTCGCATGGGGGGCGATGGGGGCTAGGAGGGGGGTGGGGGGGGCGGTGGGTGCGGTAGGGCTGGGTGTGGGGGGGCGGTGGGGCTGGGTGGGGGCAAGGCTATAAACTGTTTTATAATCTGCAAATACATTGGTAAACCCAACAATCAAACCCCCCGCCGCCACCTTAATCTCCAGGTCAGGGTGAAACCTTAGGCAACTTTCCTTACTCCAAACTCACGCCTCTGTTTGCCTAGGAGTAAGGTAGGCCAGTTGTTAGTCAATTGGCAGGTCGCTTGTCCTGGGGTAATAATCCCTCCTGAAAAAAACAAAATGTAGTCACTCAATCCAGAGTGTGGGGGTAGAGATGCTGAAGGCCCAGCCCCCAGTGGTGGGGCGAAAATGTGGGCGACTTGGAGCAAGCCAGTGTCCGCCGAGCGGAGGGAGCGAACAGGCTGATATGGGGTTAGGAGTTCGCAGAAGTAGGAGAGAGCAAGACCATGGAGCGCTTTGAAGATGAGAAAGAGGGTTTTGTACTCTCTGAGGGATAGGGAGCCAGTGAAGCCGGGCAAGGATGGGGGTGATTGGTTTGCGGAGCCTGGTGCTGGAGAAGACACAAGTTGCAGAGTTCTGAATGATCTGCAGCTTGCGAGGGAAGAGTTGGGAAGTCGAGCGAGCAGGCAGTTGGCATAGTCAAGCCGGGAAGTGATGAAAGCGTGGATAAGGGTCTTAGCGGCCTGCGGTGAGAGGCAGTGGCAGAGGCGGGCAATATTGCGGAGGTGGGGGAAAGGCAGAATTGGTCATGGCACAAATGTCGAACAGGACACCAAGGCTCAGTGAGGTGTAGAGTGCAACCATGAACAGTGATACTGTCAGCTCCCGACATCCTCCCGATGTGAAAGGCGCTATACAAATGTAATCTTGTTGCAATCTTATTGTTGATACTGTCAGTGCCTGAGGTGAGGATCCAAAAAGGAGGGCCTCTGTCTTGCCAACATTGAATTGGAAGAAGTTGGCTCCCGTCCAGGACATTGACATCAGTGGTCCTGGAGTCGAGGGTGGAGGTGGTGAAATAGAGTTGGGTGTCATCCGTATACATGTGGAAATTGACCCCATGCATGAGGTGAGAGGGAGAGGCGGTGGAGAAGAATAGAGTGGTCGACGGTATCGAATGCAGCCGAGATGTCGAGAAGGACAAGGAGACAGAGAGAGTCCTGGTCACAGGTGGACAGAATGTCGTTTGTCACCTTGACCGGGTCTGTCTCTGTGCTGTGAGCAGGACAAAACAGATTGGAGGGGTTCATGGAGGGAATTTTGCGAGAGGAAAGAGCTGGGAAGCGATAACTCATTCCATGACCTTGGAAAGAAAAGGATGGTTTCAAATGGGACTCAAGACAAGAGACAAGGCAGCTGGTATTTGGCTCAGTCGCTAGTGGCTCTCACCTCTAGGTCACAAGATTGTGGGTTCCAAGACCACCCAGTCTAGGGTTGTCACTAGAAGCACAGTGTCCGGGCATGGAGGGGGAGGGTGAGGGAAAAAGCATTGCATTGTCAGAGAGACGCCATCCTTTGAATTGAGACGTTAAATCACAGCGTGGTTTTAAGTGGACATTAAAGATCTCCTGACTCTAACAAAAAAAGTGATGGGAGAATCCAGCCCACACTCCTTCAGATTAACCACTCGCTCACCTGAATGAACGTTCACCGTTCAAGCGCTCTGGGACTCTACCCTACGTGAGGGGCGCTCTACAAATGCAAGTTGTTGTCGTTGTTGTGTGGCTGTACAGTACGTGGCAGTTTGCTAGGTGCTATAACTACAGGGGAAGAAAAAAGTCAAGGCACGTGACATTAATTACTTTGAGGCATTTCAGATATTGAATCCCGCGAACTTATGAAGTAAGTAAATAACCTCGTTAGGGCTGTGACACAGGCACAGAAGGAAAGTGAGGAGAGCCAGCCCCCGCTCCCATTATTGAATCTCATTGTGAAAGGTAATAACATACATCTAATGTTGGATGACTACGTCTTTAAATGAACCTTTTAATGAGTATAGGAGCTCAGTGTATTTGATACCGTGCTTCGTAATGCTTTGTTTTGTTGAGTTTGGGTGTAGTTTACGTGTCAACATTTCATAACAGTAACCCACTTCCGACTAACCTGATCAGCCACATTGTGAATCACACGGAGCCACTGGTGACTGATAGCTTTCGCCAACACAGGAGAGCAAGAGGCGGTGGGGTTAGAGTTGCGAAGGGCAATTTCAGGGCAGGTACCTCTAGGTAAAGTTTTTCTATACCCAGAGGATAATCAGTAGCTGGAACGCGTTGCCATATTGACCTCTCTGCTCAACTGGCTCCAGCCTGTTCCAAGTCCCCTGCCCAGTCTGCCCCACTATCGGTGGTCAGGCAGCCTCTTTGCCCACCCTTTGGAACTCCATTCCACAGTCCCTTCAACCTCGCTCCCTCCGTTGCCTCCTTCAAGACACATCTCAAGACCCTCCTCTTCGACTGTGTTTTCAGTCACCCTCCACCCCTCCTGATCCCAACCCCCAGCCTTGGATCCAAATCCCTGATTGTCCAGCGCCTTGGGAGATCCTCTCGATGTGAAAGGCATTGTGTAAATGTAATTTGTTGTTATTGCTGCCAGGAAGGGTGGTTGATGCCAGGATATTGGACACTGGCAAGATTATAAGGCGGGGATTCCGGAAGGATGAGATCAAGTGGTCCTTCCTCATTCAAGCCAATGTAATTGTGTCTAGACTCTGTCAGCCTAGCCTGTGAGGTCAAATTCCTGATGTGCAGCTCCTGATAACTCGGCAAGTCAAAGCCCTAACAGATATTGTGTTCCTACCCGGACAAGCAGCGGGAAGCTTGTCAGCTTAGCTGGTTAGACTCCAGCAGTTACCACCCAACTTATACTCTTGGGTTCTTTGCAAACCTCAGTCCTACTTGCAAACCTAGCACTTTACAGAATTTGATGAGCAAGGTGTATCTCTCCAGTGGCGGGAGAGAGAATGCAGATGGGGAAATTTCTGTGTGTAGATGGCGTGCAGTGTGGAACTCTCATTCTGGTTTGGAGACTCATTTTTCACACAAAGAGTAGTGTAAATCTGGAACATTGGTTAGGTTAAGGTATCAAGGGATATGGGGCAAGGGTGGGTAATTGGAGTTGATGTACAGATCAGTCATGACCTTGTAGCGTGGCAGAACAGGCTCGAGGGGCTGAATGGCCTACTCCTATTCCTATGTTCTAATAATAATAATTCTTGCATTTGATACAGCGCCTTTCACATCTTCGAGACATCTCAAAGCACTTCACAGAATATACTGTAAAGTGAATTGACTGTATATTTTGTGGGTGAATCGCGGCAGCCAATTGCGCACAAACAGTCATGGATAGAAAGACCAAATTATTTATCATTATTGTATATTTTTTGAAGGGATTACTATCCCTGGAAAAGTAATCCGCCAATCGATGAACAACCAGGTTCCTGCTTATTGCTGGGTAAACAGAGGTGTGCGGAGCAAGGAAACTTGCCCAATGGTTCGCCCTGCCCGAGAATCGAACCACTGACCTACAGTTCCTCCTAGTAAAACACGGCGATGGGTTTCCGAGTGTATCTGACCAATTTTAAAAAAGGGGGGGGAAAGAAATGAGCATTATCGAATGCAAGAGATTTTATTGAATGGGACATTGTTCATTTAACAGGGTGATTCCGGAGGGCCGCTTATATGTCAAGGCCGGCTGTACGGCGTGGTATCCTGGGGCAATAACTGTGCAGAGATTCACTACCCAGGAGTGTACACTGCCGTGGCGAAATTCCGCAAGTGGATCGATTGGACCATCTTTCAATCTTAAAGCACCTCCTCACTCCTCATTCCCTCAACACAAGCCGGGCTCTTTTCCCGTACGTTCTATTAAAAGTCCGAGGTGGGATGGGGGGGAGGAAGGGGGGAAGGGGGGGGGAGAGGGACGAGGAAAGAAAGCCCCTCCACCTTCAACTGAGATTAGGTGTTGGAGAACCACCAAGGTTCACATTTTAGAATTCCTCCTCGAATCTCCCAGTGTCAGGTTGTGAAACTTTTCAAAACTTTTTCAAACCTTTTGTGCCGCCTTCATCAAGTGAGCCATACCTCTCGCTCACCCGCTCGCTCACCGTGGCTGAATGTGTGTTGGTTGTGAATAGATATTCGGATAGTTCCCTAACCAGCAGCTAAGTCTCTTTTCAATGCGTAGTGCAGTGCTCTCGGATTTCACAAAACAGGGAGGTGATAACTGGAGACATTTAATCTTCAGGAGGCTCTTTTGTTGAGCGTTACAGAAACAACTTCTTTCAGAAACGTTCACTTGGAAGTCGGGCCTAAGAGGCTAAGCTATTGCTGCTAATGAGGCCAATTGCTATCGACAGGGGCTGGAGTTTCAACTTCACTCTTAACATGGAAGCCGCTGATTAATGATAATAAGCCTCATATTTGACCACAGCGCCTTTCACATCGGGAGGACGTCTCAAAGTGCTTGGCAGGTTACAGTGACTGTTTATTTTGTCAGCAAACTTTCTTTAAAGAGAACCGCGCTGAACCGGCTTCCAAACTGAGACCAAAATGCTAAGGCAGTGGGCTTATACCTAAGGTGAGGGGGAATTTTAGTGGATGTGTGTGTGTGTGTTTTCATTTTAGAATGGTTCATCCAATTAAAGGAGCTTAACTTCCACAGCCGTTGTTGCTTGCTGATTGGTTTCTTTGATCCCGATTCTCTGGCCAGGGGGGTTGGGTGTGTAAGTGGGCGGGTTGGGTGTGTAAGCGGGCGGGTTGCGTGTGTAAGCGGGCGCGTTGGGTGTGTAAGCGGGCGGGTTGGGTGTGTAAGCGGGCGGGTTGGGTGTGTAAGCGGGCGGGTTGGGTGTGTAAGCGGGCGGGTTGGGTGTGTAAGCGGGCGGGTTGGGTGTGTAAGCGGGCGGGTTGGGTGTGTAAGCGGGCGGGTTGGGTGTGTAAGCGGGGCCATTATGGCACGTCAGGATCTGGCTCAGTTGGTAGCACTCCCACGTCTCGAGGCAGAAGCCTTTGGGTTCAAGAGGAGAGGAAAGAGGCAGAAAGTTAAGCCCCGAGCGACAAATATGTCACAAGAGTGGTTCTTTGGCTCATTTCATCTAACCCCCCCCCCCAACCCTCCCATCCTCCCATCACAGCACCGAGCTGAGCACCAGCCTCCTGACCTCCACCAGCCTCCTGGCTCCCCTGTTCCCCTGCATCATGTCAGCTCCCAGCTCACCCTGCACATCCTCCTATAGCAACAGAAATCCCCGGGGACACTCAGCAGGTCAGGCAGCACCTACGGAGAGAGGAGAGTGGGTTAACCTTTCAGGTCGATAACACTTCTTCAGACCTTTTCCCAGTGACTTCTGTTTTTATTGCGGATTTCCAGCATCTGCAGTGTTTTGCAATCTGCATATCATCCGGTCAGATCAATCCCTTCTGCTCTCATTTCTCGGTGCCTGTAATCCTGCCACCTCAATACATGACCTGGTTATTACAAGCAAAGCCCTTCTCCCTGTCTGGCAGCCTGTTTGCTAACTACAGTATCCTCCCTCACAGACACTCGATATCAAATGAACCGAACTTCCTCAATTCATTCCCGACAGTTGGCCACAGGGCCACTTGCCAGAAAAGCCAAACGAAATGAGACTTTAATCCTATTGTCCGCTTTTGAGAAAAGAATCGATTTGGGGGATTTAATTCGTCGTTCACTTCACAGCTGTTTGTGGAATGTGCGCAACGTGAAGCTATCAAGCGCTCCGGGTCAGTAGCCCACGTGACGGACGCTATCTAAATAAATAAATGTAAGTTGTTGTTGTTGTGCGCAACTTTTTGCCCACAAAACCCCCCTCCGCTTATCGAGTCAGAGCCTGTCTCAAAAGGCCCTTTACAGGAGGTCACTGTTAAGTGTAGTGACTGTTGTTTTGTTTTCTACGGTCGGGCCAACGTGATTGGTGTCACGGTCTCAGAACAGTTTGGAATAAAAAGTTTGCCCAAACGTTTGTTGGTGAAGATGATATCCCTCTAATTGGGGCTTTCAGGGCAAAGCTCTCACGGGAGCCGGGGTTAAAGATGTTCTCAAGGGAATCGCTTTGTTTTGCTGTAAATGTGGAACACCCAATGGCATTGTGTCACCAGAGACAGAACGGGTAAAAGCCATTAGCCCGCAGGCAGAGACAGCGCGATCACTGCTCGAGAAGCAACCAGCTTCTGTGCAATCTAAGCAACCTCAAGCACAGTTTTTTTTTCCAGCCGGGTGTCTGACACACGTGGAAACCCATCACCGCTGCTTAAGAGTCTCCAAACCAAACTGAGATTTCCACGCATCCCACCGTACGTACACGTGGAAATCCCAGAGATAGATTGTTGGAATGGAATGCGTTCTCTCGCTCTCTCTCTCTCTCTCTCCCCCTGGAGGGATGCCTCCTGCTTACCTAGTTCCGGAAAGTATTAGGCGCAGGTTGGCAAGAGTCAAGGCTTGGGGGGAGCCCAGAGTGAGCCTTGGGGTAACTGTTGGAGTCTATCCAGCTGAAACCACAAAGCTTGCCACTGAGTGTAATGTCTGGCCAGCTTTCCCGCTGCTTGTCCAGCTCAGACCACCCTACCTGTTAGGGCTTTGGTTTGCAGGGATTAACGGGAGCTGAATGGAAAGAATTCCAGTGACCAGTCTGTGCCTCCAAGTCCTGCTGACGAGCTCGGCTGAGCTGGACTGTCATCAGCTGTGCCCTGGAATACTACTGACCTGCCTCAGGAACCGAACTACCTCGAGAGAGTGAGAGAGAGAGAAAACGCCACAGACGTCGAACTCGAGTAACATTCTGTTGTCAAGCATGTCACCCTGGAACCAATTTAGCTCTGAGGAAGAACCCCACTTACCTTTCAAGTGCCCTGAGGCACTAACCTGCGTGAAGAACGCTATATACTTCAAGTTGTTGTTACCCCCACCCTCTTCCCCCCCTCCCCCAAGGAAAACCACCCATTTGACTCGAGCGGGTTTCACTAAAAACTCAGCTTCTGAAACTATGGGCTGTCACTGTATCTCGCGAGTGACGGGGGAGAAAGAGAGCGAGAGAGAAGGTGTGCCTGAGAGCCTGGTATGGAGGGAAGGGGCACGTTGTTTGGAGCAGTGAAAGTGGGCTCAAATGACAGTGTCGATGTCTCGCTTTGAAAACTGCCTGAAAAGGAATCTTCTCTTTCAGCGGCTCCCAAAGGAGACTGGTTTCACTCCTCTTTTTGATAGCGATGTGTATCTGCACATCAGCAAACTGAACACATCATTCCCCAACGCAAGCTCTCTCTCTCTCTCTCTCACACACAAACCATGTCAGCCCAGCAGGTACCAGCAGGCACTGCGCGTCAGAAACAATCTCGTCTTTTGGTCGTGTTTTATCATAATTTCAGTCCACCTCCTGTTATGTTCCCACACCAACCCCCTCACCTACCCCACACCCTTCCTGTGTAGCACCCACACCGTGCGCAAAGGCAAGAATCATCACCAGATAATTTCGAACTCCCAGTTCTAAGGCAAGAAGGTCCACCAGACCAGAAATCCATCAAAAACCCGGGAGTGTGGCTCTGTGAAATCAGAATGTCTGCACCAGTCTGCAAACTCACTGGCAAACTGTGCAGTTTTAGGTGCTTACATTTTAGCAGTTACTTCCCCTCCGCCACCCACGTGCACACTCTGACGTCTCCCTCTCTGCCTGCCCCCACCCCACCGGGGCCATATTTCCGTCCAACCTGCTCCTAACACTGGCCCAGCACTCTAGGAAGCTTCCCCGCACAGAGTGAAGGGCGCTATATAAATACAAGTTGTTCTTGTTGATGTGATATTACCAGGACTAAGCGATCAGTCAGATTGATATCTTATAGATTTCCCCCCCCACACCCCACCACCACCACCTCCGATTACGGTGCTGTAATGTGGGGTTGGGTGGTGGTGGGGGGGTTTCTGAATGCTCCGGGATGTTGCACTGCGCGAAGGATGCCATACAAATACTGTCACGGGTTGATGCTGTCGTACTGGATGTGAGTGACGGTTGTAGTTGTCGCTGTGGCCCAGCAGGGGGCGGTCTCGACACGTTCCCCACCTCGGTGACTTTTTCTGCCGATGGCAGCGAGTTACTGGGACAGAGTGGAGTCTCGTGCAGAGAGCTTTGAAGTTTCGTCACAGAAACATTGGCACTCACAGGTTGAGCATTTAGAACTCCTTCTCGCCTGAATAATATTAATAATAAAGCGTTTGTTATAGCGCCTCATCATGTGTATGCGGATGACACCCAACTACATCTTTCTGCCCCCACCCTCAACTCCAGGACCACTGCTGCCCTGACGGACTGTCTGTCGGACATCAAGTCCTGGATGAGGGCAAATTTCCTACAGTTGAATGTGAACAAGACTGAGGCCCTACTGATTGGCTCACGCCAGCGCCTCCGCACCTCAGGCTATGGCAGCATCAACCTCCATGGTTGCACACTACAACTCACCAGCCAGTCAGGAACCCAGGTGTCTTGTTCGACCCTCAACTGTCTTTTCTCCCCCACATCCAAGCCATGACCCGCTCTGCCTTCCCTCACCTCTGTAACATCGCCTGACTCCGCCACTACCTCACCCCTCAGGCCGCTGAAACTCTTGTTCATGCCTTCATCACCTCCAGGCTCAACTATGCAAACGCCCTACTTGTCGGCCTTTCCGACTCCTCCCTCCACAGCTGCAGATAATCCAGGACTCTGCAGCCCGTACCAGTCCTCTCCCGTACCAAACTCCGAGATCCCATCTCCCCCACTCTCGCCCGACTCCATTGACTCCCTGTCCTTCAGAGGATCCAGTTCAAGATCCTGGTCCTCAACTTCAAAGCCCTCCATGGCCTCGCCCCACCCTACCTCTGCAAACTCCTAACCCCCTACCAACCCGCCCGTTCCCTCCGCTCAGCCGGCTCCACATCCCCTGACCAACCCGCCCCACCATGGCGGGAGAGCTTTCAGCCACTCTGCCCCCAACCTCTGAAATTCCATGTCCCAATCACTCCGCCTCGCCCCCTTCTTAGCCTCCTTCAAGTCCCGCCTCAAAACCCCCCTCTTCGACCATACCATCGGTCACCCCCTTTCCCCTTCCCTCCCTTCTCCCTCCTTGACCCCAGTTCGGGTCTGAAATGCTGTACACTGTCCCGCGCCTTGGAACGTCCTCCCGATGTGAAAGGTGCTATAAAAGCGTAATCTTGTTGTTGTTGTCGAGACATCTGAAATTGCTTCACAGAATATACTGTAAAGTGAATTGACTGTATAATTTGTGGCCGAAACACACAGGAAAGTAATTATTCAAAGCGCATTCAGCAACCTGATGAAACGCAACAGACAGATATGTGAAGTTCAGGACGATTTTATGTGATGCTTTAGGGGTTCTGATAAATAATAATAGTCCTTGCGTTTGAAACAGCGCCTCAACACTTGGTTGAGACGTCTCAAAGCACTTTGCAGAATATACTGCAAAGTGTAGTGACTGTGCATTTTGTGGGTGAAGTACGGCAGCCAGTTGCACACAGCAGTGCCCCACAAACAGTCGTGGATTGAGTCACCGATTTTATTTGGGGGGATTTGATGGCCGAGACACCAGGATTCATATTGTCGATGATGATCTGTCTGTAGCCAGTGGTGGGCTTCTCCTGAAGAGGGCTCGTGGCATGAGGGCCGTAATTCATCGGAATTGATGAAGATTCATTTCATTAATTGAGGTTAATTAACTTGCTCCCTTCCCCTCCTCCCCCCTCTCCTCCCCCTTCCGAAGGGCGAGAGAGTCACACAGTCTAAGCAGACAGAAAATTTGCAAGTACACTGTATGATTGAGGAGTGGTTGACTCACACACTCGTGGGAGGTTTAAATCATTGTAATAGTAATCCTTACATTTGATACAGCGCCGTTCATATCCGGAGGGCATCTCAATACACTTCACAGGAGTTTTACTGTAACGTGCAGTGACTGTATGTTTTTAGGTGAACGCGGCAGTCAGTTTGCGCACAGCGAAGTCCC